AAACTAGCAGGTACTAGAAAGGATGTTACAATTAAGAAGAGTAACGCGAGCCATAAAAGTGAATCACGTTCGTCGTCCATCATCATTGCACCCGATCAGTATCGAGACGGTAGCTGATTGATATCGTAGCCAAGAGCTAGTGTTTCTTGTATATGTCCTGTTTATCATTAAATTGCGTCGTTTGTCGTCTTTGATAATTGAAGATGTGTCGCTGGACGTGTAAAACAGGTTGACGGTCTTATTAAAGCGCGTATGATGCACTGCGTCGAAAAGAACGTTCCCGCAGAGGCGTCGTTGTACGTCATCCAGCATATTTCCCGGCACACCCATCCTGTTCCCCTCTACGATTCCTCGCTTCCTACGACCGATTGATTATCCTCGTTATTTATTATACCGTCTCAACGTGAATTGATGGTCCCTTTGTGCGCGCCTTACATGAAGGTTCAACACTTTTAGCACATCTGCAATTCACTCAATTTTTTAACTTCGAATACAAATTTAGTTATCTGTGAACTTGGGAAGATTGGGACTTTAGGATGTTAGCAATTTGGAAATCTAGGGATTTTTGGGGGTCGAGAAATTTTGGGGATCTAAGGATTTTGGTGGATTTAGGATTTTTGGGGGGTTCAGGGATTTTGGGGGTCTAGGGATTTTGTTGGGATTTGAGGATTATTAGGGACCTATGGATCTGGGGATTTTGGAATTTAAGAATTTTTTAATTTAGGGATTTTTGGGATCTATGGACTTTTTAGGATCTTGGGATTTTTGGGATCTAGGGATTTTGGGGGTTCCAGGGATTTTTGGGCTCTAGGGATTTTTTGGGATTTGGGGATTATTGGGGACCTATGGATCTTTAGGGATCTGGGGATTTTCGAATTTAAGAATTTTTGAATTTAGGGATTTTTGGGATCTATGGATTTTTGGGGTTAGGGATTTTTTAGGATCTTGGGATTTTTTGAGATCTAAGGATTTTTAAGATCTAGGCATTTTTTAGGATCTAGGGATTTTGGGGGTTCTATGGATTTTTGAGGATGTAAGGATTTGGAGATGTGGGAATTTGTGCACGTATTAATTTGGGGATGTAAAAATTTGGCAATATATGAAGATCGGGTAAACACATGGAATTTGGCCATATATGCATTGTGGAATATAGATCTTTCGGGTCGTACAGATTTGGGAACATATAGGTTTGAAAGTGTATATTAAAGAGATCAACGAATTTAACGTCCCTAAAAAATTTGTAAACATATTTCAACAAAAATGCCACCTTAAAAAAAGAACGAAAGTAGCTACATTTCTCACAAAAATTCTCTACCATAAAATTCCTAATTGCTATAGCAAGCAATCAGTTCCAACGCATTTCTCAGAACCGTCATAACCGACGAATAAAACAAAGAGGCAAAATTTCGGGCGTCCCACTGGTCCTGAATCATCCGCAATACAAACATGCATCGCGTGCATCGCGCGTTCGTGCTGGTTTCAATTGATGGCGTTAAAACTCGCGTTTCGTGGAACTGTTTAGTGACACACGCCGAGTCAGCCACTTCCGAGGCAAAAGGGTTGAGGGGCATTGTTCTTGAACGTCGACACGGGAGAACGCACGAGACACGGTCCCCAACGACGGGAGGACTCGATCCAATTTGCTCGATAAATCTGCGCTGATTTCAACGTAACGAGGGTCTCCTCCTGGTCTCTCGGTGCTCGATGCGTGGCACGCGCTTTGTCGCGTGCGAGTCGCTGCGTGGGCAAGCTGCGAACGGGAGACGGCGGAAGAGAATTGAAAAAGGAGGAAGGGAACGACGTTCGCTGCGGAGAGAGGACCAGTCGGCAATTAAAAATATGGAATTCATTCTTTTCTCCTGCCGGTTGAACGCGCCCCTCCTGTTGGGGGAGCTGGCGAGTTTCAAAGCTGGCTTCATTAGCAGAACGGTTCGATTAACGAAGGAACCGTTCGTGCGTGACGATTTTTTCGTCGAAGAAAATGTTTGAAAGTCGACGCCGTTAACTCCTAGTTCTTGATCCTAGATGGGAAAACAAAGAATAGCTTGAGTGATATCTTGATCGTGTCGGTTTCTATTCGGTGATCGACGTATCGGATGATACAGCTGTTAGGACGCGGATGTGAAAGCAGTTATGAGTACTGATCTAATTGCTCCTGCTCAAAAAACCATAAATCAAACATTTCTATTAACCTTTATCCATCATGATCTACTTTGATTAAATCTGACTCTGATCCAAGATAATTCTCACCTACTCTAATTTCATTTAACTTAACTTTAATATCATCCTGCTTAAGCTAACTCAAATATCAGTCTATATAAACCTAACCCAATCTGAATTGTCTTAATGTAACCTAACCTCAATCTACAATAATTCTAATCTAACCTAACCTAACTTTAATGTTATCCTAATAGAACCTAACTCAATCTGAATTGTCTTAATGTAACCTAACCTTCAACTACAATAATCCTAATCTAACCTAACCTAACTTTAATGTCATCCTAATAGAACCTAACTCAATCTGAATTGTCTTAATGTAACCTAACCTTCAACTACAATAATCTTAATTTAATCTAACCTAACTCTAACGTCATCCTACTTGAACCTAACCCAATCAGAATTGTTTTAATGTAACCTAACCTTTAATTACAATAAAACTAATCCAATCTAACCTAACTGTAATATCATCTTACTTAAACCTAACCCAATCTTAAATTGACCTAATGTAACCTAACCTTTAACTACGATAATCTTAATTTAATCTAACCTAACACTAACGTCATCCTACTTGAACCTAACCCAATCTGAATTGTTTTAATGTAACCTAACCTTAAATTACAATGAAACTAATCCAATCTAACCTAACTGTAATATCATCTTACTTAAACAATAACCTTAATCTAATCTAACCTCAGTTAACCTAACTTAAATTTCAAAGAAATTTCACCTAACCCAATTTAAATTAAAGTAATATAATCCTAACCTAACAGACTTTCAACTTATCAAATTCTTAAGTGGTCTCAATTAATAAACAATAGTAATCTGCAACAACTTGTTTCTTCACACGTGTTCTTTAAACATGAGCATGATTTCTAAAGCAATAAGTAGTCGCGATCGTAGAAACAGACGTTTTCCAATTACATTTAATTAACATTCTTCCCGAACGCATTACGACGATCTATACGCCACGCGTATAATCCTTCATCGCAACAAGTCGTTAACTCCGAGATCGATCAAATAATCGTTCCAGTCTAATTAACGGTCGACCACGTCTTCGTTTTAGCGACGTATCATAGCGCTCGTTTCATCGGTTCGACGATAAATCAACGCTTCCTCGTTACGGTGTCTCGGATAATTGAACGTCTAGCGCGGCCAGATGGAAGCGTTCGTACGTTTGCTCGTCATCGGGGACAACCTCGAAAGCACACTTCGTTCATGCTCCGTTTAACGCTCAAAACCCGCCACCAGGCCATCGTAATTCGACCGATTATTAAACCAATCTAATTGACCAATTACGTCCGCGTTTTCAAACCGGATTTCACCTCTGGAGCGGCAAAAACTGCTTTCGAGTGCTGATTATCCTTTTTGTGAGATGGTAGCGTCCGGTCGTTCCAATGCATCATACATGTTTACCTAACTCCGACATGTTTTACGAGAAATATTTTTAGAAGGGTATGTGTTCTTTTTCTTAAACATTAAGCTTCAAGTTTATAATAATATTAGTGTCATTTTGTGATACTTTTCTGTCATGAAATAGTGACAGACTTTATGTATCATTATAATTAATCTTTGTCTATTATATTTGATTGTCAGTCATTTTGTATAGAGAGTATTGATGAAACGTTTAGGCAGCCATTTTGATCGAACCTTAACCTTTAAGTTCATATGTAACAAGCTTCATTTTGTGATACTTTTCTGTCATGAAATAGTGGCAGACTTTATGTATCATTATAATTAATCTTTGTCTATTATATCTGATTGTCAGCCATTTTGTATTGAAGATATTCGTGAAGCGTTTAGGCAGCCATTTTGGTCGAACCTTAACCTTTAAGTTCGTATACAACAAGCTTCATTTTGTGATACTTTTCTGTCATGAAATAGTGACAGACTTTATGTTAGTGGCAGACTTTATGTATCATTATAATTAATCTTTGTCTACTATATCTGATTGTCAGCCATTTTGTATAGAGAATATTGATGAAACGTTTAGGCAGCCATTTTGGTGGAACCTTAACCTTTAAGTTCGTATATAACAAGCTTCGTTTTGTGATACTTTTCTGTCATGAAATAGTGGCAGACTTTATGTATCATTATAATTAATCTTTGTCTATTATATCTGATTGTCAGCCATTTTGTATAGAGAATATTGATGAAACGTTTAGGCAGCCATTTTGGTGGAACCTTAACCTTTAAGTTCGTATATAACAAGCTTCATTTTGTGATACTTTTCTGTCATGAAATAGTGGCAGACTTTATGTATCATTATAATTAATCTTTGTCTATTATATCTGATTGTCAGCCATTTTGTATAGAGAGTATTGGTGAAGCATTTAGGCAGCCATTTTGGTCGAACCTTAACCTTTAAGTTCGTATATAACAAGCTTCATTTTGTGATACTTTTCTGTCATGAAATACTGACACACTTCCATAGATCATTATAATTAATCTTTGTCAGTTCCAATTGGCAGTCAGCCATTTTATATTGAGGATAATGACGAAACGTTTATCCAGCCATTTTGATCAAACCTTAACCTCTAAATGTATATGACACAAGCGCCATTTTGTGACACTTCTATGTCATCAAATGGCGACAGACGTCTCAAATGTCCTCTGAGGTTTTAAATGTAATGACTAATTTTTTATTACACAAAAACTGATAAACTAACCTGATCTTACAACAATCTATAGCCTCATCTTTGTCTTTGCACACGAAAGAAGGCTATCAGGAAATAAATTTAACGGTACATGATCTAACCACGACCATAACGTTTATTTTTCAGGGTGTTGAAACCCCCTGGTGGCGGAAGTAGCGACATATTCGGCGCTGCGCCCGAAGAGACGAGCCCCCGTCGCGTGAAGAATCACAACCAGTCGCAGCTGGGCTCGGCACTGTTCGGCGATGCCCCGAACAGCAATAGCAACAGCAACAGCAACGAAACGCCGCGCAACAAGCCCGGTAATGATTCATACAAACGTCTGTTTGGCCCTCCCGATGCCCCACCCACCACCCCAAACGCGAAAAATCATATGCGCAGCAATATCTCCCTCAGCGGGGATTCGTCGTCTTCGTCATCGGCGTCGCTGGGCGCCGCGACGTCGCCCGCGAAGAGCACCGCCAGCTCGGACTCGATCGCGGGCGTTCTCAACGGCTACGCTGCCAGCAATGGCAACAACCTGACCAACGATGTCACAGGTAAGGCTGTTTATCACCTTCCACGCATCCGCCTCTCTATTTCGAAAGAATTTTATCAAAATTGTGTCTATGGTCAGGTGAACTCTGCTGTACGGTGCGAGCGAAAGGCTAACACGTTTTATCTGTTCTTTTGGGGAAGATGATTTCCTTCTTTGTCCAACATTTCATGTCTTTTGAAGATCTCTGTCCAATATTCGGGGTAGTTTCGTCACAAAACTTCATATCTTTTGAGACGTTCAAGATTCACATTTTTGTTCGCTACCAAAGTTATGAGATGAAAGGTGGACTTCGTAACGAATCAAAATTATCTGGTACTTTAAATTTGATCAGCAAGAACTTCGAGTTGTATTAATTCTCTACTCGGAACTTCAAAAGCACGATTAATAAAAAAATTTTCGCTTCGAATGTTTTGTGGACAAAGAATAGCATAAATCATCTTCTGGAAGCAGCTTAAATTTTCTGTTCACCATTCTGTTTCTGATATCATGAGTTCGAACACGAAATTTTATTTCGTTTTTGTTCCGTACTCGAATTATAACTCGCACTGTATTCGAGCTACCTTGAAATATGTGTCTGTGTGTCGCAGGCTCTCCCGCGTAGCTCTTTCGAATCGTCTCTTAACAAATTAGGACACCTTTGTCGCTTATGCAACGAAGCTCGATCATTGCTTACTGACGGATCGCTTGTTGATCAGAGAATTCGTGCAAAATTGTTTGGTTCGGTATGTGGAGCTAGCGAGACACGAACGAATCTTCTTCTTCCCTTGTGACTAATTATGTACATACATGACTTCCACCGAGTCATACTGTTGAATTGTTCGCAAGCAGCTTTTAGGAGAATCAAACGATTTCGTAAGTGTGGACTAAAGACACAAGTAGATACACGACACTCATACCACACATTATTTTTTAATTAAGAGTGCTCGGGTGTTTCGGTATCGTCGCTTGATTTACATTGGCCATCAATATATAACTTTCTTAACCCATTCGAGACGACGATTTTTTTCGAACACGGTCCCCAGGACCGAAGCTCTTTTTCTCTTTATATTATTCATTTTTAATAAAAAAAAACTAGATTACTTAGAATGTTTTCATTGCGTGGATTGAACCATGTGTGTAATATAAGGTGATATAAGGTTTTACCTCAATAACAATTTTATTCAGAATAATTGATAATTACTTATTACTACTGTTGCACACCTGGTCTTATAGCCTTGGAAATCGATTGCACACACGGTGTGCAATCGGTCTCGAATGGGTTAACCTGATTGATTGTAGCATTTATTTTAATCCTCAAGGAGTAAGTTCAGAATTAATGAAACGTTTAGACAAGTTTCTACTGCAATTTCTTTTGTACTTTTTATTGAAATTATCATTTGGAATCATAGTTAATATTGCAGGAGTTAAAATCTCTAATTTTATAGGTCACTAGTTTGCTATGTGAATAATTGTCTAGATCAGTGTATCAATTAAAATCTTAGATCCTGAGCATTTTCTACATCCTCAAGTTAATAGAGTAAAAGTACAAATCAATTCCTAGGTCTCTAAGTTCAAGACTTGCTATGTAAATAATTCCTTAGATCCTCATATTTTAAAGAACTTAGATTCTGATCATTTTTTGTATCTTCAGGTTAATATTGCAGGAATTCAAATCTCTAATCTTATAGGTTACTAGTTTGCTATATAAATAACTGTCTAGATCAGTGTATCAATTAAAATCTTAGATCCTGAACATTTTCTACATCCTCAAGTTAATAGAGTAAAAGTACAAATCAATTCCTAGGTCTCTAAGTTCAAGACTTGCTATATAAATAATTCCTTAGGTCCTCATATTTTAAAGAACTTAAATCCTGATCATTTTTTATATCTTCAGGAGTTAAAATCTCTAATCTTATAGGTCACTAGTTTGCTATGTGAATAATTGTCTAGATCAGTGTATCAATTAAAATCTTAGATCCTGAACATTTTCTACATCCTCAAGTTAATAGAGTAAAAGTTCAAATCAATTCCTAGGTCTCTAAGTTCAAGACTTGCTATATAAATAATTCCTTAGATCCTCATATTTTAAAGAACTTAGATCCTGATCATTTTTTATATCTTCAGGTTAATATTGCAGGAGTTAAAATCTCAAGACTTATTGGTTATTGATTTGCTATATAAATAATTGTCTAGATCAGTGTATCAATTAAAATCTTAGATCCTGAACACTTTCTACATCCTCAAATTAATATTGTAAAAGTGAAAATCATTTCTCTAGATCCTTAAGGGGTTAACCCTTTAAATGCCCAATTTATTATATAACTTTACTCATTTTCAAAAGCTTGTAACAATATTAATAATGAATTATGAAAACGATTGCCAATGTGAATCGAGGTAACTCGTGAAACTTCCATATCGACCGGTAAATTAGAATCTTGTTTCTTTATTTCCATTTAATTTGGCGTATTTTTATTTGTAGAAGAGCGTAAATATCGAAGGTTTCTCGATCGAGCGAGCACAGGGCCTGCCACGATAATAAAAAACACATATTTTGAGTTAGTCGCGTCTTCATGCTCTTTTTGTTAATATTTAAACACCTTTTCTGCTTTCTGCGACAAGTAATTTTACCCCGTGTCGATTTTTCACGCATACGGATTTCCAGTAAACGCATTTAACAATTTATTTATATCACTCGTTTTCTGTTTAATTCGTGGTATGATTAATATATTTATCTGAAACCCTGAATAAAACGAGTTACAAGAAGTTTGTTTGCTTCGTTTGAATTTTCGTGATTGTTTCTATGATTTCACAAAACTCGCTTGGATTTTCTCGTTTGATTAGCGGTCGCTTCTTTTTATTTCTTCTATTTTTCGCTGTCGTATCGAATCGAATTTGCATTATTTTCGCTTTTGCTTGCATTACTTCACACAAACGTAGTGTTAAATATTCTATTTTTTATTTGTATACTTGTTCTTGACCTACGGACGAGATACCGCTGCTTTAATTAATGTGGTTAACATAAGATCTAAACATATTTTATCGCTGAAAAAATCAAATACTTAAGGTTTCTGTTTAGTCTACATTCAAATCATTACTTAAGCAAATTGTGCTTATTATTTATTGTAATAATTACTTATAGTTCATTATAACTTCTAGTTTATCATAAGCAGCTAAGTGTTCAATAAAATACAAAAATTCTTCTAAAATCATAACCTAACACGCTGAGCCGTGATGGTCACATGTGAACGCCGGGCTGTTCACATATGAGCCTCGCAGTGAAAACTGCCGTTCGTGGTCAAACTAATTCAACCTGAGAATTAACTCTTTGCACTCGAAAGATGACTCGCGTCACTCAATAATTGAATACAATTTGAAGTAAATATTCTTAACTAAATTTATTAATTTATTAACAGCATTATATAATAATAATAATGGTATATTACGTAAATACATATACATGTAGCATACTATACTGCACACCGGTCTTAACACTAAACCTACCGACATATAATGTATACTTAATTTGATATTAATATTAAATAAACAAACGACGAATCAATGCTAATTTTAAGGAATGTGCTTTAACAAAATATGTTCGTATAATAAGAAACTTATGGAGCGGTCATTTAACCGGTTTGGTAGTTTTAATGTTAAAAGAATTCAGCAAACATTTTAACCCCTTGCCGTGCCATTTATTTATGAGGTGCGTCAGTCAAGACTAACCATTCAGGACTATAACATTAAAACGAACAAAGAAAATTAAAATGTTCTAAGTATTTTATATTCAGAGATCCTTGACAACGCAAATTATAGTTGGATCTAAACTTCAAGTTAAAGAGTATTCAAAATTTGAGTAACATTAATCATATTTGAGTTGTGAGTGCGTCACGAGTGAGACTCGTCAAAGCACGGGAAGGGGTTAACTTTGAATATTGACATCTCACGACATCAAAAGTACTTCCGAGTGCAAAGGTAAATTTGTAAGAAAAAAGTGTACAGTTTACGAGGTAATCGAAGAGTGATCTCGTCCGTGGGGTGGCTTAGTCGCGTGCACTAACACAGAACACGGTTGGGTGACGGTTTATGGGTTTTGCTACGATATGTCGGTGCATGGGGGTGGTGGTGATGGTGGTGATGAATTCCGGCGCGTGTCGCTTTGCACCGGCTGTGAACTGTCGTCCTCTCTGCCTTCCTACCCGCTCGAATCCTGGCAGGTGGATCGTCCTGCATAACGCGCAACCCGGTCACCGGAGACGGAGTTGACGTGACGCCTATAAGGCGCAGCGCACGAAGGTGTCGAGGTAACGTGCCCACTGAATTTTTCTCGTTTTAAGCGACCGACCATACGATAATACCTCCTGCCAATCCCTTTACATTCTCCCGATCATTATCACTATGCGTCACGTTTCTTTTATCCGAAAGCTGAAAATAGAACGGTGGCATTGCCGAATATTTTTCGTGTTTGAAAGGACTCTTTGTACGTTCACTTTACTTTTGCATTTTGAAAGTATATTCAAACTTAGTTTGAAAGTAAATTCGAAGTTACAAAGGAAACGCTAAAATATTATAATGGCATTGTACAAATATGTATGAATTATTGTACGTTCATTTATTTTATATATGAACATATGTGATGTAGCATGTGAACGTTTATCAAGTTACAATTTTGACATTCAACAATTTCCTATCTTAAATTTTCTAGTATGAAATAAACAAACGATAAAACATTACAATAGTGTATGAATTATTATACGTTAATTTATTTTATATATGAACATATGTGATATAGTATATGAACATATGTGACACAGTATGTGAACATTTATCAAGTTACAATTTCAACATTCAACAATTACCTACCTTAAATTTTCTAGTATGAAATAAACAAACGATAAAACATTACAATAATATATAAATTATTATACATTAATTTATCTTATATATGGACATATGTGATATAGTATATGAACATATGTGACACAGTATGTGAACATTTATCAAGTTACAATTTCAACATTCAACAATTACCTACCTTAAATTTTCTAGTATGAAATAAACAAACGATAAAACATTACAATAATATATAAATTATTTACATTAATTTTTTATTTTAACATATATGAACAATCAGTTCCAATTTCAACATACAACAATTTCTATCTTAAATTTTCTATCTTAGAATAAGACACTTAAATGGTGCATTGACTACTTTGTTAATTTAATATTAAACAATTGCTGTACGATTTATTTCAGACGCGTCAGTCAAAACTATAATACTAACTTAACTCGGTTGCTACAAAATAAATGAGGAAAGTTAAAATGTTACATCAATTTCGTATTCAGTCCTTTGCCATGCAAATCGTAATTAAACTTACACTTTGAATTAAAATGTATGCAGAATCGTATTTGAACTCTGATTGCGTCACGAGTTAAATGTACTGAAGTACAGTAAAGGGTTAAATTCATTTCGAGACGAATTTGAACTATGTATAATTGGGTTAAGTCCTGCGATTGAAAGGTGGATATATAGTAGTAAGGTGAATACATAGTGCGTTGCTGAGTTTACGAACAAATTCTTGGTATCTGTAGAAAACTAGCGTGTGAAAGGAATGGGTAGAGGAAGGAATTTCTCAGTTCTAGTTTCGCTAACCTGGCGTGAAATTAAGTCGCGTCAAACTCGACTGTGTCGAATTGAATTGTTTGAGCTTAGCTCGTGTCGAATTCGAGCGTGCTGGAAAATTTGAAATCAAATCGTACAGAATTGAAACGCGTCAGATATGCGTAGACTTGAATTGAGTGGAATTGTAACTCACCGAATTGAATTGCGTAGAATTGAAGTATGCCTAATTGCATTGCATAGAATTGAAGCGAGTAAAGTAAATTTACGAAGAATTGAATTGGGTGTTGAATTATTTTGCATAGGATTGACATGCGCCAAATTCAATTATGTTGAATTGAAGCGCGTCAAGTAAATTTGCAATAGATTTGAATTATGTGGAATTGAAACTTGCCGAATTGAATTGTTCCGAATTCTGTGGCCATAGAATTGAAATGCACCGAATTGAATTATACTGAATTGAAGCGCGTCAAGTAAATTTATAATAGAATTGAATTGAGTGGAATTGAAACTTGTCGAATTGAATCGTTCCGAATTATGTGGCCATAGAATTGAAATGCACCGAATCGAATTATGCTGAATTGAAGCGCGTCAAATAAATTTACATAGAATTGAATTTGATGGAATTGAAAACTCCCGAATTGAATCGTACCGAATTATTTTGCGTGGAATTGAAATGCACCGAATTGAATTACACCGAATTGAATCGTCCCGAACTATGTTCCACAGAATTGAAATGCAAGAAATTAAATCACGCGGAGAAACGCCCCAAATTAAATTATCCAATAATCGAGTTACCTAAAATTAAATCACCCGAAATTGAATGACTAATTGAAACGCGTGAAATTAATACAGATTAAAGCCTAAGTGGCATGCGTCACTCTACAAACAAATCCTTGGTATCTGCATGATACTGAAATTCTTCTCGAAACTTGTAACATCGTAATAATTCTGTGAATCTTCGTATCAAGAGTCGTAAACAGCTTCTTAAATTCCTATATGGTACTTCAGCAATGCCACGAAAGAAAACAACCATATAAATTTGTTGACCGAATGTTTCAGCTTTCACTGTTTTACCTTATCTTTACCTTATTCAGCAATCGTCCATGAATAATATATTATTCATCGTGGACAAAAATTGCATCTCGTTTACAAAAATATCTTTATACGTTTTGTGTGTGCGTGTATATTAATAATTTTTTGCATTGTTTTTGTTTTCATCTTTTTTCTCCATTCTCATTCTACAAGAAAAAGGTGATCCTACTTATCCTTATCTGAGAGGGTAATCAGCCTCTTAGATCTCTTAATCACGATTCAAACCTTATCATTTTGACAACCATTACATTTTTCATTTCCTTCTCCAAGTGGACTTGCTTGAATTTATTTAAAAATCGAAAGATGTTCAGTTCGCATAATTCAAGCAATTCCAACAAATTTTCACATAGGTCGACACAGATAGTCTGTAATAGAACGGTAAGTTAGTTTCAAAAGTAGACATCACCCCCTGTCTTGCCGTAGTATTAAGAGTACGGTAGACTCTCATTATATCACCGGAATTACAGATGCAGTCATAATACATTGCTATAGCAAAACATTTTTATCGCGTGACGATAGAGTATTTAATTACAGTACATGTGGTGATACGTCACGTGATACAACACGTGGTGATCTATCGCGTGGCAATTTAACGTGTCATGATCTACACATGCTTTATAGAGCACGTGACTCTCTAACGTGAAACGATACAACCTTCTTTTCTTACGATAATAAGAAAATGTCTATTATACATTTTCCACGTGTCTATATTTTCCAGAATGTCTATTAGACATTTTCGACGTGTCTACATTTTACAAAATGTCTATTAGACATTTTCCACGTGTCTACATTTTCCAGAATGTCTATTAGACATTTTCGACGTGTCTACATTTTCCAGAATGTCTATTAGACATTTTCGACGTGTCTACATTTTCCAGAATGTCTATTAGACATTTTCGACGTGTCTACATTTTCCAGAATGTCTATTAGACATTTTCGACGTGTCTACATTTTCCAGAATGTCTATTAGACATTTTCGACGTGTCTACATTTTCCAGAATGTCTATTAGACATTTTCGACGTGTCTACATTTTCCAGAATGTCTATTAGACATTTTCGACGTGTCTACATTTTCCAGAATGTCTATTAGACATTTTCGACGTGTCTACATTTTCCAGAATGTCTATTAGACATTTTCGACGTGTCTACATTTTCCAGAATGTCTATTAGACATTTTCGACGTGTCTACATTTTCCAGAATGTCTATCAGACTTTTTCCACGTGTCTACATTTTCCAGAATGTCTATTAGACATTTTCGACGTGTCTACATTTTACAAAATGTCTATTAGACATTTTCCACGTGTCTACATTTTACAAAATGTCTATTAGACATTTTCCACGTGTCTACATTTTACAAAATGTCTATTAGACATTTTCCACGTGTCTACATTTTCCAAAATGTCTATTAGACATTTCCCACGTGTCTACATTTTCCAAATGATCAATAAATGTGTCCAGTAAATGTCCACATAAATATGGCAATATAACGAGAGTCCACCGTACAGCCTATCTTCCATTAGTATCTACATATTCGATTATTCTTTACCGATGCATCGACCAGACTAGTTTCTTACATTTGACGCTTAATTACCTGGCTGGTCCCTGTTCCCCTCTCGAACAGCCGCCAAAATGTAGATGGAAAATCATGAAGGGGTCTGATTGAACAGCATGTGAATTTCGCGTGAGATCTTGATATTACGTATCTCTATGACAGTGTTATACATCGCATCTATCGGACGCATAAAAATGTGATCAAACACATCACATAATCGTTTTTATGCTTCTGGTAAAATATTGCATGACAACGTAAGTTGACTTTGTTCAGCAGAAATCATAGCAACGACAAGATTTCAGATTTTCGTAGTTCTTCTTTCTTTCTTCAGAAATTACCTTAATATAAAACAGTTTGTTTACAATTATTATTAGGAATTTTTGTTTAATTTTGCTAAATATTTCTGTTTACAAAACTGAAAAAGAATCTTCACAAAAACTGTGATAGTTGCAAATCACACGCAAACTTTGTGAGACAACTTTCGAATCCGATATCGCCAAATTAGGTCACTTATAATAGTGCCATAGAGAAAGATATTTTAGATTAATGCCACGAAAACTGGAGCACTGAAACCGCTGAAATTTGGATCCAAGTTCGTTGAACCTCAAATTACAAACTTAATTTTAGGATGTTTAATTTTTTCGCAAACATCGTTTGAGTTAACGCTGAAATTTACAGCCATCTATTTTTAAAATATCGAGGTATTCGAAAGAATCATTACACGAATTTACGAGCGAGTCGAAATGAAATTGCAATAACAATCTGGATCAAACGATTAATATCATTTATAATTGACTTTTATGATTCTTGTGAAACTTCATACATACGTTCATTCATTTTGGTTTATACGGAGAATGTTAATAAGACTTTGCTAGAGTCATTTTGATCAACTTGAACATTTTTAAACTTTCACTTGGTGCATAAGTGTTGTAAATTTCTGTCACAAAATTACAACAAAATTGCAACAAAATTCTGTCACAAAATTACAACAAATTTCTATCACAAAATTATAACAAAATTCTGTCACAAAATTACAAACAAATTTTGTCAAAAAATAACAAAAAATTTCTGTCATAAAATTACAATAAAATTCTGTCACAAAATTACAACAAAATTGCAACAAAATTCTATCACAAAATTACATCAAAATTCTGTCACAAAATTACAACAAATTTCTATCACAAAATTGTAACAAAATTCTGTCACAAAATTACAAAAAAAATTTGTCAAAAAATAACAAAAAATTTCTGTCATAAAATTGCAACAAAATTCCGTGACAAAATTACATCTCTGTACCAAGCAAATTTCAGTGCTCCCAACCCAGTGAATAAAATTGAACGAGAAAGGCAGTCGATAAAGCGGCAGGATGTTGACTGAAAGACGCAAATGTTCTTCACAGATGGTAACCCGGTGACTGGAACTGGCTACGCAGAATCGCAGACCAACGGCCCGACCGTGCAAAATGGAACGTCCAGCTCGAATTCCAGCATCGGCGAGAAATCGAACGACTCGTCGCCAGCGGCCAAGGTCCCAACTCGTACACGCGTGCCACCCGGTGGCTATTCATCCGGATTGTGGTAAAATCTGCAACGGAACGACCGCTGATCGGCATATCCATCTTTGGCTGATGCCGTTGATCCTTCCAGTGCACCGGAAATTAGATCCCTACCGCTGGAACCAAACGAGAACATCGAAACACCCTGTGCAGTATCGAACGCTCCTTTCAGTCATGGGCGTAGCCAGAGAGCACTTCGTCCTCCCAGAAGTTCTTTTCTTAACCGAAATGATACTTAAATTATTCGTACCTTATATTTAACAATAAACGTAAAACTCGTTTAAATTTCATCGAATTTGTAATTTAACTTACAATTTTGTCTCTCTGACTATGCCTCTGTTAATAGATGAAAGGAAATATTACGTTGGTATTCATTTTTCAAGACAATTCGTTCTCCTTTTAAAATGTTGATTTAATTTGTTCCTTGGTGTTGACGATGAGGGTGGTTCTTCCTTCTGGAACAGAAAAAGTGTAGTGATGGACGCAGACTACTCAAATTTTGTTCGAGCAGAAAGTTCTTCCAACTGCGATATTGAGTATTTTACGTACATGTTCGTTTCTTTTTGTGCTTCAGAAGTTTTTCGTACGAAGAATCATTCTGATTCTGACTTTTGTCGTTGTGTTTTTTTGATGTCCTGGAAAATGACACTGGAAGGATTGACGAGAGATCCAGGGACGCAGAGAAGAAAACGATTTGTCATCCTTCTGACGAGATCTTTAGGTCCCGGTTGTCGAAACGGATTAAAAAATAGTCGTTCAATTTTCACGGTCAAAATGTCATTCCTCCCCCGAGAAAATCTTCGTTCCCTCGGTTTTTCTAAGCGTGTAACTTTTAAGAATATAGAATTGTTCGTTGGAAGAGAAAAATGTGGGCGTGAGATAGTTTCCTATTTTCGAAAGATTTTTGCCCGCGTCCGGCCGTTCTCTTTTTCAAAAATTACCTTTCTACGACCACTTTTTGCGGGGACGCTGGTTTGCTGGAAATTTGAGGTAACTGTTCGAGGAACTGATAAGATAATTTTGCAAAATTATGGCAGGCACTTTTTTGAAACAAGAGGAGAAAATTTATCATCGGTCTATTTGAAAATTTCAACATCAAAAGAACATACTGAAAAATTTAATTTAAACCAACCTCTTACCATGTCAAGTTGCTTCAATTTTGTCTTCATTTCTAAAAAATGTTTGCTATAATTAATAATGCTGAAATTATTCTTCTCGGTTTCTCCGATGTTTCTTCAAAATTTGAAGCGGACCCTGTAATCAAATAATATGTTACACTAATAAGAAAAGCGAATATCAAAGAGCGTAAGACACCACGAAAGAAGGTGATCTTTTGAATAACGATGAACCATGGACAGTAGGAAAAATCGGGGAAAAAGTTGTTTTAGATAATTCGATTGAATCCTGCCAAAATTCTGAGGAGACGAAACTAATGAGAAAAGCGTCAGGTATACGTACAGAACACGCTTCTTTAAATAAATAGACTGCTATCGGTTGGTATACTTCGGATAAGAAATCATACTTGTAACTCGAATGAATAGAGTGAAATTTCAATTAAAACCGCGAACGTCCAGAGAGAAGAGAGAGAGTGCTCGACTCCATGGTATATTAATTATTAATTAGAAACGTTCGACGAAACCTCGGAATTGTATATTAGAAGTAGACATATGTTATTCGAAAGAAGTAATAATAATAATAATAATAATGATAATAATAATAATACTATTAATATTAATAATATTAATAAAAATACATCATGTAACCCATTCAAACAGTCAAGTGCTTTCTTAATTTCCATGCCTTTTTAAATTGTATCGTTTCTTCTGCATGAACAGATATATTTCATTAGAAAGCACGGTTCCTTTCTTTTTCTTCTTTTTCTTTTGTCTTAATTTTCTTCGTATGTTCTAGCAAAATACGGCTTCTCTGCGTCATTACGTACTTGCGGAAAAAAAGACTATTAGTTTTTACTAATTGTATCGTAGGAAATTAATTGCACACGCAAATAATCGATTTTACCGATCCTATTTATCGCTGTATCATCTACGGCCCCGTCTAAACGAGATACCATGTAATCTTGTCGAAAGGTTTAACAGTTATTCGTTTGTAGTCGTCATTACACTTGCTTTGTTTTCCTTGTTTTTGTCACGAGATAACGTATAAGAAATTGTATTTCTTGTTTCAAGGAACAAGACTCTCGTTGCACACTGTTTCTCTCTTGTGTTTGGAAAATGAAGAGATAACGAAAATTATTTCTTTATCTCGTTTTGGTGTGAGTAAAATTACAATACATTGTTTGTATCGCATTCGTGTTCTCGTCTCATAAGTAGCCTTTTTGTACTCTGGCATTAATTAATAAAATTTTGTAAGCAACAAAATCCTGTTGTTTTATTCCCCTCCTTATTTAATAATAAATTAAAAATGCAGATGAATTGCTGTGGACGATTTTATTATCAAAATATATGTATAATGGTATTAAACAATGCCGGTAGCTACAACGAAAAAAATAAATATAAATATGTAATACTGCAATACGATTATGAGTAGAAACTTAACATGCCCTTCGTCGCGAGTTTTTAAGTATTTCATATGACAGCAATGAGTTCCTTTATCGCTGATCCATTTGCTTTGCACAAAGCAGCGAACAACTGCTTCTGATTCGTTTCCTTCTCCAGTTTCTTTGATATTTCATGTCCCCTATTTGTAATTACAAGCGGCACTCCGGCCAGTCGAGCGGCATTAAAACCGTAAGACTTCGGACAAGCTCCTTCGCTAAGTTTGTACAAGAACGTCACCGTTTCCTGAGATACTTCACCCTCTTCCTCGTTTTCTACCATACACGCCATATGAGCTAATGTAATGTCCTTCTTGTTTTTGTAGTCTTCCACTAAAGAATGGTAATGCGTTGAGAATAATGTACGACATTTTAATTTTGTAAGCGCATCCACAACCGAAGCGGCTATCGCAGTTCCATCATACGTCGATGTACCACGTCCTGTGAAATAGCATTATGAATTAACAGATTTGTCTCGTTACGAATGTTGTAATGACTTACCTAACTCGTCGAGCAAAACCAACGAGTACGGTGTAGCGTGTTGCAATATTGCTGCAGTTTCACTTAGCTCTACTAAGAATGTACTCTGACCAGCCAGAATATCATCGTTCGCTCCCAGTCTCGTGAATATACGGTCTACCAGCGTTAAACGACAAGAGGATGCAGGGACGTAACTTCCCTATACAAAAGTTAAAGATATTATGAACAAATACATACACTACTAATTTCACAAAAATCAAACTTACAATTTGTGTCATTATTGTAAGAAGCGCAACCTGACGCATAAGTGTTGATTTACCACCCATATTTGGTCCAGTTAAGATCATGAAAGAAGCAGAATCTCCAATTCCCAATAAAGTATCATTTGGTATGAAGGAGTCCGAAAGAATGCACGGATGCCGTCCATCTCGAATTTCAATAAATATCTGCAAGATTCGTATTTTTTAACGGCGCCGTTTCATGAATAAAATAATTTGGATTATACAAAGTTACCTCTCCATCTGTATCGCTAACAATTTCTGGTACACACATGTCACCGCTGAGAGCATACTCTGCTAACGAAATGAGTACGTCCAAGATGGACAATTTGTAAACAGCTGCACTCCACATGTCATATTTCTCGCTAAATTGCGCAAATATTCTCCTGTTCAAGTCCTTTAATACTTTATCTTTATGTTCCTCGGCAGCTATTTGTCGGCTTAAGAGTTCCTGAATAAAATTTTTCATCCGTATAAATGAAATTACAAGAGATTCCAAATCTCAAGGTAATAGTTATCATAAAAAATATAAAACCTTTGCCTCAGCGGTGTAATAACGCTTATATCCTTTCCTCTGCGACGTTAATTCATATCCTGATCCAACTTTCTTGACTTGGGAGTCAGGGATTTCAATCTGGTAACGTTTCTTATCGCTTCCGAAAAACGTAACTTTCACACCAAAATGTTGTTTCTGCTTTTCAAGATACTGTTCCGCGTCTTTCTTTACATCTGATAGTTCCATTAAAACAGAATCATATTCGGCATCGACTCCTTTTTTTGGTACGATACAACCTACTTTTTTGGCCTCTTCATGGTCGAAAGCAGTCTAAACATATATTATAGGTTTATCCTTTATTTGATGTCTTAAATAGAATTAACATTAATTACCTTGAAATAATCTAGAGTCTCTCTTAATGAAGGAAATTCGCCATCCGGTTCAATTTTAGTGCACCTCGTAATTAAAGCGGTATTAAAATCTAGAAAGCAGGATTATTTCAGATATGTTAATGATAATTAAGAATTATATGTATTTCAATACCTTCAAATAAAGCAACTATTTTTAATGCTTCCTCGAAGCCGTTGAGTGTAGTAGTGAAATCTAAAATTTTCCTTTTAGAATAGGTTTGACCCTCGAACATAATTGCTCTGCCATCAGGATGATTATTTAATCGTGCTGCATTTCCTTGAGCGTGTATCCTAATATTATTAATTTAAGATGTATTAAATACTTGTATTAATAAATCATTTATTTTACTGGGTAATAGTTTGTCTCACTTGCTCAATAGTCTTTCAAGATCAGGGAGAGTAGCTAGCATACTACGTGCAGACTGTACAGTTTCTGAATGATCCATTAATTCTTGTATGGCTTCCTGACGCTCAAGTATGACGTTTTTCCGACAGGATGGTCTACATATCCATTCACGTAACAACCTATAACCAAGTTTGATTAGAATGACATCAAATAATTAGCTTAATATAACTATACCTTTTTCCAAAAGCGGTGCAACAACGATCTAGCGTTTTCATTAAAGATCCGTCACCGAAAATTCTCAAGTTGTTAATAGTGATTGCGTCTAGGATCTAACGATTATAAATATTATTTTATCTCTAACAATAACATCAACGAAACTAAAAAGTAATTTATAATTACCATATTATTCGCAAACTTAGAAGACGTAGAGCTGCCATCCTCTAAGAAATCTGGTGGAGTGTAGGACTTGAATCGACCTTGTGCCAGTAATTGTTGTTCCAGGAAATAGTCTTTAAGCAAATATATGCATCCTCCTAGAGCGTGTACTGCTAGCTCTTTATCATCAGCTGGAGTTAAACCTAAACTGTCTCCTACATAAAAAGCAATTATATGTAGATAAGAGTACAACTTTATGACTATAATATGTATTGAAGATACTTACCCTCATTAAGGTATGGTCGTAAACCTTCAGGCCATGAAAATTCTGAGTCTGATTTTTTGAAATAGTCTCCTTCATGAAGATTCTGCAAATAACATTACATTTACATACTGATACATATATGTATTAATATTAAACTTACTTTCAACGTAGTCGAGGAAGACCAAAATTGTGATTCGCGTAACAGAGGTTCTTTCATACATGCCGCTAAAGTATTGTCTAAGATTTTCAATGTCTTTTGAGATAAATTTCCACGTTCGTACACGACCTAAATCGGAGCATACATATATTAGAATTGATACGTTAAATTAACATGTAACAAATCACTTACGTGAACAGGTGGATAGTGAGCAAGTAAAGTCAACAGCCTAGAACTGCAACGATCGTCTTCAAATTGTCCAAGGTAAAAATCTCCTATCGTAGTGTCCAAAAAGCAAACTCCGTAATGGGACGTGTTTGAACCAGATTGGCATTTCTCAATAAGCGATAAAAGGTAATTGGAATTCGGCGTTGATGCTTCTACATCCAATGCAGTGTATGCTCTTGTACCCCTGGTACTTATCTGACAAATTTCCCTTTTAACAACTTTATCGAATTTTGTTGGTCTGTGCACTGAACAAAATATGGAAGATTAAACTATGATAACCCTTGTAAAAATAAATGAGTATTTCTTAAAATATCTCACTTTTACTACAACGTTGTGCCATCATTTCTGGGTTCTCAGTTTGCTCTACCCTGGCTACTTTATATCCTTTCTCTATAAGACTTGCAGAGAAACGACCGTAGCCGATTTCAGGAAACCCAGAGTGTGCAAATTCACCCTACAATTTGTTACATTTATTATGATAATCTTGAAAATATTTGAAAAAAGATTGGGCTTACCCTCATATATGTCAGATTAAGTTCATTGACCCCAACAACAGCGTCCATGTGGTACAATTCATAAAACTTTCCTACTTTAAAGAAAAGAACGCAATCGTAATGTTTACTTTTCAATTCCCACCACTGCCTCATTGCCTATAAAAATCTTATTTTAAAAAATCTGATACCATACTGATGATCTGAATTTAAAATTGTATTTTACCGGAGTCTGCTGATTCAAAAAGTCCTGGGGAACATAAACAGTTTTAGGATCATAGTCTGGATCACTCAAAGGTTTTCTATTGATGTCCCGTATCTTATTTGGTTGCAAGAAATCATATTTTAAATGTGGCCAAGATTCCACAACATTGTTTGAACTCTGTGTTTGATTTTGTTGAGACAGTTTTGACTCCTTCTTATCCTAATGATAATCAGTTTTTATTAATTATATAAGATATACATTATAAACTTTATACTAGAAATCAATCACTATTATATACTTACTTCTTTACCATTCTTTTTTGTCCTTGCTCCCTGCCTACCTCTACTATTATTAGAAACTTTTCTTTTTTTCTGAAACGCAATTTACATTACAGTAATCAGTATTTACATCTTATCACCATAACTAATATTTTACCTCTGGTGATTCTTCTTCGCTTACAGTCTCTGGTTCACTTTCAGTAACTCCTTCAGATCCAGAATCAGACTCTTCTGATTCATTCTCTGTATTTATGTAAAGAATAATCTAAGTTTTGTCTCATGAATAAAACAGAACATAGTGTATATTAAGAAATAGAGACATGGTTTCAAACAAGAAAAAGGAGATGTGTAAAAGAAAAATTAGGTAGGTATATTATTCTATCTAATACAAACCAGGCTTGAACTCATCCCCAGTATCATCTCCAGAATCAACATCAGGAATAATTAACCTTCGTTTCTTTGGTCTAACTGGTTCATTTTCTTCTTCTTCATTCTCGTCATCTTCTTTGTAAACTCTTTTTCTATCCTCAACATTCTTATTTTCTTTCCCTTTGCTTGGAGTTTTGGCTATAGACATATAACAAGTTAATTATTTTTCATAATAGTTATAGCTTTAAAATATATTTCACAGGTTATTTATTATATAATGAGAAGTATTAACTTCATAACAATGTAATGATAAACTAAATCAAATAATCATTCACGATGTACCTTTGTTCTTTTGTTCCTTACTGCTTTTCGGTGTTGAAGGTTTTTCAGCCGGTACCGGTTTGTTATTCGTTTGTTTCGGAGTTTTCGGTGACGTGAAGTAATTGTACAATGTATTTACTTTAGACATGATATCTTTTATAATAATCAAACGAATAGTCAGACAATTATTATATTATTTGTGCAAATCTCCTTTCCTCACTGTGAATATGAGTATCGTGCAGCCATACACGAGTTAAAATCCCGGCAAAATTTTGGTTTTCGCAAAATCGTTCATTCACGATGGTGCGTTCCTAAATGCTAAATATCTCGGATAATATTTCTTCTAGAGATTTTTATTCGTCCAGCTGTCAAAATACTCGTTATATTGGTATCTCTGTCTCAGGAAAACAACAATGGCGTATTCGGTAAACGTTTCTGTAGAAGCACCGATCGAGAATCAGATTCAAGAAATCACTTACGATGGCCAAGAAATTTATCAAGCGTACGTAGTTTATTAGATAAAGACTTGCAGTTATGAAATAATAAATTGAATGAAAATTGTATAATTTAACTATATGTTGTACCCAACCTCAACGTTAATGCAACGTTCTATTTACTTATTTACTTGCTCTTAGACCTCTTACCCTCTCTGAAAACTTGGCGAAAATCGCGCAGAAAATTGACTTCAGCAAAACCAATGGAGATGATATTAAGAAAGAATCTGAAGGTGGAGAAAAGGGTGAAGAAGAAACAAAAGACTCAGCTTCTTTCCAGTTGTCCTTATGGCCATGGGACAGTGTTAGAAATAAATTGAGGTTCTATAGTTTATTACATTACATTTTTTTATATTTTCCAAAATGTGGACTACAGTTTTGTTGTCACTTATAGGAATGCATTGACAGAAGTGTGCGTACTGGCTGATGTCCTTGCAATTGCAAAAGAGAAGCAGTATATGGTTCTTGATCCTGTGCCACAAGATCCGGTAGAAGTAAAGTCTATGATACCAGTTTATGCTAGAAAGAAAGCTCTGGCAGGAGCAGCATCTGTTATTATGATGGGTGCTGATAGATTAAAGAATTGTCAGAATGAATTAGCTAGAAATAGAACGACTCCAGATTTTCATATTGAATTACTGAGGTTGAGACAAAATTGGCGTTTGAAGAAAGTTTCTAATTCGATCATTGGTGACCTTAGTTATAGAACAGGTTTATAATTATAGTTTATATGTTACAAACTATTATTTTAGAAATTATTACTCTAATACCATTTGTGATTGTAGCTGGTTCCAAGTTTCCTCAGACTGGTATGTTTGAAGTTACGAAAGCAGAAGAAGAAGAAAAAAGCAGTAATAGTCCTCCAGCTTCTCCTAGCACTGGTAACAATATGTCAGGTCAGCCACATCCTCCAAATTCTAAGGCTTCTGCATTGCGTGTTACCATACCTAGTGAATTGCAAGGAGTTGCTTACATAAAAGTATTATGTCAGAAAGGTAACTATATACATGGCATATTTATATCTTGTACTATACTGAAGTAAAATATTTCATTTCACTTCATCTTTTAGACCAAGAAGACTTATGTAGTGCAAATATTAGTTTACTTAATAATAGTGCACATAGTTCCAATGCAGATATGCATTGGCAACAAAAATTGGAGGCTGCACAGAACGTTCTATTTTGTAAAGAATTATTTAGTCAACTAGCAAGAGAAGCGGTACATTTACGAGCACCAATACCTCACATGGTTGTTGGTAATCAAATAATGGCAACGGTAATTACTTTGTAAAATGATTGAGATACGTAATACATAGAGCAGTATGTTAGGTGTATGTAATTTCAGGTACTTCCTGGAATTCAGTTAATCATAGGACTTTGTCATAGTACAGGGAACGAGAAAAAACCTGCTGTTCCACCTCCTCATAAAATTGATCACGATCACGTATTAGAGCATTCGTTGCATCAATTGTTACGTGAAGTACATCACAAAAACACTCATCATCCGTTTCCGCATCCTTCCTCGGGACCCCTTGGACCTAGCAAACGTAGATGCTTAGCCGGTCCAACGGCCGCTGATAGATACGAACTGTTAGAAATGACAAAAAGTCAAACTCTTTTGGAACAAATTATTCAACAAGCCCAACACTTTTTTATGCGGCGGCGTACTGAATACGTTTTAGATACGATAGCGAAAGAAGTTAAAGATCCTTTAATCGTTTCTCATTGGAACGCATTGAATTCTCCTACACAATCTTGCGTAAAGATTAATATTTTAACCCATGGATATGATACTGTATGCAGAACATCGCTCGTTGTTCACGTGGGCGAAAGATCTTTAAAATGTGTCTGTCGAGACGGTAGAGTAATGCATATGAGTTATGAGCCTCAAGAATTACGAGATTTAATATTTTGTCAGGTAAGTTATTACACATATTTTATTACTTCAATATATGTGGAATGCTTATTAATATTTGCTGTTTTATTCAAGATTTATCAACACCAAATAACAGCAGTACAGTCATTAGCAAAATGTATGGGTTGGCAATTTTTAGCCAATAGTTCTCATCTTGGCTTAGGTGCAGTTGAACCTCTAGGAAATGCCAGCAGTTGCATTCTGGCTTCGCCAATCGGTGACAGGTGAGCGTGTACTTGTTCATTTTGTTAGAAAACATTTAGCAATCTATAAACGATCCTTGGATTTCTAGGATGATAGCTGTTAGGTGTGAACCACAAACAGGAGTACAAGTAGCAATAGCTCATTCTCCTAGGAAAGACTTTTTCCCAGGACAATTAGTAAGAGAAAGGAAATGGGAGAACTTAGGTGGTTCTTTCAAAGAAGTTCGATGGGATAAAATGGAAGGAAAAAACTTTTTAAACAAAATGGAGTTACTCATGGCTTCATTAACAAGTTCTTAAATGTTATCAATGACTGATTAGGAATTTAATTGTTCCACAGGGTGAAAACAATTGTCATACTTGTAGATTTTATTTTGGATCACATGCAGTAATTGTATAATTAAACATGAATTTATCTGAATGGTACCATGTCTGTGATTAATATTTTTCAATTTTATATTCATCTATATGCTGCTCAAACATTCTTTTTTTTTAAATAAAATGATTTAAAAATCATTTGAAACATTTTTATATTTATTTCAATGTTAATATTTGACTACAACTTATTTCATCCTGTGGTATTTGTTATTTGGAATAAGGATTGTAATTAAGTGTATCTTTGGTTGTACAAAAATGGTTTTTATTTGAGTGACATATGAAATGTAATATGAATCGAGTAATAAATCATCATGAAATGGTAAGTGAAACACAATGCCAAATATACAGATGTGTATTGAACATCTAAATTACAATTGTTAATGGATTTTATATATATATATAGATAGGCATATGTATATATATACAAAGTCTACTGAACAATTCCTTATGTATTATTATTTGTATAACCTTTTTGAATAATTTGTTTTTAGATTTAAGGCTTGAATTGAAAATTTGCTCTTTCTTATCCAATAGACATGTACATCATACATGCATACATACATTCTTACATATGTACATTCACAGTTTCTTTTTTGTTTCTCTGAAATACAAGAGGATATTGTACATTTTAGTACTATTAAATTCTGAATCGAAACATCTTGAACTGGTTATACAGTTGTTTCGATGGGTTAAGGGACGGACTAGCAGCTTAACCACAGAATTCTGTGCTAGAATGTATCAAGATTTAATAGAATAAATTCTTTTGCAAGGAAATTTCTTCAAACTAGATTCAACTGCGTATTTTCAATACACAAAAAATATTTATATTTTGAACAATAAGTAATACTGATACACTTAACATATTTTTATCCTCCGGATTTGTACGAATATCTTCCTGATCATTCTTGGCTCTTTAATATCAAAGAATAGGATATGATTTGTTAATTTAACATCATACATTCTTACACATAGTGTATATCAGAATCATAAACAATTTTTTTATGGGTTAATACCTAAAAAAACTTGTCATTCTGTGATATTTGTTTAAATTTTTTTATCTCACTTTCTTGTAAAACAGTGAGGTATATTTTGAGCTCTGCCTCCTGCAACTTTGAATGCAAGTGCAGTTGTTATTATCAAAACCATATAAGCTGACAAAGTAGTAGCTACATAAGCTTGATATACATTTAACAAAGTCATACACGACACAAACAAATGTGAGCCAACAACCCAAATAACTTGTCCCCAATTTCTTTTATCCAGAGCAGAGAAAAATACAACACCCCAAAATGTATGTAGTAGAATGAAGCACAGAGTGGTGGCAGCTGATATTATAAAAAAGTATTCTGTGCCTCGCCAAAGTCCCATGGTTCCAGGTCCAACCGCGTCTGCTAGGACATTGACTAGAGCAAAGGCACCGCTCATAAAGCCAAAACCTAAACCACAGACATATGCAAATACATGTCTGCTATCTGCTACATGTGTTGTTGTTACTTTTTCTAAGCCTCTCTCAGCTTTCCTGAGTACCCAGTATAAGAGATACCTATATACAAATAATAAAAGAAATCAAAATACATAATGTTTGGATGAATTAAAATAAAAGAAAATTTATTACAAACAAAATCGTGACATAATATAAAAAATATTATATTTTGTATATGTTTTAATCACCTGAATGCTTCTTGAAATAACACAGAGAACACCAATCCAAACGCTAGATGATTTTGAAGCGGCACCACGGCGTACCATAGAATCGACGACAATAATAAAGAAATAAGCCAAAAGAAGGCACTGGCTATTAGTATAATAATTCTAATAGGTTCGACCGCAACGGTGAACGTAAACATAGCCAACGGTGGGCCAAACGCCAAAAAGGCACAACCAAAAAAATCCATAACTGTCATTTTTACTGTGAAAAGTGATGTGGCGACTCACTTCTTCACCCGTCACCACTAGACGGCGCGCAAACTTAACATCAACTAATTTTCTCGCTAGTGTTTAGCAAATTATCTATTCGTCTTTTTCTTTTTTGTTCATATCAGAACACTATCCCCATGTCTAAGGCATGGACCTGCTTCACTGTCTTACTGATGAAGTCCTACTAGCAGCTCCCAAGCGAAACCCCTCTCCTCATTCCTTCTCTCTCCTGTACACTCCTCCTCTCTACCATTTTACAAGTCGCCAAATTTTCCCAAATCACAGTTATATCCTTTTAATATCAAATCGGTCAAATTACTTTGAAATGCTATAAATGTTTTCATAACCTTACGAAGCCTTTTGCACAATGCTACTGTCTTGAAAACAAGTAGCTATTTTAGGATATATACTTTATTGTCCTTCCTGGTTATAGAAACACGAAAAAAAAGGTATAATATTGGAACCGAAGTCGTGTGAATCACGACACTGACGAAATCCTTGGCAAACGCTACAAAGAACTTTCTTTAAAAATATGTAAACTTCTCGATAACCAATTTCGATGTATCGATAAGTCGATTATCGAGATTATTGTACAAATCTTTTTGGCTGATACACATGACGAACGTCGTTCAATGAAAATCGCTTTAGTTAATTCTTATCATAATATTTTTTAGTCTTTGTTTAGCACGAAAACGAAAACTCATCTTACCGTGCTACGTTTCTCTTGTGAAAAAAGTGTACAATGTACTCAAGTGCCGTACAACAAATTAGTCTCATTGAAAGTTCTATGGTTGAGACTTTATAGAATGTTTATTAAATTTATTTTTAACTTGTTTGCACATAAAAGAAGGGTACTTTAAATAGGAGTCACGTTACTGCCGACATCGATTATACTCCTATGAAATGATCGAGTTCTCGCGCACTTTCTTTTCGGATGTGTGTGTGTACATTCGCTCAGCTGTTCTGATTAGAAGTGATCGCGGCTCGTCTGATTGCACAAATTTTCGAAGCTTTGGAGTTTATTTTTAGCACACGTGCCATGTCGTTTTGGTATGATCCTCGTGGATTTTTGCTGCGTAACAGCATGTTATTTGGTGCCTGATTCGGTCGATATACGAACGTTTGCTCATCGCGTTAGTTATCACAAGTTTGACATTAATCCGAGATCGATGTGCTCCGCAAATTGACGCTCAATTTTCACCGTGATTGTTAAGGTTCAACCATGAAGAAGACACGTTCGAGTATTTTTCATGACATTTATTACCAGCCATATGATGATTGCACCAGGATGAAGCTTTACTCTAGCAGTAAAGGTACTTCAAAATAAAAATTCCTTATTGTGTAAAGTGGGACGTTGTAATGTACAAGTTTTATTTTGACGAACGTAACCGAGTAAATTTTTTAAACTCGCTCAGTTTTTTCTGGTTCTCCTTTGCATATAAATATTATAGTCCATTTAAGTGAAAAGAGAAAGAATTTTATTTTTTTTTATAAATTTGGTTTTTCTTCTAAGTCATTGTTTGTGTCACTACATTTCAGCGAGTCTACAAATGATGCAGCGTATGGCATTGTTAAAAAGATTAAAAGTTCATAATGGTTGTGTAAATTCTGTTTGTTGGAACGCAACTGGTGATTTAATATTGTCTGGTAGCGATGATCAACACCTTGTGCTTACAAATGCATACAATTATGAGGTAAGTGTTTATGACCAGAAAACTCATTTTTACTTATTTAGTTGCTGTAGAAATTATAGATATACAAATTATGTCATTTTGCATAATAACATAATATTAATTGTTTCCATGAAATTTGAGTACACTTATTATCCAATCATGATATGTATGAAGTAATTTGTGTAGATAACATTATAGGTATTAACAAATATGATATACAAATTGCATACATATTGTTATCAAAAAAGCTTAAAGAAGATTTCAAAATGTGTTGAAATATTCTTACAATGGAAGTGTTGATAATGTAATACACAAATATTTCATTATTCCATATGCATAATGATTGGATAATGAATGTGTTAAAATTTAACGTTCCTGTTATCAATAATTCTGGATGAACAAAGTTAAATTATAAATGGATTAACCAGGTACATATTATCTATGGTAAAAATTATTTCTATTTTATTGTATCAAGATATGTTTGTGAGTCTTGTCAAATATGGTGCCAGGGTTATTTATATTTATATCTTTGACAAAAGGCATTTAAAATATGCGTATATTCTTTGTTCTTTCATATATTATTAAATTTTATTTTAATTTGATACAATAGTTAATTCAGTGGTGACATTTAATTATATTGGTACATGTTCTGCTACAAGTGTATTTCAGATATGTTTCATGGAATAAGACTTTTTCTCTTTGTTTCTATTTATTTAGTCAAAATCTATTATGTAAGATTGATTGGCACCAAATTCATTGAAAGGGAAGTTACATTGGCAATAAACCTTTTTCAAGGAAATATTGTAGATAGTTAATTCTAGTCAAGGTCTAACATTGACATAGATAGAATTGCAGAAGCTTTGCCAAATGAACAAAAATCTATGTGTGTAATGCATGTAGTGCTAATTTTATCATTTAGATCCATCAATCTAGAACTATCTTGCTAATTAAATAGGATAAGAAGTTCTCTACACTTAATGTTAACAGCAAAAATTATGCAAAAATCTTGTTAACATTAAGAAAAAAAGATTATGTTATAAGAAAATCTTTTTTACATTACAGGTATTGACAGACTGTAAAACCAGTCATAGAGCTAACATATTTAGCGCGAAATTTTTGCCTAATAGCGGAGATCATCGAATAGTTTCGTGTAGTGGTGATGGCATTATTTTGTATACAGGTGAAAATTTGCTAATTATGTGTCTAATATAACAGGGATTTAGTGTAACCTGACTGACTTATAACAATCAAATTTTAACACTTGCAGATTTAATGAGAAGAACTAAAACATTTCATAATCAGTTTAATTGTCACAGTGGTACTACTTATAAAATAGCAACAATACCTGGTGAACCGCATAATTTTCTAAGCTGTGGAGAGGATGGTAGTGTGAGGTGGTTTGATTTAAGAATAAAAGATAAATGTAGTGCACCTAGATGTACAGAGGTAAACTAATAAATCACTTTAGACAAAAGTAGTCTAAAGTATGACAGTATATTTGTTACATTGTATGTTCTTATAGGATGTATTAATTTCATGTGAAAGAGCTATAACTGCCTTATCAGTAAATCTAACTTCACCCCATCAAATAGCAATTGGTTGTTCTGATAGCACTGTTAGGATATTTGATAGAAGAACTCTAGGAACACCAGCTACTGGTAATTGCAGTGTTTCATTTACCCAAATAATGTAATAATATTCACAAAAACTGCAAGATGCATTAAATAATTTTCCAGGTTGGACAGACAAAGCTAGAGCAGTAAGGCCTATATGCAGTTTCACTGTTCCAGAATTTGAAGGAAATTCTCATAGAATAACGTCTTTAAATTACAGTCCTGATGGGCAAGATGTGCTTGTTAGTTACAGCAGTGATCATCTGTACCTGTTCAATGTGAAGGTATTTAAAATAGACCATCTTTATTTGTTAACAAAATAAATATTCTTAGATACAGAATTATTTTCTTGGCATAGGATCAAGCCAGCGTACAATTAAAAAAATCTATTGGTACGGGAAAAGGAATGGGTAAAAAGAAAAGATTACGGTCGCCATTACCGGTACGTAGATTAAGACTTAGGGGAGACTGGTCCGATACTGGTCCTGATGCTCGACCCGAGTGCGAGGGCGGTCGACGTAGCGGTACAGGTACGATACTATTAATATAGTCTCATTCATCATTTTGTTCACGTAATAAAATACGTATTTACCTTACTATGTTTTAGAAATTGCTCAAGCCAGACCAGTTCTTCACACATCATTAATGCAAAGAATGACAGATGTTCTTAGTAGAATGTTAAACGATCCAGCTACTAGAGCAGCGTTGTGCGGTGGTGGCGAGGACAGTTTAGAAGGTGTAATTGATCATCAAGAAAACACGCAAAATAACAACGAAAGTGTGGCAGAATCTAGCGAGGAAAGACATAACGAAACTGAAGGAGCAGAAAGAGCTGTGTCTCAGAGTAATCAAGAAGCAGGTAATATATTTTATTTGAAATATTTTTTTATTAATACTAGATCATTAGAGTGATAAACAAAACGGAATTGCATAGATGTGTCAGATCAACAAGTAGATAGACAGGAAAATCCAAGTTGTAGTGGTGTACAAAGTAAACCTGAAACGAGTTATTCTGCGGAAACGGAAGGAGAAGCATCATCTAATCAAACAACCGATGAAACTTCGGTTGAATGCAAATCATATGTTCCTATGGAAACTGAATCTAGTCAAGTAGAATCACAAAAGTGTTCTGTTCAACCTTGTTCTTCACGAGCCACGGACAATTCAAATGACGCTCCAGAAGAAGATCAAGTTAGTAGCGACGATTCACCGTGTACCAGCATGGGAAATAAACAGGAAGGGCACATGATGAAAAACCTTCAAGATAGACTAACGAAAATGAGAGTTGGTTTCCTTGAAAAGTACGATACCAGAAACAAGTTTTCGCTAAATAAGTTATAGCGACGCTTCGGTAGAGTATTTTCATTCTTCTCTGTCTTATTTATAGACACGGGAGTGAGCCTGCTGTGAGTTTAACTTACACAGACAAAAGCTCAACAAGTGCTACGATATCTCTCGGTGTAGCCGACGAAATGATTCGTGATGGTTACCATGCAGGTAACTATATTATCATTGAATGTTGTTTTTCTCGGTTGAATCTATTTTTAACGAAATGTTGTTTGGTAGGACCATCTGGAAGTCGCGGCAGCGGAACATTCTCGGGCAGAAGTCATGACAAACATATACGATATAATAACACGCACGAAAGTGAGTATATCGATGTAAATAAATATGTCATTACGACGATAAAAATTCACGTCTTATCTTTTTAACAGAGACTGATGAAAGTGATTATACCGATAGCGATGACGAAGATTTACAGTCTGGAGAAAGGTAAAATTTGGGAAAATTTGTATTTCATAATCGAAACGTTGTCGTAATGTGATAGCATGCAACAAAAATAAGAATTATGAACATGTTTTTTTTCCTTGTTTAATGTAGATTAAGAAGCGCAATGGAAACAGACACGGACGAAGCTGTCGGTAGCTCTCGATCGCGTCGGGGATCCGCGACCTTCGATAAAACATACGTAACGGAGCTTCGTGTGAAGCAAAAATACATGGGGCATCGCAACGCTAGGTACACATTCTCGTTTGTTATTGTGATAACGTTATTTTGATGATCAACAACAATTAACGCCAAATTTATGCGCAATATATCTGTCGCAAGCCTCGAAGGGGCCGTATAATCAAACTTTGTGACTAAAAGATTAACAGAATTGGATAAATTTTGTTGGGTGATGGCAGCCACAATTGCAGTAGGAAACTTTAGTCGAATCTTGTTGGAACACCAAATTCTATTCGGCGAGTTTGGTTCGTGAAAAAATCCTCGTTGCGTAATAACGTTAACTTACCGAGTGTTCCTACTCGTGTCTAAATGTACGTTATGTTTGTACAATCGGAAACCAAAGTTTTTGACTCGTCAAGTTCCGAAAAAGCCTTCGAGCGGACTGGGCCATTCCGTACAAGGCCGTCATATTATCTGATCAGTTGGCCTTCCCCCGTTTGACTCTAGTTTCTTTAGGACCATGATCAAAGAGGCAAACTTCTGGGGCAACGATTTCGTCATGTCGGGTAGCGACTGTGGTCACGTGTTCGTATGGGAAAAAGAAACGGCCAAGTTGTGTATGTTACTCGAAGCGGACCAACACGTTGTGAACTGTTTGCAACCGCATCCGTTCTTGCCGTTGTTGGCTACAGCCGGCATCGACTACGACGTTAAACTCTGGGCACCGATAAACGAAGAATCCAGCTTCGATGAAAAGTTTGCCGAGGATGTAAGTCATTTCGTAATCTATCGAGTACGTTGTGCAACAACAACAACAATAATATGATATGTTTCTGACACGTTAATGATTACAGCTGAAAAAGAGGAACGCAGTCATGTTGGAAGAGACCAAAGATACAATGACTGTACCTGCTGTATTCATGATCAGAATGCTGGCATGTCTCAATCAGATACGCAGAGGTAGTGAAAATTTATAATAATACTCTTCTAAGACCTACTGATAGTACTCTACACTAGTAATGACCAACGACACGTAAATTAAGAATAATGTTATCGAGGAATTTGGCAGCTTTCCTTATTACGTTCAGGTATCGGAGTAAATGACGATGTACAGAGTTTTATCTAACAATTTTCTCTACGTTGTGAATGTGTCTAGCTTTTATTATTTCACCATTTACAGCCATTCAATCTTCATCGTATTCAAATTTCTCTTTTTTTATATATATATCTACATCTACACGTATATTTTTTTAGTATTGTATACAGATACTTGTATCGATGTATTTACATATACAGACACACTTGTTTGCAAGTTAACGAATGCACATATAGATGTATAATACCGTTAACACTTATCAAATTTTATGTAGTATAAAGTTTAAGAAAAATAAGTCTCCAAAAAAATCGGAGTAAAGTACAAAAATCTTAGTTTATTATTTCTAAGCCGCAGAGGCTAAGTATTAAAAACGAAACAAAAGGGGAAAAAGAAAACGGAACAATAACTAAAACCTAATAACCAAGGTAAAAAAAAAAAAAGAAACTTTTTTAACTTTTAATACCGTTAACACTTATCAAATTTTATGTAGTATAAAGTTTAAGAAAAATAAGTCTCCAAAAAAATCGGAGTAAAGTACAAAAATCTTAGTTTATTATTTCTAAGCCGCAGAGGCTAAGTATTAAAAACGAAACAAAAGGGGAAAAAGAAAACGGAACAATAACTAAAACCTAATAACCAAGGTAAAAAAAAAAAAAAGAAAATTTTGTAATTTTTTATGATACTTTCATATGTATATAAGATAGAAGGAAAAAGAAAGAGAGAGGAAAATACTGATGAAACAACATGTAAGTGTAATGTTGCGTCGGTATTACTTAAAAAATATTGTAGCGATGAAAATAAAGTTTTTAATCAAAACACAAAGAAAATATCTTTAATACAACCAGGAAATGCGTGTTTAACTTTGAATTGTCTACTTTTTATGTTTTTTTTTTTTTTTTTGTTTTTCTGTTTATCATTTCAATCGAAGTTACATTGAGTTCTTTGTTTGCTCTATAAATAATGTTGAAATGATATTGTTTATATTGTAACTAATGTACTAAATGACAATGCAAACAGGTATTTTATTTCACAAATACATCTTTCTTTATTTCGAAATATCTGATTAATCTTACCAAGCATAATCGAGGAAAATTCCACATATCATCAATTGGTATCGTTACTCTTCTTCGTTAATTTATCACGATCACGTATAGAATTCATAAATTCGATAACGATCATTCCCAATATTATCTATACTACGAGTATGTACTCATATCTCAGATTTTTCATAAAATTCCTTCTCTTACATTTGTATTATGTTATACTGAAAGTTATGCAAGAACTCTATCCTTTTTAAGGAATGTTTAATTTTATTAAACAATAACTTCTATACTTTTAATAGATACATAATAATGGTCAATGGAAATTATTGTTTAGTATAATGAAACATTTTTAAAAAAGAAGATAATTTTGTATAGACTTTTCTTTATGGTTTCTCCTCTCTTTATGTCACATTCAGAATAAAAGGTTTACAGTAAAGAAAAGAAATAAGTTACTACTAAAAGTATCCACTATATATTTTTTATCATTTCCCAAAACAAACTCTATAATCTGTTATCACCTCTGTCGAAGAAGGCTATTCGTTGCTTTCATAATTGTCGCTTTAACGAGATATTACAAAGTAATTCCGGTTCTTTTGTAGGGCGCGGTCGAAACAGGAGGAGGAGCGGTGACGAGAGCGGCGAATTAAGAGGTAGTTAAACCGTTTTCGTGGGAAAAAGACAACCCGATCCGAGGGCGACCCCAACGAAAACATCTTATCAACGTCGACCACTGACAATTGATTAGAAAAGTTCCACCAACAGTTCTTCAAAAAAGCGTCAAAAAAATAGAAATCTATATTTATGATTTACCGTTACAAAAATAATACTTGATTAATCGAACGGGTATTTAATCTGATAAGCTTCGAATATCGTATCATTATCGGTGAAAGATAAGCCGTCTTTTTGTTTTCTCTTTAATATCATTTCTTTTCTCATCCTTGTTCTATTTATAACGCGTTTCATTTAAGTATGTACATGTATTTTATTTCCATGGAGGATTTTTCCTTCTGTAAGCAATCGCATGTAGACATTTCAATGACGTTAGTGTTTTGAATGGAACCACGTTCAGCGTTCCAAGACGCATTTAATAATGCAATGATAAGACTCTCATTAGCGAGCAATCATTCAGCAGATTTTTCTGGGTGAATATCATTAGATTGCGGAAGTTTATGCATTTATAATTAAAAACAGATTTTTACGTATTTATGATATATTGAAATCTGTGAGATGTATAAATCATGTAATTTACGGACTACGCATCTCTATATTTTGCCGACTTCCATATATCATAAACGCATAAAGAAAGGAAGCGATTCATAATAACACAGATTTGCATAAAAATCCGCGTCTAAATGTAAACGTGAAGGATGTTAAGTTTAATTATCGTTAACTTTTTACAGTTTCATGCTTTCGTGACTTTAATTACTAACAATCTGAGATGATTAAAATAAACTTCTTTGGCTCCATTTAAAACACGATTCGTATTAAATTATCTCCGATTTTTCCCTCAAATTGTAGAATGTTACAATTTTATGTCGTTGATAATTCAAAAAATAATTAAATTCATGTACGCGCTTAAATTATATGAAGTGTTTCATAACATGTGTGGGTAAACCTGATTAATATCTTTTAACACGTTGACTGGTACATAGATGTCATTGAAAATATTATTAAGTAGCACTCCTATTTTTAACAAATCTTATCTGTTACTTTTATTATATATAATTTCAGTGTATTTCAAGTATTTCTGATTAAATGTTATCTTACTATTTGAAGTTACTTATAGACATGTAATATGGCAGTCAATGTGTTAACACAAAAGAACAGAAAGTTAATTAACACTAAAGTTACAAATGATTATTCATGCTATGATATGCGATACCTACTAAGAGATTTTATTATAGTAATTAAAGTGTTAAAAATAGAAATATTTTCTGAATGTAATACATAATAGATTTCATATGTTTTGAATTTAATTGATTAATTAACTCATTTCCTATAATTAACAACATTAGATACAAAACGTATTTACAAAAATATTTCTCATGTTTAATAACAATTCTCCTTGTATTATGAAACCATTTGTTGTTGCTAAAATGAGCTCCACATATTATGGAACAACTTGTACCTATAATTGTATATAATTTCTGTAAGGAAACGTGTTACTTTCACCTAGTTGCCTTCAAATGTAATCTCAACAAGTTAAAAGCGTTCTTGGAAGAATCAAGAAAATTTCACGTGTTTGTTTGTTTAATTTTCTTTCTATTTCTTTGTGTGATTAAACGACGTAAGCTTCGATTAATTAATTCTATTGTACAGTGACTTGTCGAACTTGAAAACATAGCTCTTAGATCGTAGATTCGTTCGTCCGATCTATTTTCAGACTTAGATGCACTTTTGCTGCAAAATAAGGAAGAAACGTTCATTCGAACGTGTTCTTTATTGTTCTAGGCATTTTAATAAGAACAAAACGAATTGGTTTATCAAAGGATAACACCACAAACGAGTTATAAGATAGATCATTCGTATATTTTTATCACGCAATTCAAGGTGACTTTAGAACAGTAATGAGTAACTGTACCTATTGAGACGTGGTCAGTAGACTCTCGCTATATTGCCGTAGACTGAACTGAAGGAGAAGGCAGCTCTTAATATTGGCAATATAAGGAGTGGTCTTTCTTTTGGCAGTTTGTAAATTTGTAGATTTATGAATTAAAAAAATTTAGTGATCTAATGAAACGTCTGTGCCCATATTTTCAGTGGGCACTTTGCCCATCACTGCTTTAGAGTTACCTTACCATTTTCGTGTCACATCCTACTGTATCGATTGGGACTATTCAATCACTTCGGCGGTAGGAATTAAAAATCAAAAAAAAGCTTAACATGCAGATTCAAGTCCCGATGTGCCTTTTTATTCTTCTTCGTTATCAGATTTAACTTACTGTACATGTATATAATTCTAGAAATTTGATTGAATCATAAAAATGAAGTCAAATTTCAAGAACTTTCGAATTGGAATACCTCTTTCGTTGTCATATTCACCTGATACAAAATTCGAATTTAAACCACTTTTTGATTCAGGTTGTAATGTAAATTTTACAATTTCTATTGTACGATAATTTTATATTTTTTGTTCTGTTGCTTGAAATTATTTATGTGAGTAGGATGTGGAAGGAACTTTGTAAAAATAAATTGACAAATTTAAAATTCTTTTTTCATAAAATGCTTTCACTGAATAAAGAAAATTGTTTTTACAATGTACAATTTTTAATGATTATTTATTAATGCGCTATCAGATTTTTCTTCACGATAATGTTTATGCTTTGTACAATAATTTCTGTTATTTAATTGATACCACGGAATTCAATAATTAACGGTGAATAATTCATGCAATAATATAATTATTCTTATTTTTACTATTTGTTTAACACTATGTATTGTAATACATTTAATATTGTTCAATATTATCCACAATATAAGAATTTTTATCATCATTAGTTACGTTGTCTCAACTTATTTCCATTAGTGTTACTAGGTAAGGATCAGGTAATATTTTAGTAAGAACCATAAATCTGTAGAACTATTGTTTTAGTAGAACCACATTAAATTGTGATAGGATCTATAACCAAATATGGACTGGAATTTGAAGTAAATAATAATAGGACGTTGCATTGGTGAAAGGTCTTCTCAGCTTAGTTAAGCCGTACAAAATAACACGGTTCCTACGTGAACTTGATTATAATTTATATTTCATTTAAATTATTCGGTATATGCATATGCACAAATATATTTTTGAAACGATTTTATTTTATATGCATATAACAACACAATTTTTGTATGAAATATTTTTTTAAACATTAAAATAAACTTTATATTTCTTAAGTATCTTGGTCAAGGTGATGACGAGTCTTGATTAAAGATAATAATTACAATACTTTGAAATAAGAATAAAAAGTGAATACAAATTTGAATAAAATTACAAGAATACCTACTTTCTAAAAGAATATACATTATTCTTTATAATTATGCTTAATTTTTTTGCTGTCATTTTACCTAGTACAATGGAAATCGACGTTCTCGTTTGAAAGTCGTATGTATCTGTGCGAGGCTCTTTCATTTAACTAAATTTCAAACTCAACAGAACATGTACATACATTCAGTTATATCAAATTCGCAAAGGTACCTATCGATGCATAGATGTATCCTTTGGTACTAATAAATTTATTAATTTAAGATAAATTTCGAATAATACACTCAAGGCTAATATTGCACACTAAATGTTACTCATTTTTTTTATCAGCTTCAAGTTTTGGTTGATCTTTAACAGATTCTTGTTTCTTGTCATTGATCATTTTAGCCTCCATCTCGCCGGAGAAACCGAATTCGTTTACTCTAGAGTGATCGGTTTTATATATCCATCTTTGGTACAAAAATATGAAGAAAACAATGTCATCACGGAAGCAACCAATTCTGTATAGCGTTGGCATTTTTATAACAAATGCAAAAATATCATCGATAAATGTATTTAAGAATTTGTAAGACATCATACGCCATGGAAGATGTGCAACACTTTTCAGTTTATAATTAATAAATAATTGTGGCGTCATCATGATAAAACCGAATGTCAATAAAAATCCATAAAGCATGCTAAGAACCCAGGAATACCATCCTTTGTGTTCTAAATACATTAACGAATAAATTGCATATCCTCCTAGTAGAGGATAAAGAACCCAAGATAAATACTGAAATGCAACTCTATCATATTCTTTTGTGGAAGATTCTACATATGATCCTTTATCATGGAAACTTATTTTTGGAAGGATACCAAGCATTTTTTCGCCCCTATTAATTCTAATATCTACAACCTTATTAATTTTCCACACTTCTATGCATAAACTTATTGCGCAACTAATCCGTACAACCGTATTCGTTTCATTATCAAGAACATACAGTAAAATAACAAGCGATTGGAACACGTTGAAAAATACGGATCGAACTGATAGACCTTCCAAAGAATTACGATTATTCCAAAATTGAATATCTGAAAAGATACATGAATAGTTTATAATCCAGTACAACTTAATATTATGTTTATACAAAACTTGCATCTTACCATTTTTAAATGCCAAAAATTCAAACACACTATGTGATATTGAAACAATTATGGTTAAACCCAACAAATATGGGTTGGTTTCCAATAACGTTTCTTTTAAAGTATCTTGATCATTATCATCCTCGTCCGATGAGTCTCCTACATGGAGAATATTATTAAAATCTCACATATAATTTTAATAAATTTTATAAATAATATAGTATACCCATTAATGAAGATGTCCATTTGTTTCTCATAGTTTGTGCAGCATAGATTTGCCATTTAAATAATGAAAGAGGTGCATAACTTAATTTAAGCTCGAGCTCTTTTATGCTATCATTTAAAGGTTGATAATCTCTTTGCATATTCCAAAAATCATTCAAATATATTACAGGTTTATAGTATTTTTCACCAGGTAAAAAATAAATGTCTGTTGAGAAAAATTAATTTGAAGTATATTAGCAATTTAAAGTCTAGTAATAAATTATATTATTTAATAAATGACTCACAAGTATCTAAAGGTGGTGGTACTTGACCATATACCCAATTAGTATGATCAGTCACTAAATTGATAGTTAAATTTGGATGCCAATGTGATATATATTCCTGATTCATTGTTTCCGCTTTCTACAATAAATATTTAATGTTTAAATCTATTTAATAAAATATTTTAACGAATTGTAACAAGTAGATACCTTAATTTCTTCTTTACTTGCAGTAGTTTCACCAGTTAACAAATTATGTTTTTTTTGATATCTAATTTTTTTAAATTTATTCAACATTTTTCTAGAATATGACATGTAATCCCCAGCATATACATTTTTTCCTGCTTTAGGATTTGGAGATTTTCCACTTTTTGTGACATATACATGAAGATATATAGATCCATTATTTTTTAATTTGTCAGATGGAACAAATTTATGTTCTCTAACTCTTGATCCATCTTTATCTGGCCCACTATACCAATCTCCATATATTAATCCTTGCTCTATCCATACTAATGATTGTGGATCATTAAAATCTTTAAAATTCTCAGATTCTGATAAATAAATATGCATATCAAACAATGTTCCATTCTCAAATATATTTACAGCTTGTGAACGTGCTGGATTGACAATATTGGGAGATTGAGAATTATTGTCAGTCTGAGATCGTTTGAACAAATAACTGACAAAATAAATAATAAGAGCACGTATAATTAAAGATTTTGTTATAGCAAAAAATGATTCCAAATGTGTAGGCTGATATTTCTTCCTTTGCTCATTAACTTCCGCGTTTACCTACACAACAAATACACTAATTATTGTTAAAAGTTAAATGATTTCATCAGAATTAAATTTTGATTTAAATTCATGACATCATCCTTGAACAGAACAGGTTGCAGTAACTATTTACATCACGTTTCTCATATCATTTAATAATTGTAGAGTCTGTATTCGGAAATATAAAAGTTCAGGGACAGTATATTCAGAAACGTAAATGTAATACGTAAGCAGAACGTAATGGCAAAATTAATTTGTTAGTTCCAAATAAGATACGAAAATTGCTACTGACGAAGAAATAAATTATGTAGTAATAAAGTACAAGACAATATAATTAACACACATCTCGTTCCTCGTTGTTCTCTGTGGCAACTAATTCCCCATTTTGTTGAGCGTTATCCATGTTTCCTTTAACATCTACTTCATTCGGACGTTGATTATCATTGTCAGCACCCACCATCTTTGTATTACAGTTGTTTCGCATCATCTCTTTGCTTTTTCAGAGGGAGTTACATGTACATACCGGATGTCCGATATATTTCTCAAATCACGAGTTTTATGACACTGAACTTGGGTTCTCCACGTTTGTCGAATAACTTCAGAGCAGTCGGCATAAAATGATGTCGTGTTATAAGAGAAAGAACTTTCTTTCGCTAACTTCAACTAGTTTTTTACCACTGTATATTGTTCCTCCACCATGTATTTCTTATTACGTGTCACCTAAAGGGTGGACAAAAATATATGAATAGTAATACAAGTAGACAAAAAGGAGGAATGTAAAGTACAAGAAATTACGAGTTAATATCGAATGCAGAAAAATGCAGGAGAAGTTTTCAAATTTTAGGATCAAGTCTTCTGAACCGAACTGAGACTCATAATTTTGCATATCCGTATATTCTAAAATAAAGGATTACAGTATATATATAGAGTTAAGCAGCACAGAATATGCGCAGAACAGACGAAAACTCGTCTGAAGAATATGATCTTATGTGGGATGAAATATACAATTAATTATTATAAAATCTGATTTTTAATAGCTTTTCTGGGCTCTTGCTTTTCATTTAATAAAACAATTCATACCTTTTATATTTTCCTATTTCATTTTATTCTTGATGTAAATATACAACCAATCTGAAGTTGAATACAATAAAAAGTATCACATGGTCGAACAGGTACAGGCGGGAATGATGTGACAAGTTGGAAAAGGTTATATGTTGTTAATGACAGTTTAATATTAACGCAATACTTTTATACCGTATAATATCTTTAAATTAAAATTATGTGGTGCACAACACCTGAAATTTCATGGCATAACCGTGACCCAGTGTTAAGTGTAGATATACAAGCTGGAATCTATGAAACAGTGAAAAAGGAAACTTTCTGGCGACTTGCAACCGGTGGTGCCGATTCTCATGTTTTGGTAATAAAATAATGATAAATATATTATATATAATGTAAAAATTAATTTTGAATCGTTCTTTTATAACAGATTTGGCATCTAACTTCAAACGAATGTGGAGGTGCTACTGTAAAATGCGTGGCCGATTTAGAACGACATCAGAGAGCAGTGAATGTAGTACGATTTTCGCCTTCAAAGGATATTTTAGCTTCAGGAGATGATGGTTGGTAACTAAAATACTCGATTGATTGAAATGTAAATGAACAAAATTAACTTTATTACTTTTATTTAAACCAGAGTCAACAATTATTTTATGGAAACAAAAAGAAGATTGTGAATTTTTTATCAATTCTGATGAAAATGAGAATAAAGAACAATGGACTTCCTGGAAAGTATTAAGAGGTCACCTTGAGGATGTTTATGATATCAGTTGGTCTCCAGACTCTAACATGTTAGTCTCAGGTTCTGTGGACAACACAGCAATTTTATGGGACATTCATAAGGGACGTTCTGTAGCTATACTATCTGACCACAAGGGATTTGTACAAGGAGTAGCATGGGACCCTTGCAATCAATACATATGCTCTATAAGCACAGACAGGTATAGATATTAAGTATTGGTAATGGTTCCTAAATATCTACTAATGCTGAACTTTTAACATCTTTATAGAATGTTACGATTAATTGATATAAATAGTAAAAGAACAGTTCAAAAAGTTTGTAAAGCCAAAATTCCCACTCCACCGGATCATGCTTTAAAAGATAAAACAGTGAGATTGTTTTATGACGATACTTTCAAATCATTCTTCAGAAGACTAACATTTTCTTTAGATGGGTCATTAATTATAGTACCTTCTGGTATAATTGAGCCTATAGAAACCACGGAAAAGATATGTAACGCGACTGTAATTTTTTCAAGACATAATTTAAAAGAGTAAGTATAACTTGCTGGTTTTTTATATTGCTTTATAGGTACTATAAGTCACTATCATTTCAGGCCTCTTATACTTTTACCATCCTTCGATCAATGTACTATTGCAGTCAAATGTTGTCCAATTTATTTTGAGTTAAGGAAAGATGGGCCAACGTCTATGATAGCATTACCTTATAGAATGGTGTTTGCAGTTGCTACACAGCATTCAGTATTTATATATGATACTCAACAAACTTCGCCAGTCTCGGTTGTATCGAATATTCATTATACGAGATTAACTGATGTTACATGGTAAGCAAGGATTGGTTCATGTCTTATATAACTTGAATATAAAACATAATTTGCTTTACCGTTCCATAGGTCGAGCGATGGTAAAATTCTAATTGTATCTTCAACAGATGGCTACTGTTCTATAATACATTTTCAGAAAGGTGAACTAGGCGAAGAGTACAAAAAGGAAAGTAGTAGTCCCATAAAACTTAGTACTAATAATAATAGCAAACAATCTTCAGTACCGAATAATAAAAATGTAGTTGGAGGTCGTTTGCCAACCACAGACATAGACAACAGTGCTATGGATATTGATATTGTAGAACACGAGACGAAAGTTCTTAGCAATAATTCAGAATGTAAACTAACTGAAAGTAACAAATCATTAGACAGTAATACTGCCTCGAAAAATCAGGCAAATCTAGATGTTGAAGAAACTGAGGACGTTAAATTAATTTACAATGAAGAAAGTACTAATGAAATTAGTGATAAAGCGAATACAAAAGTTCCTAGCAAAGCTCCTCGTAGAGTACAATTAATTACACTTTCCAGTCCAAAAGGACATAAAAAAGAATAACATTAGGACGTTAAAAATACGATTACAAATTATGAAATATAGACATATTTTTGTAATAACTTTTTATATTTTGTACTAGCTATTATAATAAATATTTAAATTATAAATTTCGATTGTTTTAATATTCATATCATCATAGTCGCATAAAATACACCTAGAATATGAAAGAAAAGAACAAAGTTCGCATACATGCATCAACTGGTGTAAATACTATAGCGTTAGCTTTGTCACCTGTGAAACTTAGAACAGATATTATATACGTAGAAGTAATAATATGGCGCATCACAGTGATCTGACCGTTCGCTGGGGCAGACAGTAGTCGAATCGTCGCGCTCTACCACATTTTTTACTTTTGAAAGCGTAGATCAAGAACAATGGTAAGTATTTTCATTTAACGCACATTTCACCAGTTGTTGCATTTATTATAATATAAACTATATTCAAATAACATATTTAAAATAAATCACCATTAAAACTATTTTATTTACAAATACACTTTATCACCATTAAAACTATTTTATTTACAAATACATTTTATCAAAACAAAAATTATAAACTCATTAGTATTAAAAAATCTTTTGATATAAATTAAATTCAATTGTTATTAAACATCTTAACTTTATAATGCGCTATAAATTGCACTTATGTTCAAATAACGTGTATAGACAGAATAATAGCCATAACTAGAATACAATATGTCTTGCAGTTTAATGAACCGATTAAAGACATGTCGATAGTATGACGATTCGTCAAGTTACGGCTCATCCAACATCGAAGTTGAATAAATATTTTACGAAACGAAACGAGTTCCATCGACAGTAAATTCTTGCAATTGGTGGTACAGTAAACTCTTGCTATATTACTAATAGGGAACAGCGAACTGGAGCCAAGTATGAATATAATTTTCATGTACAGCCATTCAACGGCTATATAACACGTAGCAATATACGGCCATATAATGCGAGGCGATATAACACGAGGCAAAGTACTTAATGTAAAAACGACAATATAACGAGAGTTTGCTATAATAGAACCATATAAAAACTTGCAAAATAATTTATAATTAATACAATTCTAATATAATATTTGTAATTTTATTGCTTCATGTGTCAGTCAATTTATTTGTACAAATTTTTTTATTAATGATCTTTCAAATGCACTATGCATATACGTTAATGTATCATTGACTGATCGATATAAGTACACGAGCGATAAAATGATAAATAATTGTTCGCTCAGTGATCGTTTCCCTGATGAATTGTAAAATCGTGTCACGCACGTGATGTTCGATCAAGCTGCTATGGTTACAGTATGTCAACCTATTAAAATCGATATTTAGCATGATGTACTTGAAGAATATAAAACTTATTGAAAAATGTCCATGACTGACGCGATCTGGTCTATAGCAAATTATTATCGTATAGACATGAGATGCTTCTAACTGTAGCGATACGACAACGGTCTTTTTCAGGGCGCATCTAAACTATTAACGAACAAAAAATCACGGTAGGTCAAGGTAAAAAAGCTCTACAACTTGCTGACAGCTCGTGTCGGAATTATAACATGTCAGTTTGTAATCACCTCCCGTTGAATGTCCAAGCTTATATATCTTAAAGACAGATCTCTTTGTGTTTCATTAAAAATCGTAATCATTCCATAAGTACTTCTTTGTGTTTATAAAGAATTTTTCTATATAAAGAATTTTTCAGTCGAGCTCTTTATTTGCAATAGTCAAAAATGGTGAACGAGAAGGAAACGTACAGATGAACGTAGTTCAATAATTTTATAGTGAATTTAACAAACTGCACGAGTGTTTGTAGCATTGCTTAAGTGTATGGACTTATTGGTATCTCTTATAAATGTGTTAGTTATAAGTAACAAAATGGCAAAGAAGGTATGATGTAGTTGGAAGTTTGATCTCTTCTGCTTCTGGATCCTCGTGTTCTTAAACCCCTCACTCCCTGGATTTTGGTATACTTGGATCTTGCTATACCTTGGCCTTACAATTCCCATGTCACGGTATTAGATCTCATTGTCAGTAATCCTAAACTGGTATCTGTAGATTTCGGTATTCGTAGATCACGGTATGTTTAGATATCGGTGTAGTTGGATCACGGTATGCTTAGATCTCGGTATTCCTAGATCACGGTATGTTTAGATATTGGTATTGCTAGATCACGGTATGCTTAGATCTCGGTATTCTCAGATATCGGTATAGCTAGATCACAGTATGCTTAGATCTCGGTATTCCTAGATCACGGTATCCTCAGATCTCGGTATTCCTAGATCACGGTACCCCTACATCGCGGTATCCCTACATCGCGGTATCCTCAGCTCTCGAATCCCTAAACAGCGGTATCCCTACATTGCGGTATCCTCAGCTCTCGAATCCCTACATCGCGGTATCCCTACATCGCGGTATCCTCAGCTCCCGAATCCCTAAACAGCGGTATCCCTACATTGCGGTATCCTCAGCTCTCGAATCCCTACATCGCGGTATCCCTACATCGCGGTATCCTCAGCTCCCGAATCCCTAAACAGCGGTATCCCTACATTGCGGTATCCTCAGCTCTCGAATCCCTACATCGCGGTATCCCTACATCGCGGTATCCTCAGCTCCCGAATCCCTAAACAGCGGTATCCCTACATTGCGGTATCCTCAGCTCTCGAATCCCTACATCGCGGTATCCCTACATCGCGGTATCCTCAGCTCCCGAATCCCTAAACAGCGGTATCCCTACATTGCGGTATCCTCAGCTCTCGAATCCCTACATCGCGGTATCCCTACATCGCGGTATCCTCAGCTCCCGAATCCCTAAACAGCGGTATCCCTACATTGCGGTATCCTCAGCTCTCGAATCCCTACATCGCGGTATCCCTACATCGCGGTATCCTCAGCTCCCGAATCCCTAAACAGCGGTATCCCTACATTGCGGTATCCTCAGCTCTCGAATCCCTACATCGCGGTATCCCTACATCGCGGTATCCTCAGCTCCCGAATCCCTAAACAGCGGTATCCCTACATTGCGGTATCCTCAGCTCTCGAATCCCTACATCGCGGTATCCCTACATCGCGGTATCCTCAGCTCCCGAATCCCTAAACAGCGGTATCCCTACATTGCGGTATCCTCAGCTCTCGAATCCCTACATCGCGGTATCCCTACATCGCGGTATCCTCAGCTCCCGAATCCCTAAACAGCGGTATCCCTACATTGCGGTATCCTCAGCTCTCGAATCCCTACATCGCGGTATCCCTACATCGCGGTATCCTCAGCTCCCGAATCCCTAAACAGCGGTATCCCTACATTGCGGTATCCTCAGCTCTCGAATCCCTACATCGCGGTATCCCTACATCGCGGTATCCTCAGCTCCCGAATCCCTAAACAGCGGTATCCCTACATTGCGGTATCCTCAGCTCTCGAATCCCTACATCGCGGTATCCCTACATCGCGGTATCCTCAGCTCCCGAATCCCTAAACAGCGGTATCCCTACATTGCGGTATCCTCAGCTCTCGAATCCCTACATCGCGGTATCCCTACATCGCGGTATCCTCAGCTCCCGAATCCCTAAACAGCGGTATCCCTACATTGCGGTATCCTCAGCTCTCGAATCCCTACATCGCGGTATCCCTACATCGCGGTATCCTCAGCTCTCGAATCCCTACATCGCGGTATCCCTACATCGCGGTATCCTCAGCTCTCGAATCCCTACATCGCGGTATCCCTACATCGCGGTATCCTCAGCTCTCGAATCCCTACATCGCGGTATCCCTACATCGCGGTATCCTCAGCTCTCGAATCCCTACATCGCGGTATCCCTACATCGCGGTATCCTCAGCTCTCGAATCCCTACATCGCAGTATCCTCAGCTCTCGGATCCCCAAACAGCAGTATCCCTAAGACCCCAACATCCCCACATCTCAAAACCCATATTTATCATTATGATCACTTGCTAATTATCACAGAGGGAATGCATATCCATCCACATTGGCCAAGCAGGAGTCCAAATGGGCAATGCCTGCTGGGAACTATACTGCTTAGAACACGGCATTCACCCTGATGGACAAATGCCCAGTGACTCCACCGTCGGTTACGGGGACGACTCCTTCAATACTTTCTTCTCCGAAACCGACTCCGGGAAGCACGTTCCTCGAGCAGTGTTCGTTGACCTTGAGCCAACTGTAGTAGGCAAGTTCCAAAGTTCCTATCCATACTAAATAATTCTGAACACTGTGATTGTTCTGTGATTAATTGTTCTGTGGATAATATTTCAGATGAAGTTCGTACTGGAACATACAGACAGCTATTTCATCCGGAACAATTAATTACTGGCAAGGAGGACGCCGCGAACAATTACGCGAGAGGCCATTACACGATAGGTATACAGTTTAAAAAATATGGAAGCTTCGCTTTAAACTAGAAAACATTATCTAATGTTTCTTATTAATATCTTTTACAGGGAAAGAAATAATAGACCTCACTCTGGACCGAATTCGCAGGCTCGCCGAAATGTGCAAAGGACTGCAGGGTTTCTTAATTTTCCACTCCTTCGGTGGCGGAACAGGCTCAGGCTTCTCCAGCTTACTAATGGAGCGGCTCTCCGTTGATTATCCTAAAAGAAGCAAACTCGCTTTCAGTATTTATCCTGCTCCCCAGGTAGAAATAGCAAAATGCTCATAGACGGACTAATAACTTAGGAAATTGCACGATTTATTATTTATCAGGTATCGACGGCGGTTGTGGAGCCGTACAACGCAATTCTTTATACCCATCCGACCCTAGAGCACTGCGAGGTGGCCTTCATAGTTGACAATCAAGTATGTGCATACGAATGTGTGCAAGTATTGTATTATGATGTAAAGTGTGACTTTGCAGGCTATTTATGAGCTGTGCAGAAGGAACTTGGGCATCGATAGACCTACGTACACGAATTTGAATCGGTTGATTGGACAAATTGTTTCGTCGATTACTGCGAGTTTGCGATTCGATGGAGCTCTTAACGTGGATATTACGGAGTTTCAGACGAACTTGGTACCGTATCCTCGCATTCATTTTCCTCTGGTAGGTTGAAGGAACATAGTTCAAACAACGTGTACCTTTGTGTACCATTACGTGATAAATGTAATAGAAATTAACCCCTTGCACTATGACTTATTTGTCAGGTGCGTCAGTCAATTAAGCTAGAATATTAAAACAGACAAGAAATTGAAATGTTATTTCAATATGTTGTTATTCAATCGTTGACTACGCAAATTATAATTGGACTCGAACTCCAAATTGAAGCGTAAATTTGAGTAAAATTGATCACAGCCGAGGTGCGAGTGCGTGAGACTCGTCAAAATAATGCAGGGGGTTAATGGAAAGAATATTATGTTACAATTTATATTATTTTACATAGGCAACGTACGCTCCTGTTATGTCAGCCGCGAATGCGAGCCATGAGAGAATTTCTGTGGCAGACATAACAAATTCTTGCTTCGAGCCAAATCACCAGATGGTAAATTGCGACCCTCGAAGAGGTAAATACATGGCGGTGTGCATGCTCTACAGAGGAGACGTTGTCCCAAAAGATGTAAATTCGGCGATCGCGATGATTAAGAGACAGAAACATGTTCAGTTTGTCGAATGGTGTCCTACTGGTTTTAAGGTTTGTGCAATTGTATATAAGCGATTATTTGATATAATTCAAGCAATAAATCATTCAAAATAAATCAAGTAATAAATAATTCAAAATAATTCAAGTAATAAATAATTCAAAATAAATCAAGTAATAAATAATTCAAAATAAATCAAGTAATAAATAATTCAAAATAAATCAAGTAATAAATAATTCAAAATAAATCAAGTAATAAATAATTCAAAATAAATCAAGTAATAAATAATTCAAAATAAATCAAGTAATAAATAATTCAAAATAAATCAAGTAATAAATAATTCAAAATAAATCAAGTAATAAATAATTCAAAATAAATCAAGTAATAAATAATTCAAAATAAATCAAGTAATAAATAATTCAAAATAAATCAAGTAATAAATAATTCAAAATAAATCAAGTAATAAATAATTCAAAATAAATCAAGTAATAAATAATTCAAAATAAATCAAGTAATAAATAATTCAAAATAAATCAAGTAATAAATAATTCAAAATAAATCAAGTAATAAATAATTCAAAATAATTCAAGTAATAATTTAATCTTCATACTTCTGAAGGTGGGAATTAATTATCAGCCCCCTACTGTAGTACCAGGCGGAGATCTGGCTAAAGTAGAAAGAGCTGTATGTTGTCTCTGCAACACCACCGCAATAGTCGAAGCTTGGGCCAGAATTGATCACAAGTTTGATCTCATGTATGCCAAAAGAGCATTCGTTCATTGGTAAATTTTGTCATCTTCCCTAAATGAGCCTTGTGGTCGCAATTTTAATCAGGAATGTTAATAAAAATAGGTTTGTCGGAGAAGGTATGGAAGAAGGTGAATTCGCTGAAGCAAGAGAAGATTTAGCAGCTCTAGAATTGGATTATCGCGAAGTACAGGAAGATGCGGTGAATTCTGAAGAGGAAGGAGAATATTGAATTTAATGTGTTACTTGTACGAATACTTATTAAAATATAATAAATAAATGCTACATTATAAATTATAAATTACAAATTATAAATTATAAAACACATTATAACGTTGTCACAAAATAATTGTAAGGTCGAGGGCCCCTGTACTTATGCTTGTATGCTTGGCAGGTGGTCATTGATAAGGAGGTAGCAATAATGTATGCAACATAAAATTAAACATGTACACACATATTAGTAACATCGAACAAAGTTTATTTCAAATAGTGTAATAAATAATTTATTTTGTTATAACAATACACCTTCACACAAATAAATTTGAATTTTACCTCCATTCGAGCTCACTTCCGGTTTGGGAGGTGGCGCCATCTCTCCGGCGAACAGGGTGAACTACACACTTTTGAAACTCTACTTTCATTAGTTCTATATTCTACCGCTAGGTGGCGAAACACATGACGGAAACCCACAAGTGAATTGAACCGAAAAGATACGCGTGGCGCCAACTAGCGGCCGCGTACGGAACTAACGAAACTACAGTTTCAAAACCTTGTAGTTCACCCTGTTCGCCGGAGAGATGGCGCCACTTGTTCAATTTGAAGTGAGCTCGAATGGAGGTAAAATTCAAATTTATTTGTGTGAAGGTGTTCAATTATTATTGATTATTATGATTAATATGCTATATATTTGTTAATATTGATTGTATGCTGTTTGCAATATATTCCGTGGGTCTGAAGATGCAGACTATATATTCAAAACAGTTCGCATATTATATTTTGTCTCGTCGATCATATAGGGAATGACATAAGAATGCCAACAAATTTTCCTTCAGCTCGTCAAAAACCATTTGCACAGATTTTCTTTTATTAAAAAAAGCTTATTTGCAAAACTTGATCGATGTCGGTGCGTGACGGTTTTCCGAAGTTTCGCCAGAAAATTATGAGTACATAAATAGTTCCTCGACAGCTATTTACATAGCATGACAAGTCTATTCTATGTATCATCCGTGGTGAAATTGATAATAAGTGCATTGTTTTTTTTTATATACAAACGATGTTCTTTTGTCAACAAGTTTCGTATAATATTTGCAGTTGCACCGAAGCAAGGGATTGTATAAGACATAAAAATAGAAAGAATTGATTTATTTGACTGATGTACAGGGGAATTAATTTCACGTCAAATTATTGCGTGTAAAATTACAATAAAGATAAGAATTATTACCTTAGTTTAAGGAATTTAAATCGTTTAAAATATCATTATTAAAATGTTAAATCAGCAGTATCCAATTTTAACTCGTGTCGATTCTCATATTAAGCCACTTTTGGTAGATGTTCTGTCCACAGATAAAGTTGGTAAGTTGTAATACCTTGTATTATCCAAAAAGTATATACACTATTTTTTTATTACATTTGTTATATTTCTAACTTTTTCAAGGAGTATGTTATGGAGCAATCGAAGTGGATGCTATATCATCCAGTTGTGGCAAAGTAGAAGGAGATCGTTTTCGATTATCTATTCCCTATGCTAGACAAAATTTAACATGGAATGTATTTTTTGATTCACAATGTCCTGAAATAGGTCCTGATTTCATATTTAATGATAATACATTCTTAGCAGATATGGACATTGATACTTTATCTGCTAAAGTACCTAGTCTTACTAAATGGAATCCTAATAATACAAATGCTTTATTAAATGTTCTTACTGAACTTTTATCGTGTTATAAACAATATCAGGTTTGTGGTTTGCTAATTATGAATAATTTATCACATCTTGTATATTAAATCTTTTCATTATCTTATATATTACCTTAAAATTAGATGCAATTACTTCAAAAGCAAGAGAGATTACAACTAGAATATGATATGCTCATGAAATCAACACTAGTAAAGCCAGAAGATGTTGAAATGATATTATTACCATCTGGTTCCAAGCCAACAGAGGCTAGATTTCTAATAAATTTATCTGTAGATGTATCACAGCTAGAATCTCGTACTTGTGATTCAGAAACTGATACAGCAATGCTTTTTATAGTATTTTCTGGGACAGATTGGAATCGTGTGACACCACAGCTCTATTTGTCAAAAACTCTAGAAAAAGCTTTTGATGGTCACCCTGCACTAAATTTACCACACTTTTCTGCAGATAAATTGTTGATAGATTATGTGGCAGAAGTAATAAAATGCATTAGAGATAAGGTATGTAAACATAATCTTGATTTATAATATATAAATCAATTATTATTAAGTTAAACTATTTATTTCAGATAAATTTGATAATACAGGGTTTAGAAAAAAGAAGAGCATTTATAGCAGCTTTACTAAGTCATCAATTTCGTTCAGTGGTAGAATATGACAGTGTCAATTGTACTTTTACAATTTTTTTACATTCTGAGCAAGATTTTTATATCGTGTGGCGAATAGATTTACTACCAGGATTTCCTAATGAAAAACCTATTGTTACATTTACTTCAGTATACCATATGCAAGTACCACATACTGTATATACTGAAAACTATCAAAATTTTCCTTATAATCCACGTTGGGAACTATCTTTTATGGTTACGAAATTATTAAATTTTATTCAACATGCTAGTAAAAAATTTAGATCTAACTGTATTAAAAAGTTTTCTTAATAATAATTTAGTTTATGATCGGTTTATTACATTTATGTATAATAACATTAACTTAATTTTTTTACTAATTAATTATTAAATTGTAATTATACCATATCAGAACATAGCATACCGACACATGGTCATGATCTATGGCTATGTCAATCAAAATCACTTGCATGATTTTTCTTTTTTTTTTGGCCGGTTCATTCCTCGAAACAGTAACTGAGAGTACCCAAATCCCAACGGCGATCGATTAAGATGACTTTGCTATACTATGCTAATTATTAACATTAATTTTCATTTTATGTAAAAAATGTAGTATATGTATTTGTAACATGTATATAGTTAAAATTATCATTTTTTTAATTCTCTTAAAAAATAATAACAAATATACATGAGTATATTTGACAATATGAAAAATATTTTTCATGTAAAATTATTCAAACTTTATACAACACAATAACTGTATTTACTGTTAAGTGGTTCATAAAAATAAAATATTTTTCAATGTATACAATATTCTTTTCCTATCTATACATACAGAAATATTATTTTTTAAAGATTTGAAGTTATTAGTAATCTAAAAAATATATATAACTAAAAGATACAGCATTATATGTGTTGATTTTTTTTTCGATAAAATATTACACGACGTCTTTATCTACAATTATCTTTTAAAAAGCATTAATAGCATTTTTACCAAAATTAAATGCAAACAAGATTATTCGTGAATTGTATAAGTGTTTTTATAATTTTGCCAATCTTATAAAATAGTTATAAGAAGTGCTGCTTTCACAGTTTGATTACTTCGTTTCATATATAAAACCTGTATACATAATAAAAATTCTAAAAAAGAATAAAATTATTGTATTCAAGTGATTTAAAAAGAATAATTGATTAAATTGCTTGATTAATAGTAACTTTTATTTGAGTCAATGAAGCAAAGAAACAACGTAGTGTAAGAGGTTATAACATTTTTTATTCTATCGTTATTCGTAAAATTAATAAATGATATTACACGTTAGAAATTACATAAGACCTATTTTGTCTAGCAATAAATTCAGTTTGTCTTCTGATAAACTTTCACGTATCAATATGGTGAAATATCTGAATCAACAAGAAAGCATTAATGTAGACAAAACTTTATTCGAGAAATATAAATTTAGTGTGGATCAGTTGATGGAACTTGCTGGACAGAGTTGTGCTATTGCTATTGCACGTACTTACCCATCAGTAAAAAATTCTAAGCAAAAGGTTTTAGTTTGTTGTGGTCCAGGAAATAATGGTGGTGATGGACTAGTTTGTGCCAGACATTTAAAGCTATTTGGTTTTTCTCCAGAAATTTATTATCCGAAAAGAACAAGCAATAGTTTGTATGAAAATTTATTACATCAATGCATTGAAAATGATATTCCATTAGTGGAAGACAATTTAAAAGATTTTGCAGCAAATCGCTTGCACCAGTTTGCTCTTATAGTGGATGCATTATTTGGATTTAGTTTCAAACCACCAGTCAGAGAAACATTTATTCCAATTATTAATCTGCTAGAAAAAGCAACTATTCCTATTTGTAGCGTAGATATTCCATCGGGTTGGAATGTTGAATCTGGACCACCTGCAAAAGGTGGTATTAAACCAGAAATGTTGATATCGTTAACAGCACCAAAATTATGTGCTCAAAAATTTGAAGGCAAATACCATTACCTAGGTGGACGTTTTGTGCCTAAAAAATTGGAAGAGGAATATAATCTTAATCTACCTGAATATCCAGGAACGGATTTAATTGTTAATTTATCTTAAGTACTAAAATATAACAAAATAAAAATTTTTTTCATTGTATAAATTTTTAACAATTTATATTATAAAAATATATGAAACATTTAAAAATAAAACATTTGTAAGTATTACAACCGGAATTCTTTCAACACAAAATTTTATATACCGCGCCAGGAACATTAAGGCTACTGTTTTCATATAACGCCACTTCACGTCTCAGCTGCGCTTGTGTGTCATCATAGATTGTAGGGTATATAGAACTAACTCAGTCAACAAGGGCAGAAAGAACTCGTCATTTGGTTAGTTCCTTCTTTCACGTTTACGAAAGGAGGAGTTCACGTTTTCTCGCGACGAAGAATATTTCACTCTTAGTTGTTACTCTTTATGCTTTTTATATTTTGTTAATGGTTGATGTGCAATTTAGACTACACTTGGATTGTATCTGAGAATCATCGGTGAACTGTCTGATGATTTTATCTTCTTTTAATTTAAATCAGTTGAAACTAAAATTATCGTTGATGATTCTGGCAAAACCATATTGGTACACAATTACAGTAACACATTTTTCTGCGATAAGTTTTGAAGGTTAGGTGACAAGTAGCAGTAATCTGATAATTATATCGCAATCGAAGTGTCATAACGCCTAATGATATTTTTACTTTAATTAAAGTGTAAAAGACAAACGAAGCAATAATTGTTTTACTTTAAATGACCAGTAATTATGGCAACGTCTGGTTCTGATAGAAAGCCAAGAGTCATAATTTTAGGAGGTAAGTATACAAAAATTTCAATGATAGTATAACGGAAGCGATAAATAGGACTAAAAAAGTTTTATCGCCAAAACAGGATGTGGTTTCATAGGACGTAATCTTGTGGAATATTTATTGGATAACGATCTCGTGTCTTTTATACGTGTCGTTGACAAAGTACCTCCACAAACAGCTTGGCTCAATGCTAAACACCAACAGTTATTTGACCACCCTTTAGTTGAATTTAAAAGTGCTAATTTAATTAACACAGGTAATTCAAATTCTGTTGATGATTTTAGACATTTTACCATAAACAATTTAAACAATCATTTCTGTGGTTTATATTAATTTTCCTTAAAATTATTTATAGCATCTTGTCAGAATGCGTTTTTATCAGATGAACCAATTGATTATGTGATTAATTGTGCTGGTGAAACAAAGAGTGGTCAAACAGACCCTGTATATAAAGAGGGAATTTATAAATTGAGCATAAATTGTGCTCAACAAGCTGCAAAACTACAAGTTGATCGTTACATAGAAATATCTTCTGGTAATTTTAATGCTACTGACAAAGTATGTCAATTTTGATATTTCTTGGTTCAAAAATTTATTCAAGGAACAAAATAAATAAACTATAATAATTTTACAGAATCCTCTTAAAGAGGAAGACACTGGAGAACCATGGACATTTGTTGCAAAATATAAATTGCAAGTTGAAAATGATTTAAAAAGTATACCTAATTTGAAGTACACAATACTTAGACCAGCCATTGTCTATGGTTGTGGAGATCGAAATGGTTTAGGTAACAACAATATTTTATCATAATTGGATTGTGGTTGTTTATGTATTTATAAGTACCCACAATCTAATCATATAAACTCTCTTTACAAAATATTTTTTAACTATAAAAATTAATTTTTTATAGCCCCGCGCTTAGTAGTGGGAGCAGTTTATAAACATTTGGGAGAAATGATGAAATTACTTTGGGGACCAGATCTTCATATGAACACAGTTCATGTCAGGGATGTAGCTAGAGCTATTTGGCATGTAATGCAAAAACCAGAAGCTATTGGTCAAACATACAATGTTGTTGATGAAGGTGATTCGACTCAAGGCTCGATAAGCGCGATTGTTTCCGAGTTATTTAATATTAACCATGACTATTGGGGTACTGCACTGTCTACATTGGCTAAAGTATGAACAAATCTAAGTATATAATTTTTTTACATCTTCCTTGCATATGTTCTGTAACTTTTTGTATAAATATGTAATTTCGTTTTGAAATAATTTCTTTTTCATTACATATTGTAGACAGATATGAGTTCTGTAGTGGAAGAAGTAAATGATAAACATATGGGACCTTGGGCAGATGCTTGTAACAAAGATGGAGTAGAAAATAGCCCTCTTTCTCCATATATAGATCAGGAACTTCTTTACAACAAACACTTATATATGCAACCAGGAAAGTTAACAAGTACTGGATTTAATTATCTTTATCCAAAACTCACAAAGGATGCTTTAAAAGAGGTAAATAATTATTTAATCATCTATAAGAACATTTATAGTAAGTAGTAAGTTATTTTCCAAACATATTTTGCATTAATTATTGATATATAGGTTTTGGATGACTATGTAAACATGAAGATATTTCCACATTCCTTGGTTTTATGAATTTTAACAATACAGACTGCCAGGATTAAATATTGAAGATATTTACAATAATTTGTATAAATAATTTTTGGAGCGTTTCACCTTGTGCCTAGTAATATATGCAAGTTATATACTCTATCATATGTTATACATATACCATACTCGTATTTTACCTGCTAACAAAAATATTGTTAGTCATGTTTAGAGAGAGTATACAGATGGAATATGAAGATTTCATATATAAGCCTATTACAAATGTGATAAACTAGAAATTAATGTACTTAATTTTATTGTAGTCTGAAGTATAAAATTTTGCATTTTTTTAATTGCTAGTCACGTTTTGACCTGTAAGATTAACGTGAGGTTGAGAAATCTTTTACATGCCCAAATAATAACAAATTATATATTGTAGAATATAACGTTATTTCGATAAATATTTTAAAGACTTATGTATATCGCCAATAGAAATTCTTTTTGTACTGAATTTTTTAAGACTGGGAATAAAACTGTTAATGAATTAACGAGATCCACATCAAACTTGTTCGAGATTTTTTGTTTTTTATATCCATTACATTCCACTTAAATATACATCTTCCAGAGCTGTGACTCGTAAATAGAAATCTTTTTATTCCAAGTAAATAATCTTACAGTTACTTAAGTATAGAATATTAGAAATATTCAAAGTATATAGTGTATTATTAAATCAAGTACAAATGATATCGATTAAGCTAAATTTGTTTCCAAAATGCCAAAATTAAGCAGATTGGTAGATTTATAATATAAAAGTAAGTAAGCCTACTTTTGCAATAGAATGTAATAAAAATTTAATAAGGAAACGGCACTAAAAGCCAAATCAAATTAATAGTATTACTCTTTTGGAATAATTGTTATAATCCTTTTACAATAAAGTTACTCATTTATGCAATTATTTGGCTATTTTATTATACCTTTAACATTACTTGATTATATCCATTGGGAAAGGGTACCAACTTTTATTTTTAATATATCAGCAACATTGATACATTGTTATCTTAATTTTATTCAATCATTGGTTACAACAAGATATTGTGTTCAGAAGGGTCAACAATATCATTAAATATTTTGTGTATTGTTTTAATTTTAATACTTTAAACAATAAGATTATAATAATTTCGTGTAGTTCATTATACATAATATATTAAACAAATATATATATATATATATATGAATGTATATACATACATATACACACATATATATATTTGTTTTTAATATTTTCTGTAGATAATATATGTACAAGTTATAGGTAAAAATATTTATAAAGTAACTGCACCCTAAATAATAGCATAATTACCGCAATAGGTTAATAATATAAGGATCAGTAAAAAAAATGATATGGGTTTATGAAAAATAAATTAATAAAGCTTCCTTAATACATAATAATTACTATAATTAACGACAATAATACAAATTTCAATTTTTTTACCGGGTTTGCTTCTCATTTTTATATATGTCTTATATAAAATAAAATATAATGTCTTGGCTTATCTACTCACTGCATGTGAGAAAATATTTTCTGAGGTAAACTGTATAAATTTAAATTATAGTGCTGTGTAATAGGTACTGAGGTTAAGTTAAAATTAAGTAATGTATACTACCTACCCTATGCAGGGTGGCAATTATGGAGGTATATTTATTTGACTAGAGTCGCCGTACAACATAATTAATACTTTTATAACGTTACGTATGGCCAATACTATTGAATCGATATTTTTTTCAAACATTATTGCAGACGAAATGACATAAAGCTATTCCTCCTTTGTATGCATTAAAGTTATGGATTTATATGAATATTATGGAATTAAATTTCATAAATAGATGAAAAATATGCTATAGATAACAAGACATATCTTATACGCTTATTTGAAATATTGCTTAGCATAATGATGTTTAGAAGTAGATGTAATATACCTAAATCAAAGTCTATGTAATAATTTATTTAAAAAAAATTTATTAAAAATGTGGGATCAAAATAGCCTCAATTCCAATTTTCCTTTATATAAATCGTTATACTCTAAATGTTACATTTACAATACTTGTTTTTCCTATTTGTAATCTAAAGTTAATAATGTTTATTGCTTTGTACTTCAATACTGTAATCATAATTCATTTCTTGAAAATAAAATACTTACACAGCAGCACGGCGACTCTATTTTTTTTATTTTTCCCTATATATTTGTTTTTAATATTTTCTGTAGATAATATATGTACAAGTTATAGGTAAAAATATTTATAAAGTAACTGCACCCTAAATAATAGCATAATTACCGCAATAGGTTAATAATATAAGGATCAGTAAAAAAAATGATATGGGTTTATGAAAAATAAATTAATAAAGCTTCCTTAATACATAATAATTACTATAATTAACGACAATAATACAAATTTCAATTTTTTTACCGGGTTTGCTTCTCATTTTTATATATGTCTTATATAAAATAAAATATAATGTCTTGGCTTATCTACTCACTGCATGTGAGAAAATATTTTCTGAGGTAAACTGTATAAATTTAAATTATAGTGCTGTGTAATAGGTACTGAGGTTAAGTTAAAATTAAGTAATGTATACTACCTACCCTATGCAGGGTGGCAATTATGGAGGTATATTTATTTGACTAGAGTCGCCGTACAACATAATTAATACTTTTATAACGTTACGTATGGCCAATACTATTGAATCGATATTTTTTTCAAACATTATTGCAGACGAAATGACATAAAGCTATTCCTCCTTTGTATGCATTAAAGTTATGGATTTATATGAATATTATGGAATTAAATTTCATAAATAGATGAAAAATATGCTATAGATAACAAGACATATCTTATACGCTTATTTGAAATATTGCTTAGCATAATGATGTTTAGAAGTAGATGTAATATACCTAAATCAAAGTCTATGTAATAATTTATTTAAAAAAAATTTATTAAAAATGTGGGATCAAAATAGCCTCAATTCCAATTTTCCTTTATATAAATCGTTATACTCTAAATGTTACATTTACAATACTTGTTTTTCCTATTTGTAATCTAAAGTTAATAATGTTTATTGCTTTGTACTTCAATACTGTAATCATAATTCATTTCTTGAAAATAAAATACTTACACAGCAGCACGGCGACTCTATTTTTTTTATTTTTCCCTTTTTACAAAGTTTAAAACTTATCACATTTATACAATTAATTAAGGAAATAAAGTATGAATTATTTTCCCTACTTAACATCGATAAGTTTAACTTTACTTTAAGTGTTTAGCAAAGGTTTTTCTAAAAATTAGTAAATTTTCATGTAGGTACGAAATTAATGCAATTAGAATTTTCCAATAGAATTATGTCAAGTCAGAAAAATATCGCACTTAAAAAATACAGTATACTATGCTGCTTAAAATAAACTGGAAAAATACTTGTTATACATCTACACTCATTTTTTACAAAGATTATCAAAATCAATAATTAAGATTTGTATACACAAGGCATAATGTTTACTAGAAATTTTTGTCGTCGTATGTAATTACTATATTCTTCTTTTTATGTTCATGTTTTTGATCCTATTATATTTTATTCCTAAAAAAAGAAAAGATAAAAAAAGACCCCTCATTTCCTTATACTTTTTCGAATTTCATCAATATAAAACTGTGTAAGCTTAAGAATAAAATACACTCGCAGTGTAAAATATATTTAAAAATATACTGAAAGTTTAACATAAAAGTAAAACATGAGCGATCAGTTGCCTACTATTATATACCAATTATCAATTCTTACTTAACTCCAAGAAGAGTAACAAATACTTTCAACAAATATAAAAGTATACTACTACATGTCAGTAACATAAAATGTAACAGATTGTGTTAAATATGATAACAAATGGAAACAAATTATTTAAATAAAAATCACAAAACAAGCATTTATACTAGTGAAATATACTTGCAACGAATACTATTCTGTCGCAAAAATGTCAAGAATGAATAACTATGATGATATTCGCATGAATTGAGATTCCAATTCCGTTTATAAAATACATAACAAATTCCATACATGGTGTTTAAATAAAAAATATTTTTATCTGTAACGTTGTATCAGATCTTGTAAATATTTCAAATGTAAAATATTGTAATAATCTATTAGTACTGAGTTTGTGTAGAAAAGAGAATGTAAGTCATAATTTACATTTATAATGTGGTATGGAATATATGTTATAAAAAGCTTGTATTAAGAGCAACATTTCCTTAACGTAAGGCAGAATTATTTTTCAGTGATGACTTTAAATTATATGTGTAACAAATTATTCTGTATAAAGATGTAGAAATCTGTGTAATAAATATACGATAAAATCTCTAGTATGTGCATATTGAATTAATTCTATTTTTACATGATTTTTATACTGTGCTTGCAGTGATTATGTTATTGCATAATTCAGTGTAATGTGATCATTTAAAATAGTACTGAATATAAAATGTAATAAATAACAATTAATGGAGGTACAATAATAACATGACATATCTATGTCTCACTCTAAAAGATATAGCTTATTCTATCAGGTACTGTATTGGGTTTTTTGTCATGGTAACATGCACCAGTCTGGAATATGTTTGTAGTTCTGTTTCACTTTTTTTCATCTTTTTGCAATTTGTATGATATAGTTAACCTTATATGTCTTGTACAACAGAAGACTGATCTCTATTGTTTAGACTGACAGAGTGAACAGGAAAAAATATACAGACTATATTCAATACTCTCCGATTGTTAAATCATTATTTTCATTATATATATGATTAAGATTTTTTTTATATTTTATATATACTTTTTTATATCTTATAAAAATCTGATAATTCTTTTTTAATTTTATTTTTTCCTGTTCTTTTCATACATTTTAATAGCATATAATACAATATTATCAACATGTAATATAAAAAAATTGTGTTAAATTAATGTTAACATTTCAATTACTTTTTTAAAAATGTTTGACAACGTCGTATCCTTTAACGGAATAAATATTTACCAAAATCTTTAATGGTATACGTGTACTTTGTTATAATATTTGTAATAAAAAAGAAAATCTAAGCTATACTTTTTTATGTATCAATTAAAATTTCATTAGTATTTCTTTCTAGACTTCTTAATATCTAAAACTTTTCCATGCTGATTTAACTTTAGCTGACGGAAAACTTAAAATTGTGGAATGATCAGTACTATCGCTCTCTTTAAAAGCAATATAATGTATATTGTAAATTAGATTAGGCCATACCCGTAACTTGGATATTTAATTTTGTTTCTTGCTGTAATGCGAAGGAATGCATTATTTACTGGTTTTTAATTATTATTTAAAACGTAGTATTTCATGAACATATAATTAACAGACATCTTATTTACAAGATCTTCCAAAATTTTCGTATCATTCTATTTGTTCAATGTTCAATTTCATCATTCTCTATCGTTTTACGAGTGTCAACTCAGTACAATTAGAGCAAGTTATTCAACGAATATTTTCTTAAGTATCATTCGAATGATTTATCTGTGTCGTTTCATATAAAATGAAGTTTAAGAATGAAATTAGAGCCCTTGCAAACCGTAAATACTGATATAATGGATCAATAGAAATAACTTGCTTCAAAAACTTATATACAAGGTAATAGCGGAAATGTCCAAAATCGACACATTATCAAAACACTATTATTTACATTAATCATATACATGTACGCATTAGTACTTTCATTTACAAGTCAGATTCTGTTAAACTTGTAAATTGTAGTAACTTGCTTCCGCCCTTTTGTTCTTCTTACTTTTAGCTCGTGTTGATGTGTATGCGTATACACATTTTTGTACAGTCGTATGTATACATACCTTGCAATTGTGATTTAAGTTGTATGAAAACTTTCGTTCTACCTGTTGCACATTCACGTAGCAAATAAACGTGAACAAGTAATCATATTGCCTAATGCTTTCATCCATTTGGTCCAAGCGCCGGAACAGATATACACATAGATTTTGGTAAAGACGTATCTCCGTCTGCACATCCAGAGTTATTATTTAAACTGCTACTACTACTGCCTAAAGTACAATTGACCATCGTAAGCTGCATAACTTCTAGATCTTGTTCTGACTCTTGCTCTTGTTTTTGTTTACTCGAGACAACGGTGTCCTTCGTTTTGTACTGTTATTTTTTCATATATATTAGTTTCATTATAATTTTTGTTAGTTATTCGGTACTATTTCAAATAAAAATTATTTATACCTGTGAATTTTTCGTTACATGAATATCCTTAGTTTCACCATTTATTTCCCATGATGGTAATAAAGGTTCTTTTGCACAAGATTCAAGAATTCCATTTGATTTACCACCCTGCAATAATATACTTAAATAGAATCCTCCACTCAAACTTAGGAATCTAGAGGAGGAATCACACATACCTTTGTGTCTAAATGCGAATTAGGTGTAATGGGAGATGATGGACAAAGGACAGCAAGTTCAATTTCATTTGGTGACACTCTACTGTTCGTCTGTTGATTCACTGATGTAGAAGATTGATCCGCGCAACATCTACTCCCATTTCGTATTAACACACGATTTTTCGCAGATTGTGCATTTTCTCTTGAAAGACGGGCATTTTGATATTTTTTTCGACAATACATACTACATAAACAGATTGTAATAAATCCAATGCTAATACTAACACCAAAAATTACGCCTGCAAATAAATGGATATAATAATTTTATTCAGATTTAACAAAGGTTAGAACGTTGTTGTTTAATTTTATATTCAATATTTACCAAGGCTTTGATCAGGATTCGTGTTTTGTGGAGGTTCTCGTTTATCCGGTGAATAAGGTATTATCGGTGCGGAGCCACCGGTTAAAATAGTTTTTGGATCAGATGGTTTACCGTAACCAGCTTTAGTAGCTGCTTGTACCACGACAAAGTATCGTTTTCCCGAAACTAAACCAGGTAAAGTCGTCGACATTTTATTACCAGGTACCGTCACGTTTCTCCACGTTGCAACCGAATCCATTGAATCCATTGTGTACGTGACAAAATAATTTTGTATAATACCATTTATGTTGCTTGGTTCCTTCCATGCAATTCGAACTTCAGTATTATTTACTAAAAACCATTGTACTTCTTCTACCTTTCCCGGAACTAAAATTATTATCATATAAATTATTTCTCCTTACAAATTTATAGAAATTAAATTTTATTGTATGCTTACTGTCTTCGTTTGTATAACATTCCACGGATTCACTATAAAAACTGCTTTGGTTTGTGTTATTTTTAATAGCTCTTACTTTAAACTGATATAATGTAAACGGTTTGAGTTTATCGATATTTGCCTTAGTATCATTTCTGGAAAATATTTTTAAAATGTTTAATGTTAAAAAATATTGTAAGTACAATACTAACGAAGCGTCATTTATACTTACGTAATTACGCATTTTAGACCATCTAAATTTATTGCATGAATTGCTTGATAGCATAATTCAAAAGAATTTACTTCGTACTCATCGTTCAATGACCATGTCACATTTATAGAAGTTGGTGAAATAGGAATAGCTTCCAAGGCTATCGGTACGTTATCTAATTAATAAGAAAAGAGCATTATATACAATATTATTATACTGATATTATAATTATAATGAAATTTAAATTTGTAATAAGCTCACTTGTGTCAGGCAGAACAGTTTCTATTTGTTTTGTTAAACAGCCTGTTGTTTCATTAGACTTCATCATACATAAACCCACCGTATAAGAAACATTTACATCTAAGTAAAATAAGTCATAAATTATTTTTACAGTAGTACTGCAATGATAAAGCAATACTTATACTAATACTTACCAAGATTAGTAAATACGTATTCAGTAACATTTTTTGGTAAAAAAATATTTCCTAATTTATGTCCACTTTGATTTTCACAATAAATTTTCCAAAGATCAAATTCTGATGCAATTTTATCATTTTCTTTAACATTTATTTTCCATTTTACCTGGTGTAAACAATTTTGTAATGTAACTGCATTATATCGGAAAAATAACGCGTAACTTTTAAAATATTTATACTAACTTTTACAACTGATGCATTTATGATTAATACTTGCATATCCACAATGTTCTCGAAAACAAATTGATTAGATTCAGCTGATGGCATAGTTACAGTAATCCATTCTAACTGTGATTCGCTCATGTTAGGCCATCCTTGTTTTGTTTTTGCTAATACTCGCAGATCGTACTGCGCTCCAGGCGTTAAACCTTTTTTTAAAATTTGATCATTATTATCATCATTATTAATAAATAATATGCAATTAAGTTCAATTGATTTTATTAATATGAAGAATTGAATAAATACCAGTAAGTTCATGGGATTCCACAGTAGCAGGAAAATGAAAAACTCGAGCAGATGGCTGTTGATGCAGTCTGTATTGTAATTTGTATTGTACCACGATACCACGAGACTCTTTTTTAGTCAGTGGTTCCCATGATACATTTAATTTTGTACTACTAATTACATTCGCGTGAACTTTTGGTGTACCTTTAGGAACTGAGTAAAAAGATACATTTTTATTTGCTGGTTACATTAAAAATAATAAATATTAAAGATAACATACCACTTGGGGCTGTAGAACACAAAATGGTGGCTGACTGATCGCTAGGACCATAATTGTTCCACACTCGTATATAGAAGGAGTAATTTGTATACGGTTCGAGAAGTTTTGTTACTTCTACTGACGTAGAATTACCCGGCTCAGGCGGAGAAACTTCTTCTTTACCTCCTTCTTTATATACAAAAAAATATTATTCTATCTAATTATCATTAACACCTTTTTTAATACTCAACGTTTCGTTGAACTCACCTACGGGACTGTAATGGACGGTATAAGCTTTAATACTGCTATGTGGTAGAAACTTTGGTGGTTCCCAGGAAATAAAAATTTTAACTGGTGACAGAGCACGGCATTTTAAAGAGGTAGGTGCAGCAGGACTATTACGAGTTGTATTTACTTGAAGCCGACCTGCGGCCCATATTTCTCCTGCTGAATTAACAGCAACGCATTGATAGATACCAGAATCCGATGGAACTGTTGCTGATATTGCTAGTTCCATTTTATTATACTCTTTTACATACGTAGTTCTACGCCCTATAAAATATACATGTAAAATTTCATTGTAACTCGAAATGAGAATACGTCAATGTTATAATTAACTTTACCATTCCCTGTAATATTTAACGAATCTTTCAACCAATATATTTTAGGCATAGGTAACCCTTGTGCCTGACATTCAAATCTTGCAGTTCTTCCATTTGGACATACTTGATTCGAAGGTGTTTTCAAAAATGAAGGTGGTATCAATACATCCACTGTCACATTCTAAAATAAATTTCATCATATTTAATTCAAGCCGCTACCAATTAAATATAATATTATTTGTAAATAACAAACCTGCACATCTGAATTATTTGTAACGAAATATTTTGCAGAACATACATAAACTCCTGCATCTGATACGCTCACATTTGTTAATGATAATACACTAATACCAATACTAGAATTAAGTAAAATGCGAGGTTGTGTAACATTATTATTATCTAAAAATGAATAAATTAGTTTTAATTTTCATTTGAAATATTTAAATAAAGTACAAATACGTGTATATGAATTACCAGGATAGCGAGGAATAAACACCCATGTAATAAATGGAAGTGGATATCCAGATGCAGCACATACTAAACTAAGATTCGACCCATTTATTAACCAATGATTATACGAAACTTGCGGAAACAACAATGACGGTGTATCTGATCCATTACCCTCTGGTCGAGAAATAACAGTTAATCTTGTTTCTTTGCTTTTTTTGGTTTTCTTTAGGAATTCATTATTTACTATACATCTATAAAAATGAATAATGTATTTCAGTTTAATTCGATCGTTTCAATCTCTAAATTATTCCTTGATATATGTAAATAGTTGTGTACTCTGATATTCTACATATCACTCATTTGCCGCAATAAGGACATAACTCAAAAATCACGATCTTAAGGAAATTAAGAGACTTTTAGAACCTTACCAGAGAAATACAGAAACAAGAATCATTCATTCAATGTTACTAACCCAAAAACTGTAAATTTTGAATAATATCATTATTGCGGCAAATAAGCGATATATACCTATATGAACCAGCATCTGATAACTTCGTTGCTTTTATGTACAGAACACCTGGTGGTACCATAATATATCTAGTACTGTAAATTACATATTATTATTATTGCAAATTATCTAATGGGTAATTATTATTTTTGATTATAACTTTCTTACTTTAAGTTACTCTGATTGGGCAACAATGTTTTTCCATTATGTTGCCATGTGATATTAGGAGGAAAAGGAACACTATCTATTAAGCAAGACACTCTTGCTACTTCACCCTCTTGTGCAGTTATATTTTCTGGAAATTCTTTAAATATCTGGGCAAGTTCTATAATACAAATAAATGAATTTTAACACATATCAAACACCCCAAAGATAAAGTATTAAGAAGAAGCTTACCTGCTATTTGAATAAATGTAGGAGATGATCTTAAGAGTCCTAAACTAGTATGTGCTACACAACGGTATTCATCTTTTCCATAATTTCTAATGTTAACCGTAGCATTATTTTTTTCTTTAAATTTCTGCACCATCTTACATAAAGAATGATAAAATAATATTTTAAACAATTACCTTAAATATCCTATACAACTAACCTGTTAATTGTATTACTATTCAATCAGAGCGTAATAGTGATACAATTATGAAGTAATTACTTATTACAGTTAACAGGTTAATTCCTGCTAAAACATACCTTGTGTAAGTGAAGAGAACCATTTCTAAGAAGATTACAACGTGTGATACCACATGGTGGTGCTGGTACTCCATTGTGTAACCAAGTAATATTTTGATTTAATCCAGCTATACAACTAAGTGTAATTCCTTTTTTCCCTAATATCACATGACCACTAGGTTGAATTTCCAGTGTAATGCCAGAACCTTTGGTTGGACTAGTGTTGAAGCTTTCTGATTTAGACACGTTTTTGTTATGTAAACTGGTTTCAAATTCTTTGACACCTGAAATATATGGAATAAAATGAAATAGAATTTATGCGAACTGTTGATTCCTTTTTATAATCTTTATTGCAACATAACTACATTCATATGTTAAAATTTTTTTTAGTATTCAATTGAAATATACCTGTAATAAATGCTAAAGAATATCAGAAAACAATATTACAGTTATATACTCTTACTTAAAACTTTGAAAGCATTGTTCTAACAGAAATTATACAATGCTAAATACAAAGATGAATTTTCTCATAAATTATGATATCACAATTTAATTACGTTTACTCTGCTCATAAATGTACATGATGTTCTAATACATTCAATTATGAATAATTTATTTGTAGTAGAAGAAATAAACAAAAAATTGAGAAAAAACAGTTGTTACTTTTTTAAAATACATAAATGTTTATCAATAAACCAAAATCAAATTTTTATTTTGACTTGATAAGGAGCATTGGGATTTTAACCATCAGAAAAGAATACAAAAAAACGTTAGCGCGTGGTCCACCGTATATGAGTTGTCGAATATAAACAGATTAGATAGGAAGAAAGGAGGGAGATATACCTGCGGCACAAGCGGGCTTTAACACTTCTGTAAACAAGATGCTCAGTAAAAGTACTCGCGCCGCCATATATTCACACTCATTGGCACTGGTTTCACTGACAAATCTTGGCCAAAACACGCTGTCGATTTGGTAGATTTTTCTGCGAAATTCGTCGCCGCATGTTTGACATCGCCTGCAAAAGTTTTTGGCCGTTCCGTTCACCGAACTCTTACCCCCCTTTCAGCCTCACTCTACGTTTTTACATCATCGCCAGGTGAAATGATATATCGTCACTGAAATCTTGAATACGTTGACAATACCGAGGATTACACGGTTGTCGCGAATAATGTTCGATTAGATTCGTTTGCATTAGCACGCGATTCGTTCATTTCTTACCATCTTCTATCTCTACTACCCACGTTTGTAATTTTTACAGTAAGGAAGAAGATTCAAAATCCTTGATTATGAACCACAGTGCCGCATACGGAAAATCCTTGAAGTAGAATAATATTTTGTATACAGCGCCACGTGCACTTTTCTTATTATTTCAATATGTATATCTATTGCAATTTATTGCGTATTTTAAAATTATAATTTATTTTAAATCTATTTTACCTGGCAACATTCTATGTAGTTGTTTAGTACATAATAAACTGAGCATCTGATATCCTTTGAAATAAAATTAGAATACATGATTTAGTTAGTTCTTTCTCTCGGTAGCAAAATACGCGTGATATGTGTATATATATATACATAGTATAGTTTTATGCACGTACATGAGTATGTAGCTAGCAGAAGCAAACAAAGAAAGTTTTGTCAAAATCGATTAGATAGTTTTTGGAATTATGGAGTATCCGCAAACTATGAATATAATAAACATTTTTTCTTTGTACAGTAATATTATGACAGCAGTATCTTGTTCATCTATAAGTGTGTTTACCAAATTTTTACGTAGATAAAATGTTATTCTGTAATAGGTTAATTATATGTTGATATTTAGTAAAAACTAATATTACTAAAATTGTAACTATATACAAGCAGTAAGATAAACAGTATGGTTAGCGCAAAATTAAACGACACAACAGATTTTTACAAAGGTTTAGGATTAGCGATCGGTTCCAGCGGCTTTATAGGTTAGTTGACATTTGAAAAAAATAAGGCAGTGATAAATTAGAAGGTTAACACTGATTATTAAATGTATTTATTTAGGTGCTAGTTTTATTATAAAAAAGAAAGCATTAATTCGTCTTCAAAGATGTGGCGCATTACGAGCTTCATCTGGAGGATTTGGCTATTTAAAGGAGTGGATGTGGTGGGGTGGTCTTCTTTCAAGTATGTAAGACGAATAAAACTCTTGTTGCTTGTTACAAAAGCTAAATATTCATTGAATAAAAATTATTTTGTTAAAGTGGGTATAGGAGAAGCAGCTAATTTTGCTGCTTATGCCTTTGCACCTGCTTCATTGGTTACACCATTAGGAGCACTTAGTGTTTTAGTATCTGCGATATTAGCATCAAAGTACCTGAATGAAAAACTAAATTTATTAGGAAAGGTAATATTATACTTCATGTATTTATAACATTTTATGTAATACATATATGGAACAAGGATAATACAGTTATATTCATTTCAGATTGGTTGCCTTTTATGCATACTAGGTTCAATGGTTCTTATACTTCACTCTCCAAAGGAGGAAGAAATTAGTACATTGGCTGAACTTTTAGATAAAGTCCAAAGTCCAGGATATATTACTTATATTTTAGTTGTGATAATATATAGTTTGTTAATAATTTTTCATTTTGGGCCTGTTCGTGGAAAGCAAAATATAATAATATATATTTCTTTGTGTGCATCTATCGGATCATTGACTGTTATGAGCTGTAAAGGACTTGGTTTAGCTTTGAAAGAAACCATTAGTGGACTTAATAATGCATTTGCAAATTGGTTAACATGGGCTCTTCTGTTTAGTGTTGTAATTTGTATCAGTGTACAAATGAACTATTTAAATAAGTCACTTGACTTATTTGAAACTACAATTGTAACACCAATTTACTATGTATTTTTCACAACATTAGTAATAATTGCATCTGCCATATTATTTAGAGAATGGGAAAATATGAGTGCAGAGGATGTTTTAGGTTCAATTTGTGGCTTTTTTACCATAATAATTGCAATATTTCTGTTAAATGCGTTTAAAGAACTAGATATACATTATGATAATATTAAACATATATTGCGGCCTAAAAAGGAAACAGTTGTAAGCAATAATAATCAATGGGATGATTCAGATAAAGAAAGATTATTGATTAGAATGGAAAGTTCGAGGCTAGAATTAGAACAATCATATGGAGCTCAAACTTTGACAAGAACGGTATAATACTTAATTACATTATATATACTATTAGATAGGCCCAATTTATAATCGAGGTCTTATCATCTACCATTCCCCTTTCTCGCTAGTCCTCATCAATATGCTCTATTCTAATAGCTCAATGATCTTAATCATTGTTGTTCAATGCATGCCGCGTATACACATATGTGATAGGATATATACATATATCCATAAATAATACACAAAGCTTTGAAAAAAATACAAATTTTATTGATTTCATAATCAATGTTATTCATTACTGTAATAAAACAATAGTAATTTATTATGAAGATATGAAAAAATTATAGTATGAAAATATATCAAATATAAAACATTGTACTATTAGTACTGATGTTTTACCAACAACCTTGTTTATCTACAAGTAATGTTTTTAATACTTTCTGGCAAATCAATCTCATAGTATGAGTAGGTACTATGGAAGCATACAAAATGCATAATATATGATCACCTTGCTTAACTGCATAACATTTGTGATACTCTGAACATAAATATGTTTCCTTTGCGCCGACGAATTTCCAATTATCGCTGTTTGTTTCGTCGTAAGATTCGGACGACAGTATAAAAGTCTCCACAGCTTGATGGTAAAATGTTCTTAATATATCTAATCTATGCGAACCACTAATTCTGTTTCTGGCATACTGAGTATTTTTACTCAGTATAAATTTTTGAACTTTATAGTTTGCCAATAGAAATCTAAGTGCACGGAAAAACATATTTTTATAATCAAATACATATTAGGACATAAAATTATCTCAATGAAATATTTATATATACATTACCCAAGTGTTTCTGAATCTAAATTTATAGATATGGGTAAATTTCGTGGATAGCATTGTTCTGCATTACGTAAGGTATCAATACTATTCTTCCAACACTGTACAGCAAATCTCTCAATTTCTGATAATTCTGGATTTGGTCCACACAATGTTAATACTTCAATGTAATTAATCAGCCTAACAGATACCAATCTATAGGCTATCTATACAGCCTCCCATGGTAAATAAGATTTATTTTACAAATTAAAATTTTTATGATAACACTGATTATTAAAATAAACTGAAACAAATACTTTAGAAATCTGTTGCAAAAGCACTTACATTCGGACTTTTATAAGGTAAAAATACAGGAATGTCACGTGTAGTATAAGTATCTTCACTGTTAACAGCTATTATTAGTAACTTTCTTTCAATAGGATTTAAACTCCACCATCCTTCTGTAGCCACAGCTAAACATCCGTGTATTAAAACACATCCATATATAGAATCCAAACATTCCACGTAACCCTCTAAGTAAGTCTTAAATACATTATTACTTAATATACAAAAAGTTAACAATTTAATGTATCTGGAGTACCTGTAGTATATTATTTTCTTGACACATAATGCATTCTGTCATATTGATGATATCAGTTTTTGAATAAATTCCATCTCCAACATCAATACACTGTAATAAACTGTCAACAACTGGACTGCATAAACGCATATCTTTTTTTAACTTCTCAATATTTTTTGTGCTCTTTAATTCTTCAATACCAACAAATAAAATCATAGCACCAAAGACAGCATCAAGAAACTTGTTTAAAACATATTTTGTGGTTCCACTTGCAATAACTATTAAAGCAATACTTTGTTCAAATTCTTTCCACATTATCGTTGTATCGGGCAAATCAGTATTTAAAAGTTTGATATCTTGTGATTTGAGAAACATGTGTATTCCATTTAAGGAAGCTATTTTAGAAAATGTCATCTGTAAATATTATGCAAAAAATTAAACTTCATATCTACTTCACTATTTTTGTTTTTTATTAGATAAACATTTTACCGTATCTCCATCTCCCTTCTGTCTAGAAAATAAAGGGATTCCACCTGAGGAGGTTAAGCACATAATATGGGCTACCATAATATTTAATCTTCGTTCTTTATGTGTAAAATATCTCGTGAATAATTTTAATCAGTTTTTATGGTTAATCATACAGAGATACATGTATTTACATTTTTATTTCTTGCTAGTATTCAAATAAAAATTTTGTTTACAATTAATGTTGTTCCTTTATACTTGGTGAAAAAATGTAAGACAAACAAACTTCAAATTTTATATAAAAATGTATGAATTACATACATTACAACTTACCATCACGAATGTCAATATTTTGTAACATATTAACAATAAGTACACAACTATAATAATATAATTTAATTTTTGTCAACACTCGTCAACACATAAGCGCATGTGCGTACGCATGCACTGTGCAGTAAAGTAAATTTCGTAACTTTGTCGCTCAAAACGTAGTTTTAAAAAAATTGATTACAAATTAATAGAAAAGTGATCAATATATTATTGCAAACAATCTTTGGAGAAAGAAAGTTTTGCAGTATACATTGATATTAGTACGTTTGTACGTAAAATGTAGATAATTGCAAAGTATGTTCAGTAATATGACGTAAATACAATGCCATTGAACTGTGTTTTTATTTTTTTCATGCTAAATAGATTTTAGTACAAGTCAGTGGTATATATATGTATGAATGTATGACATACATACGATAATAGCAAGACAATTAGATTTTCTAAAATATGTAATTTTTATTATTATATATCTCCAATTTATCTCCTCGACTGAGCTAGCTTATAGAATAAAAGAGGAGAGAAGGAATAAAACGGAATAAAATAAAAAAAAATGGAAAAATGAAAAAAACAAATAAAATTGACGAAAATACCGATTACATTGATTCGCTGATAAGAACTAAAAATAAATCACACGTATCGCAATTAAAAACTATATATTTTTATATAGATTTTCTTGTAGTTGGAGAACATTTAATTATTAAGATCATGTATGTATGTAAATAGGGGGATACAGTGAATATTCGAGAAGAGGTAGAGTGAAAATTAAAGAGGAATTAAGTTGATCAAAGTTAAAAAGATTTTGAGTGAAATGTTCGGTATATGTACGAAAAATAATTGTTGAAGAAAAGAATAGAAACGATTAATATAATGTTGACATCCATTTGGCACAAAGAGGCAGCTGCAAATTGTCGAAGAAATTTTAGTATGATCTAGCTTTTGAACATAGCTTCTTGAAAATCTGATATTTCGTTTGATTCACTAAAAATTAAACACTATCTACTAAATATACTAGATATTAATTGTAAAGACCAATTTGCTTTTTCGCGCACGAGCTTCGTGTATACTGTAAATTACGAAAAAGAGTGTCAAGTCGGTGTAGGAATGTGGCACTTCAAAATGGCTGCCAGTTACTTTAGTAATTTACGGCTGTATCTTTCTTTGTTGTTGCTGATGTAATTACGACTATAAATTGGAATACTACAGAATTAATTATAAGGGAAAATAGTGAATTAAAAGTTGTACGTGCACGTTACTTTCGTCACATGGGTTTTGTGGAAACGTGAGAATAGAATATGCTCTAAACTCGTTCTCTCTCGATTACTACTTCAGTTAAACTTATTGCAAGAAATTTTTTAGCCAATGTCTTTTCGTCTATGAAGAAACTGTGTGTTATCATTATTTGTTTTACGTACAAAGGATATTCTGGATCGATCTTTCACGCATCTAATGAATAGGTTAGATTTTTGATCGATCTCAATATTATATAGAAAAGATTAAAAAGATATCGAGATTGCGTACGAATCCGGTTTATTTAATGACGTAAAGTTCTAAATGAAATAAACACAAAGTTGCGAATGTAGGGATGAAGTAATTTTATACGACAATTAAGATTCGCGATGCAACAAAGAACGTATGTCGATGTTTACAGATTTTTTAAATATAATATTATTCTTATCATTTATAATTGCAAAGTGTTTTGATATAGAATAGTATATAAGTTCAATATTAACTAATCTTTTATATTAAATCAACATTGGCAGTATAAGCGATACATAATATTGATAGTATCAATGCAAGGATATCACTAAGAATTTACGTTAAAGCTTATTAGCCTTAAATTACTTTGACAAGTATCATATTAATAGATTGGTTCAATATAAGAAATATAATTTGGAATAATATTATCAGATAAAAGCGATAGAAGTTTATCATAAAATTTGTACAAACTTTTAAGAAAAAAACTTGATGTTATGTTTTAGATGTATATATACGTCTATATATATGTCACAGCCGGATTAAAGCTAGGTCTCAGAAGGCCTAGCATGGGCCACTATGAATCCACCCGCAGTTAACAAATCGAGCACTCGTGGCTCTGGATACCATCAGAAGGCTTTAGCTGAAATTCGCAATTCTTTGTTACCTTTTGCGAATATCGGAGGAACTGGAGAAGTAGGTTCTAGTGCTGCTAGTACCATATCTACTTTATCCACAACTAGTGGCATTAGTTCTGCCTCGGGACTTAGCGGCCTATCTGCTGCTTCTGGTTCTACTTTAGACAAATCCGATCAACGTCAACTAATAGCACAGTTATTGATCATGGGCTACTCTGAGGTAGGTGAAATTTGATCTAATGCATACTTGTGGAATAGGTATTCGTGTATTCATAGATGTTGCTAATAAAATTTAAAATCTGCAGGAAATTGCATTACGAGCTTTAAAATTAGCTGGCTGGCGTTTAGATGCAGCCATAGAATTTTTGAAACAGGCTCAGGGAGAATCTCTGAATGGACTCGGTAAACTAAACAGCAAGTTGATAAGAAAACCTAGTTTGGAAAGAGAACTGAGTCTGCAACGCGGCAGTCCAGCATTGGACAGTGGAGCGGGAAGTTCACGATCCGATAGTCCACGTTTGACGGAGCTTAGCCCGCATCCTCAGTTAAGTCGACAATATTCTCCGAGTAATTTCGTCGACAGAGAACCACCTCCTCCTCCACCTCCTAGATGTAGCTCGACGCCGCCACCGCCACCGCCACCTCATGCTCCATATAATCAACCAAATGTACCTACTAATATGCAGCAAATGCTGAAGCGTATGTCTCCTGCTCCGGTTGTTCCTACTCGACCACCTCCTACCACACCTGGTAATACCGGACCAATTTCAACGTCTGTTAATCTGCCACAAAGGGGTACGAGTCCAGTGGCTAGTTCAAACAATAGTTCTAATACTCGTCAACCTATGATTGTGCAAAATGGTCCTCAAGTTCAACAACAACTATCTCAACAAATGCAGGCGCTCAGTATTTATCAAGCAAACAATAACAGTGCTAATACTCAAGTCGAGCCACCACCCCCGTATCCTATAGTTTCTTCTTCGTCGGCTGGTCCGGTGCAACCACCATCTTATAGCGCTTCTATGCAAAACAGACAGAGTCCTACGCAATCCCAGCAAGATTATCGCAAAAGTCCTTCTTCCGGAATCTATTCTGGTCCAACGTCGGCCGGTTCACCGAGTCCTATTACCGTTTCCGCTGTATCTCCCAGTACCCAAGCATCCATGGCCAGACCAACTCCGCTGCAAGCTTGGGGCGCGCGACAAGCGAAAACACAGCCGCCAATAATAATGCAGTCTGTAAAGAGTACTCAAGTACAAAAACCCGTGTTGCAAACAGCAATTGCGCCAACGTCACCGCAACCGATCTCTACCACTAGCAACACACCTCCGCCTCCTCCGTCTTATGCGTCTTCGATTCAACAAAAGCAACAGCAACAACCACAACAACAACAACAATCACAGCAACAACAGCAACAGCAACCGCATCAACAACAGCAGCAGCAGCAACCTCACCAACAACAGCAGCAGCAGCAGCAACAGCAACAACAACAACCACCACCACCTGCTTATCCGCCAGTAAATAACGTTGGTGCAACTACCGCGAATAACATAAACGTGGGTGTTTCGGTAGGAGTACCTACTACGGAACCTCCGAGTTATGCAACGACGATGCAAGCATTAGCGGCACAACGCGGTATGCATCATCCTGTTCCTCCACCTCCGTACGGAACACCGAACACCGAAGATTCGGGTGGAATATCTACGATGGAGAACGGTACGTCTCTTAGATCATCTCCGGTCGCTCTTCACCCTCCGTTGCAAAGAAAATATTCGCCCGTAGATGGTTGTCAACATGCGGCGGAAACTCCACCTTTACCTCCGGTAGCATCGACTTCTATACAGACAAGAAACAATAGTGGTAATAATAATGGTGGTAACAACAACAACAACAACAATAATAATAACAGCAATATCAACATCAGTGGGAATAACAATAATCACGGTAGTGGTAGTAATAATAGTAATAATAGTAATAATAATAATAACAGCAACAGTAGTAGTAGTAACAACAACAATAACAACAACAACAGCAGTAGCAGCAACAATAATAACAACAATCATTCACCGGATAACAATGGCGCTAAAGGCGCTAATTCGCCGTCGTCTTACAAGATCAAACATCAATCACCGATACCCGAACGCAAGCATATGAGTAAAGAAAAGGAGGAAGAGCGCAGAGACTGTAAAGTTCGTAATTATTCTCCTCAAGCGTTTAAATTTTTTATGGAACAACACGTAGAAAATGTGTTAAAATCTCATAAGCAACGGCTGTACCGTCGACTTCAGCTGGAAACGGAAATGGCTAAGATAGGTCTTAGCGCAGAGGCTCAGTGTCAAATGAGGAAAATGTTATCTCAAAAAGAATCGAATTATATCAGACTGAAACGAGCTAAAATGGATAAATCGATGTTCACAAAAATTAAACCGATCGGAGTCGGTGCTTTCGGAGAAGTAACGCTCGTAAGAAAGCTCGATACTAATCAGTTCTACGCGATGAAAACTTTGAGAAAAGCGGATGTATTGAATCGTAATCAAGTCGCTCACGTTAAAGCCGAACGAGATATACTTGCAGAAGCCGATAACGAATGGGTAGTGAAGCTCTATTATTCCTTTCAAGATAAGGACAATTTGTATTTCGTCATGGATTATATACCCGGTGGTGACTTGATGTCCTTACTTATCAAGTTTGGGATATTCAAGGAACCTTTGGCAAGATTTTACATCGCCGAACTCACCTGTGCCGTAGAAAGTGTTCATAAGATGGGTTTTATTCATAGGGATATTAAACCAGACAATATTTTAATCGATCGAGATGGGCACATCAAACTGACAGATTTTGGGCTATGCACAGGATTCCGCTGGACCCACAATTCAAAATATTATCAACAAAACGGTAAGAGCATCTACGAATCTTCATTAGTCGGTAAATAAAGTCGAAAGGTTCTTTATCTAAAACGATAAGGAGTAATTTCTTACGTTTCACATTAATTTATTACAATGACGATCATGGTTATCACTACGAGTAAATGCTTAAAACATTGTATTTTCAAAACAGGTCACGGGAAGCAAGATTCGATGGATCCTGCGGATGATTGGAACAACGAATGTCGTTGCATACAATTGAAACCTTTGGAACGTAGAAGGCATAGGGAACATCAAAGGTGTTTGGCACACTCGTTGGTTGGAACACCGAACTACATCGCTCCGGAAGTTTTACAAAGGACAGGATACACTCAATTATGCGATTGGTGGAGCGTTGGTGTAATTTTGTATGAAATGTTAGTTGGTTCTCCACCGTTTCTTGCTAACACTCCAGCCGAAACGCAATACAAGGTAAGAAGGTAGTTTAGCCGAAACGGCGAACACCGATTTTATGGATCGACAGATTATTTTACGACTCGAATGCATTACATATATTTGCGTGTACGCAGGTTATCAACTGGGAAACGACTCTGCACATCCCGAAGCAAGCAAACCTATCCGCGGAAGGTATGGATTTGATATTAAAGTTGTGCGTGGGCGCGGATCGTCGGTTAGGTAAGAATGCGGACGAAGTGAAAAGCCACCCGTTTTTTGCGAGCATCGACTTCGAGAAAGGGTTGCGACGCCAAGTAGCTCCTCATATACCCCGGATACAATATCCTACCGACACGAGTAACTTCGACCCCGTGGATCCTGATAAATTACGGAATTCCGAATCTTCCGATTCTAACAAGTCGGACGAACTATTGGATAATGGAAAACCGTTTCATGGCTTCTTTGAATTCACTTTTAGACGATTCTTTGACGACGGTGGTGGTCCCGCGTATCCTAGTCGAATAAGTTTGGACGATAACGATAATCAAGGTCCCGTTTACGTATGACGCTAGGTTTACAAGTTTTATTCGCGTTAAAATGGTTAACGCAGTGTTTCGCATCCGATCAGAAAAGTCTTTGTAAATATTGTTCAGAATCGGAAATATTCGATTTGCTCGAAATCGATGGCGAGAGTAGCGGTAGCGGTAACGGTAACGGTTAGGGTTACATTAATACGAATCGGAAGAGATTTCGTTAAATCTTCGATGAACGATCGTACGCGTCGTACTATGTTACGCGACTGATAAAAAACGACGATCACGCGGAAACCCTCGCGTTTGTTCCTTGATTTCGATGAATCGTCGTATCCGTTGTTTCGTAACTCGTTTCTCTTTATTTTTCCCTATTCTTTTTTCTTACTCGTTTCATGATGAGAAATCGTTAGAATCACTTCTTCGAAGATCAGTTTTTTTTCCTGATCGGTGATCGACCGCTCGACGATGCGATGCTCGCCTAATTCAAATTCATGGGCGCTCGTCGTCGCTGTAATTTTAGACGCGGCACGAATTATTCGAAATATTTTCAAACCATTATGATCTTTGCGATTCCATGAAATATAAAAAGAAAAGAAAATAGTAAGCGTAACTTAAAGAAAGAAGAAACTGCGAATGTAATGGTCAATCGAGAAAAAAGAAAGGAAGCGATCGATGACTAGGCAATATACGCTTTTATACGTTTATCGAAAAAAAAGATATCGTGCTTGCCATTTTCATTGGTATTGGCTCTTGTGCCTATTCGAAAAGCGTGTTCGTATGTTTCAGCAAGTACTGTGATATTGCAGATAATTAGAATAATGTGACTTTTAAATGTATCGGCCTTATTTAATTCTTTTTCTTCTTTTTCTACTACTTCTTCTTTTTCTTCTTTTCCTATTTCTTCTTCTTCTCTTCTTCTGTTTGTTTTTTTTCTACATCGAATGCTACGACGAGTATAAATAATAATTATTATCGTATAGATTCTTAAATGGATGTAATGTGTTCATTGTAATATTTTATGCAGCTTTTAATCGTCACTTTTTTCCTCTTTTTTTTAATGCTTTAATTTAAGAAGGGACGTTCGTTAATTTACTGTCGCATCGTACGTGTTTCGCGAATATTTTTCGTCTTTGCAGATTAACTACACGTAATTTAATTCGTATGTAAAATCGAAACTATCGAAAACTGTTTATCGAATGAAAATTCCGTGGTGTAAGATCCGAGCGATTAAAAATTACGATCGCATCGAAACATCGTCGATCGTTAATCGTTACGTTCGATGGATCCATACATTTCGAATTGATGTTTTACAAGATTTAAATGCGTCGAAGAAACGAAGGAAACGATTACGATGTTTGCGACACGAATCAACTTATTTGCAACTTTCGTACGTTGCGCTAGAAACGAATAAAACGCGTAATAATCGATTGTACGACGTTCAACTAACGTTTTTATTCAATTAAGTGCCTAGTGCTCGAGTTACATTCTTACACCGCGGTTATTCGTCAAACGAGATACGTCTAAAGCGATAAATTCTCAAGTGTCCTTATTGATTGTTCTTCTGCTTGTTAACCGAGCGTATCGTCGCGTTATATTCGCGGCTACGCGCCACTAATGATAAACCGATCTGTCCGTTTAAAACGATACGAAATAATCGTTACGCTTTATTAATTAGTGATTATGAAAACACGTTAATGTTACTCGTTTGTTAAAAACAAAAGGAACGGACGCTGCGCTGCGTTATTGCATCGATGTATGTATCATGTACAAAGTAAGAATAAGTCGCTTTTTCGCGCGCGCACATGCGCGTATACACACATACACACATATATGCAGTGTTAAAAAAGCATCGCATTCGTTCAACGCCATTTTTGAAAATGTAAGACAAAAATCTCGTATCATTTTTCAATATACTTTCGCTGCAATTAATTATTGAAATTGTAATAAGGTAATCATCGTTAAACTACAGCCGGGGCCACCGCAGCGATCTGCACTTATGCATTGCATCGAAAAATGGTATTAGACATTTTTTTCTTAGATCTTCGTCCTCTATTGAATGATGCTGAGCAAATTCGATGCTTATTTAACACTCTGTATACCTATATATATATAGTAAAAGAAAGAAACGTTATTCTTTGATGACTAATTGAATTTACAAACGATGAACTGGTATCGGTAGACGTAGAAACGTAGAAATGTAAAAACGATGTACGATATCGAACATCATCTGGAAGATACGTTATTTAAAACTAATTACAGCTTCTCTAATTTTGTAAACGATCGTCTTTTTCTTATATTCAAGATGTTTTGAAATTAGTTCAAATAATTACCATTAATTCGTATGTTTATCGCGCGTTGTACGTACCAAAGGAAAAAGTAAGTCTTTATATAGGATGGAAGAATTCGATAGAAAAATATAACGACGAATCTATTTTATACTCGTTTCAGGTCGTAATTATCCTCTGAAAGATATTATATTAGTATTAACGAATTTTTACGCGAATATACACTATGGATTGTTCGTTTTGATGCACGAGGAAAATATGTATTTATGCGAAAAGAAGAAAACGAAAAGAAAGAGAGAAAAGGTAAGAACGAAAAAGAAATTACAAATTGAAAGGAGATGTATATTCTGTTACGTACATTTATCGTGTTCATAAAATGACTATTTTTCTATGAGAAACGTATAGAGTATACGCAATGGACTGAAGGAAAGGTGTTTTAACATTTTCGTGCATCTTAAATAGTTTTGTAAATGAAAACACATCGTCCATCGAAATTGCGAAGGTGTTGCCGGATAAAAAGAATGGGGGGAAAAATATCCGAAGGAAGTAACTTTCTGTACGATGCATTTAACTGGATAAAATCGTAGATGTCGGTTTGCAAAATGTATCGACTCCGATCGCAAAAAAGTGTGATCAAGTTCGCCGCTCGAAAAATTCATTGCTTGGAAACAAGGATCGAATATCGCGTTACATCACGTTTGACAAATAAATACCAAAGGGATTCGCTCTTACTATCATAAAAGTAATCCTTGTATACTACGATTTTACTCTTTGTATACATAAGAATTTTGCATGTTTAATTTTAGTTGATAGCCGTGTGCAAAACGGTGCGATGGCACAGGCACGATATCGTTGTGCCATGCATAACTGATGTTGACGTTGATGTAAACTTTCAACGGATACTAGCTATTAATTTTTCTTCTAAATTGCAAACGATTAATCGCAAAGTAACATAAAACGTACGAAACATTGTTCGTCGCGCGTATATTCGTTGCTCGATCGTTGATAAAATTGCAGACGTTTTAGATCGTGCGTTATATCGTAGAATAGTTGAAGTCAAACGATGATAACGATAATAATATACTTTTTATTACGAATACACGACAAATGTTCTATGTAAAAATGATTCCGTTAACACGTTGAGTACCAAGATAAATTAACGGAAATTCTTTGTGCTTGCTGAAGAATATATCTTTTTTATTATACAACTTTATCAGAGAATAATTTTGAAGAATATTCAAAACGCATCTGAAAGTCCTGTAAATGACTGGCAGTCAACGTGTTAAATTAAAAAATTTGATAATTGAAAAGTACCTCTTATCGTGTATTGAAACAAATATTTTTATACCATAAAATGTACATGTATATAATAATTTACTTTTGAAGGTTATCCGTATTTAGTTATAAAATAATATTCATTAATTTCACGTACTCTAAATTAAGTTCGATTCGATTCAATCAATAAATCGTAGCATCAAGATCCTGCATCGTTCGAATTCTCGTATAGATTATGTTTATTTCGACCGTAAGATAAAACAAAGATCTGTTAATCCATGAATCGAAGCAAAATGATTTTAAATGGTATAGCTGTACATTTTGTAACATCTGTTTTTGCTTTGTAATTATTATATATCACGAAAGCTAGAAGAAAAACGAGTTAATTTTGTAAGGCGGTATAATATATTAAACTCTGTATATATTTTGGATAATTATTCTAAATTAAAACTATGTTTAATGCTTATTTTGTCCCAACTTATTTTTCCCGTTATGTGTAATTATTTTTCTAAATGAACATACTTGGCGGCCAACTTTTATTTAAAATGTATCAATTAAAATACCAGTCATGAAACAACGAGAATTAATAATTTTTTCGATCTAAAAATAATTACAGTTGATCTCGATTCGAAATGGAACGCGTTTAAATTATCGCGCCTACTCTGGCGCGCATACACGCACGTGTACACCGGCCACTGTGCATTTTATACTCTATAGTTAAGTACAGATATGATAACGAATTAAAAAACCTATTCTGTTATGGAAGTATAAAAATAAAACAGCCGTAGTTTTTACTTAAAATATATTAAGCAATGTAGGCAAAGTAATAAAAAGTTTTCATGAAATCTTCGGTCAATGTACAAACTCGTCCACTTGATCAACGGGTTTATATAACTATTTAGATCGATGCTCGTTATTCTTTACGAGTCGTTTTACTCGTAACTAGTGCATATCAGTCAATTTTTCAGTCGTCTTTTAGAAGGAACTTTGTTGAAAAATAGAATAGGAAGGAGTGAAAATCTAGCAAAATGAATCGTGTTAAGAAACTTTTGTCGAGTAAAGAAACTCGAGATTATTTTATGAGGCAAGCAATATAAATACATTCATAAAAATCGGGCACGAATACGTTCGTGTACACGTGCATCGTACGATCGTGTTGCTGTTAATTGGTGTTAGTGTGTTCGATTGAAAACAGATTATAGAAAAATTACTTTTTTGTTTTAGCACACATTTTTGGGGACCAGTAGCTAATTGGGGTATTCCAATCGCTGCAATTGCCGACATACGAAGAGATCCAAAATACATCAGTGGAAAAATGACACTTGGTTAGTTAATCCTTTTGTATTTTTTTTGTGAGATTAACATTTTTCACGTTCTTTACATACATGAATCAAATAAATGAAGTTATGTAAATGACGACATACGAACACGTGATACTTTTCCCCTCTTTTCTTTTTTACTTGAACTATCAATTAGTAGAATTTTAAAAATTATATTAAAATCCATGTAATATTAACTGTGATTACTTATTAAAAATTTGTAAAACCAAAAGAAATTTATTGTAACTTATAAAATGTTAAATTGATTTTTTTTTCAGCTTTATGCTTGTACTCTGCAATGTTTATGCGATTTGCACTTAAAGTTGAACCAAGAAATTTACTTCTCTTCGCTTGCCATTTTGTTAATGAAGGAGCACAGCTCACCCAAGGATGTAGATTTATAAAATATAATTATATGAGTAATAAGGAATAATTATTCTAACACTAGATACTGTGGATTATTAGAGGTGTAAGCAATATTTGTACAATACATTTGTTAAAACTGTTTCATGCTTATAATTTATTGTTACAGAATAAACCAATATTATTTAAAATTTATCACACACTTATGTAAATATAGTTTTATTTGTCTTTAAAATAAAGAATAAAATTTATTGATAAAAGACTTTCTGATTACATATGAAATATGTATATTGACAAATAAAAATGTATAATTCAAGAAGAAATGTCAGTTGTTTGTTAACATTTCAAATTTATATTTTGTACCTTCTTTCTTATTAAGCTATTTTCAATTTATCCTTATCTAATATTTCTCATAAATAATGTGTCATACAAATTATAAAAAATAATGATAATATTTTAATATTTCTAAGTATGTAATTACATAAAGTAAGCGTCACTACTGTTTCTGATCTCAATTAAAGAAACATATCTACATTTCTAACAAAGTGAGTGTACATATGTATATATATATATATATATATTTTAGATTCTTTAACTCCAACTATTTAAGTCTTTGAAATGGTCAGTCGAAAATGCTATACAAGGCACTAAAGACTTTTGATACATTAGTGAATTCTATGTCATAAAAAATTGTATAAAATGTATAAAAGATCAATTAAAATGCATAACTGATTAAGATTTTCAAAACATAGTATAAAATATAACGATCAATATCATACTTGTATATATAACATTAATGGACGGATTACATTCCTGATATTAATCATCGAGTCTACGAAAACTCGAAATTTTATGTGAAAAGATTGCATTCATAGTATATCCAATACTACGATATCATTGTAATAAATGAATTACTTATAGTAAAATAATATGAGATTATCGATACTGATAGCAGCAGTGATAGCCAACTAGCTTGAATTGACGAGGCACCGGCTAATCGACATTTAAACATGTCATACCTACAACACAAACATTTGTTCAAAATATGTTATCTATTACAGTACATTTGATTAACATATTTAGATATTATATAAATGTAATTACCTAGTTTTTTCATCACTGACTAAATTATTAAACTCAGCTTCTACCAATTGACCATCGTAATACGTAATCAAATCTTCAAACGGATATTCAAAACCTTGTTTGCATTCGCATTTATATCCACCTGTTTCGAAACCTCTGCCAAGAATCGGTACGCACTGTATATACATAGAAAAAATATATATGTAAAATAAAATTTGGAGTATATCCGATTTTTGAAAAAAAAACAATGCTACTGTGGTAGAATAAAAATGAATAGAATAAATATGTAGAGAGAAATATAGTATCTTACATATGAGGTTTTTCTGTCGCATTTATGAGTACCCTTAAACGCATTTGGCGCGTAAAATACATCGTCGCATTGGTTGATGTCAAGCTGTAGTAGATCCATGGTAACAGCTACAACACCTCTGTAAGAAATTTAATGTAAAATGTGATCTTCCTTGTCTCCTTCCTTTATAATCAAACAGGTTTTCTATCCTAGTGGGGAGTATTTCGCGTCTGATTTTTCTCATGCACTTACTATACTCGGCTGTCCATGTAGACTGAAATATACTTACTTGAATTCCAGTTTCTCTTTCAAGCTGTCCAAGCCGAAAAATGGGGATGCATAAGTAATTACCCATTTCTTCATTTTGCCGTTGCAATCAAAGTACGGGGCTGTCCAGTGACCATGATTCAGGTTTGCTGCCCTATAAAAAAAATGTATTCCCATACACTGAAGTAAATCCTATTTAGAAGATCGAATAAAATTGATTTTTTCTTGTTTCTCGACCTCGTGTTACAAATATAAAATGTTATAAGTTTTTCCATAATAACTTTTCGCACTCTTACCTATACGAATTCGGATAATGTTCGTATTTTTTCAGATATTCACCAGTTTCGTTATATCTGATTTTCATCTTCATAAAGTAATTTTCCAATTCGTCAAAATTTGTTGCCCATCTTTGTTTCAATAATTGGAAATAACTCTTTTTCGTATATACCTCATCTATAATATCGATTGTAATGTACATTAAATGAATGAAAAGTTTTTAATGATGTGTGTATTACCTGTATTATTGAGTCTAGCCAAATCTTCGACTTTGAACTTTCGCGTATTTAATTGAGTTTTATATGCGTACGGAGCAAAGAACGTTCTATTTGTAAATTTGTTACGATCCCAAAGTGTTTCTGCAGACCATATTTTAGTATCTCCTAGAACTAAAGCTAAAGTTTCTCCGATCATCTGATCTTCGGTAAGCGGTCTGTCTGCTACCCTTTTACCCGAATAAGCTTCGTGGGGATCAGAAATTTGAAGAAATGCACTAATAAAGTTTGACAATCTAGTTGCCATTCTTGCTTCGTTTTCAAAGAATTCTTTGGCACCAAAACTTACATCTCCTCGCAAAGTTAGATCTTCTGGTGAATAACTGTAATTTTAAGTATTAAATATTACTTCCGTGCGTCTGTTTGATCTATAACATTAAAACACTGGCCAGTTTGATTATACCTTTTACAAGTTTTTGAATTCACGCTAAATATAAATTTAAGTATTTGATCTATATTAATTTTTTCAGATCTTAGGGCTTCTGGTCCAGTAGAATAGTTTCTGTAGTGATAGAATCGTTCGAGATATTTTTCTCTAACGTGCGGTTTTGCTTTTTCCCATTGAACAGGCATTTTATGAACCCCTACAATTAACAATTAAAATCGATATATAAATAAATATAACGATAAAAATGGAAAGAAAAAAATAGAAGCCAGGAACTTACATCCTATTTTGGTACAATCAAATCCATTGTAATATTGTTCTTGTGTTGCTCTTTCTACGATTTCTCCTAGATACGGACGCCGCACTACGTTTGGCAATCTATAACCTGGTTTACATCTGCACTGATATCCTCCTCTTCGAAAACCCCAACCATGTAATGGTTCACACTGCACACAATAAAACAGAATTAATATATGAAAAAGACTGATTTTTATATTAATTAGTACCTCTGTAGTTTCTGGTTTACATCTGGTAGTATTTGCAAATCTATTTGGGCCATTATTTCCTCTTCCTTTAGGACACTGATTTATATCAATTCTTTCAAAATCCATTTCTATTACTGATATAGCAGTATATCTGAAATAAAATTATGAAATTTAATATAGATTTCAATAAAACAATGTAAATTTAAATAACATATAGAAACATACGTGGGATATTCTATGTGTCTGAATCCTGTATGTCTTGGATAAATATCTGCAATAGGCACTACTGCTGCTACAAGCCATCGATTTGATCTACCACAATCAAAATAAGGTCTAGTCCATCTTACAGGTCCAGGATATTCGTCAGCACCTATATTAAAAATAAAAAATAAAAAGAAGAATGTAGTACAATACCCAGATTCCCCTGTCTTACTTATTTTTTATAATTATTTTATTAGTGTACCTCTGGGGCCATGAAATGTAAATGTTTCGTTAGTGTTATTGGCATATCGAATTTCAACTTGATAAGTAGTTTTAGTATCGTGTCTTTTTTCAGTGTTATCCGGTAACCATTGCTTGTACCTAAATACATAATGGTGATGTATTATAATGAATAAATATTATAAAATTAATTAAATATTTGCATACCATTCGTTTATACGATAAAAATCTGTCGTATAATCTTCAGAAAGACTATTACTGGGAAATGCTCCCAAATCCTTAACATAAAATGTGTTTCTTGTAGATATTCTTTCCAAATGTATTGGATCATTAAAATCATCTGCTCTGAAAGTTCTTGGAGCAAATCTTGGCATAGTTTTGTTAAAAAAACCTCTATATGATGGAGAATAAGATGTGTTTGGAGAAAAGTATATAGCAGATGCATTTATATGTGTATTTGCTGAAACATCTGCAACCGTCGATAAGAAATAGTACATCATACCAGGATCATACGTATCATTGATGGCTGGACGTATGAAACGTGATTGCAAAATATAACTCCAAAAGAATGATCTACTAAGAGCCATATTATGAAGATGTAATAAAGCAGTTCTATTTGGAAAAACAGGATTGATATTAATATCTTTAATATCTGGTAAATGAGAAACTGTATCTTCTGGTAAATAAAGATCTCCAAGATGTTGAATCTGGCAGTTATTGTCGTTGATTTTATCCATTCGCAGACGAATTTTGTCGAAAGAATCTCTGGCTTGCCATTCGTATTGTCCGACAACGCCCAAACAACAAAGGCATACAACCATCGTGGCACATATTTTGGAAATAGTGAATTCCATTTTTCGATAAAATTATTAATCACTTTTCTATATCATTAAATCATTATTATATTATTATCTTTCAGACTCATGTTATTATTACACGTTGAACTATACCGCGAGGTGAATAAACATACCCGCCTCACCTAACCGAACACTTACAAATCGTACTATTGCTACATGATGTCATGATGTTGCTTATGTTCTGACGTCATCAATTCTATACCAAATTAGAGTTAACTTTCGGACCCAGTTAACATTGTAATTTTTATTTTATTAGACATAAAAAACAGATAGCCATAATTACAAATTTGTAAATAGTTAGAATGTATTAAAATAATTAAATTAATAAAAGCCAACCAGAAGAAAGAACAAATTTCAGGATAATTAAGGAAATGGTTCATTAAATTATTGAAATAAAGGAAAGTAGACATAATGATTCTTTAAAACAATTTTATTTTTAGATAGTGTTTGTAAACTAAAATAACCTTCCACGCCACTTTATAAGTTTCATATTTTTCTGATCAAGGGATATTGCGAAGAAATCATAATTTTAAACAATTTCATAAGAAAAAGAATGAAGAATTAAACTAAGGCTTAACGTAAGATTTAAATATCTTTTGTTATGGTAACTTATATAGCATATAGCATCTTGGTCCAACGACCCCCCTCCCCTCTTCCCCCTCCTAGCGGTTTGACTCTCCTAAGTGCATAAGTATTCCGTTCGCTGTGGTATTATTGTCCCAATACAGGTTCACCCCTATTTATCTGTGATGCGAAAAAGGAGAATTTCTCATAGCTAAACAAGTATTTCGAAAAGACAACTTGCTGGGGGTCTATCCCATGGTGTAATGCGGCTGTTCATATTATTCTGGTTCCTGAGAAAATTTTTGTGTTGCCTGTCTGCAGTCCCCGAAGCTTTTGATGTTAACGTGGGAAATATACTTCCAAAGATTTATTAAACATTTCCGTACAGAAATAGCACATCTTCTCTCACGATACCTTTTCACTTACATTTAAGCATCCTCTTATATTAATTTAGCTTACAAATTGACTGATTTATATTTAATAATTGTTGTATCATCTTAACGTACTGCGAACGCACAGTTGTACTTGTTTTTCATACATGTAATTCATGTCAAATCAATGTACTTGCAAAAATACATTTGAAAAACCAAAAACTTTCAAATTACAAACTATCAATGTGTACATGCGAATGTACTTATCTTCGGTGTTATGATACAAGAAATAATTATAAAGTAACGATATAAAAATTAATAGATTTCACTTAATTTTTACGAATAAAATATTAATTTGTATAATGTTTATACAAACTTTTTTATATTAAAATACCAATATCCCACGACAATGGTTCCAGAATCGAGAAAAAAATGCATTGTCTGTAGAGAATGCAGACAGTTAAGTAATGAGAGATAGACAGACAAACAGACACGGTAAAGGGAAAGAGAGGGGAAAGAAAAAGTGTATGTGTGTATGTATATGTAAAGAGAGAAAGAGAGAGAGAAATTACGATAAAGGGAGAAAGAAAAAGAACAGAGAAAGGGAATAAAGTGAGAAAGAGTAAGAGGTAGGATAGAAAACGAAAGGGAATAAAAAAAACAACAAGCAATGCAACAATTAAGTAAAATATAATCAAAGAAAATTTTTGTAGATTAGTCACTATTAGTAATTTTTATGACGATAGTTCATGTTCGATAATCGGAGAATTTGAATGATTAAAAATTACGAAAACGAAAAAATTCTGAAGGAACAGGTTTCTGCAAGCGAGCGTATAAGCATTATTTCTCTCTGTTACTCCTTCTGACTGAAGGGACGCGGGTGCGTGCTCAACCAGACAGGCGGTTTACGGTTGAATTCAGGACCGTATCTCCTTATTTGCGACTTGCTCGTTTGTCTTAATAGTAAATTATATAACTTTTTTCTAGTATTAAGTTATCAGTGATTTTGCAATTGTACTACTCCCGGCTGCAATCAAAATGCAATCAATAATTGCAAAAATCTGACAACATTCGACAATGGTTATGATCTTATATCCTGTTACTGAAAATTCAGCATGCAAATATATATGTTTACTTATTATTTCATCTTTTTGTGTCTGTTTAATTTCATAATGAAATAATTAGGAAACACAATATTATAATATATTACTATTAAATAGTAATTACAAATCAGAAACTTATTGAAACTTTGAAATTTATTTATATGATTAGTTATGGGTAAATATTATACAGCCTACAAATATGTATTCATTTATTGTTATTATTATAAGTATAATTACAACAGTTGTTACCGTGATCAACATCATCATTACTAATATGATCAGTGTATTTCAAAGTGTATTTTTAACAGAAACATTTTTTGTTTCTTTTATATAATTACGTATTGTATATTTAGTTTCTCGTAAAATTGAAGAAATTAAATATTTAATGTATTATTTAATATATTATATTTACGTATATGTGAATGCCATGAGGAATAATTGCATGAATTTTTCTTAAATTTTATTATCGTTTATCTTAGTGCATATACGAGTATGTAACATTTCTGAAAGTATAAAAGTAATAATATTGAGATTTCTGTAAATAATAAAATGGAATGGAAAAATATAATTTGTAAGTAATATAACAAAGAAGGCTGTTAAAAATTGTAAAGATTTACGAAGAGATAGTAAGGGGCCGGAAATATGTTGAGACGAGCCTGAATAAGGCGGGGCTCGCATATACCGCGAAGAGAGGTAAGCGGTTGAATCGGATTGGATTGGGGCGCAACTAGCAAGCAAGCAGCAAGCAAGCGAGAAAACTGGTTTGGTTTTGTGAGGCTTGCACCACTGCATCGTTCTTTCAACGAGACAGTCCAATTTATGCATTACGGCTATGTAGGCACTACACGATATCAAAACGCTGCGCCCGGGCTTACTCCACTTATCTTCACTATCATTGCAATATTATTGGAACTTTGCAAGTGCCTACAAGACTAAATTCATTCGTTACATTTCAGTTATACGATAAAGTGTTTATAATTTGTAACACGTATTAAAACACAGTGGAATAGAACGCGAAAGTGAAGCGAAATATACGCAAGTTCTTGTTCTCGTGTTTAACATCGATTGTATCTATAATATGAATTTTGTACCAGTTAAAAGCTTGTGACTGTTCTGTGCCGTACCTGGTGCCGTTTTCTTCGTTTTACGAATTGTTTAAAATTAATACTGTGAAGATTACAAATTTCATACAGGTACAACATTTTTATATCATTTAATCGTTTACATTCTATTCTTCTTCTCATATTTATTTCTTGTAATGTTATCATGTGTGAGAGGTTATTGTGCTCGGTTTCCCATCATTCGATGTTGCTAAGAGTTATAGATTTGGCATTTTCCTATTTTTAATTACTGTGCAGGAAAGAGAAGAGTGCTGTTTAAAAATGTTATAATATATAATACGTGTGTTATCGATCACAAAGTATTATAATTCAATAGGCTATATTAGAATCACACATATGTATGTGTTTCCATCGTGAAATTCGAGGTTATAAAATAATAGAATTTCTGTTTATCGTATTGCAGAAATAAAAATAAGAATAATTGATCGGTGTGACATTCCAATTCTCATATTTTATTTTATAGCAGTACCATATACTTCAATAAAATGAATTATACAATTCGTGATTAAAAAGATATTTCTTCTTAAATTTTATTAATAGAAATTTTATTTAGAAATGATAAAATGTGGAAAAATTGCATAGAACAATACAAAAGTTCGTCATGTAGAATGTACATGCAGTAATTTATTCGCAGAGTATTCCGTTAAAATTGATAGTGCAGCGTCAAAAATAAATGTAAAAAATTTAAAGTTATTATTATTGTTATTATGAAAAGAAGTAAGAAAAATAGTACGACAGTAATAGTTTGAATGTACATATAAAAAAATTTACGTAATCTGCTGTATGCACGATTCAATTACAAGATTCGTTATTTTATGAATGCATGTTGCATGGTCAACTTTTTCCTCTAAGCTTTTTGCACGAGCCAATCAGAATTCGCGAATGTGTCTTAAAAGAAAATGGCTAACTCGTGTCGCTGGGTTCGAGCGTATCTTTGCGCGTCGTTTTGTGAACCCCGTAGTCTGCAATCACGTTGACGTCTGTCGCCATTTCCTCGCAGGAGGATTCTGTTCATTTACTTTCTAAGGTATATCCGTATCATTTTTCTTTTTACAAATATTGCGAATATATTTTATTATTGCATTTTTGTTTAGTAATGTATTAATAAACGCGGGTGGAAATTTGTCGGTTAGAAAAATAGGTGTTGACTTTGTGGCCAGTGTAGAAGTGCATCGTATTCTTCAAGAAATATGGATGCAGCACCATTGCCGGCCGGCAAGCTATACGCACAAAATTTTAACTACACTTTTTAAAGAGCTTAATTTGTGCACTGTGTATTTAGCTCCGTTATTAGTTCAGTTTTGCGATTATAATAATTTCAAATTATCATATTTTAAAATATAACTTATACGGTATTAACATTTTTTTCGTATATTTTATATATTGAGTTGATTACAAAATGTCATTAACGATATGTTGACAGAGTTTATAAAAGCCTTCTTGTTCATCATTTTATTATTTGTTTGATAATTTGTGATATTTCGAATTTCGTGCAGGTTATTTATTAACGCGGGAAATTGCACAGATCGCGTATTCTATATCGAGCGGTTAGTTACAGATTCGCATAAGAAGACATGTTTCACTTTTTTATGTATTGCATTTCTAGTTGCGAATATCTTCGAAATATTTTTATTTAATGTATTTGTTTTTTATTATTTTCATCTTCTACTTCTTTTCTTTTTCATTTACTTCGGTAGCCCTGTTTTCCAAGGCTTCCTTTTTCTTTTTTTCCTTCTCCTTCTCTCTTTCTTCCTTTTCTTCTTCTCTTCCGCTTTTTTCTTTGCCTTTCCTTTATTTAAGTGTATTGTTTTTTAATTGTATATTAATTTTACACTACTTATTATCAAATATTCCCCATGTTTTGTTATTAAACGTGTAATAATATGCGGTAAAAATTACTTCATTTTGGTTAGTGACATGCAATTATAAATTTATTATATTTCAATGATCATTGTTGTGTTTTTTATTGCTTCAGACATAATTTATATAGTTCTGTTCAAATTTAATCAGAATGAAATAGTACAAAATAATAAGATATTTCCTGCATATTACTTGAAAATACAGTGTGAATGACAAAATGTACATTAGGATAAATCCTGATCATTGTATTAACTTATGAATGATTTATTGTTTTAATTATTATCAAACAAATAGCAAATCATCAAGAATATACATTGCTTTGTTTCAATGCTATATTCATATATTAAATTAAAACAATTTATTTCAGCTATGGCAGAAGGGAATGGAGAAATAAAAATGGAAGAGAAGCAATCTAAGGAAGAAATGGAATACACAGAAAGAACAGAAGACTTTGCAAAATTAATTCAGTATGGACTGGATGAAAAAGTAGCTGCTAAATTAGACGAAATTTACAAGACAGGAAAATTAGCACATGTAGATTTGGATGCAAGAGCATTAGATGCATTGAAAGAATTTCCTGTCGATGGTGCATTAAATGTACTCATACAATTTCTTGAATCTAATTTAGAGCATGTATCAAACAAATCCGCATATTTATGCGGTGTAATGAAAACATATAGACAAAAAAGTCGAGGTGGACAAGGTACTGGTACCAGCACGACTCCAAAAGCACCAGATGAGGATAAAATAAAAGTAAACCTATGTTTTTCTAATTTAAAGCATTTACTAGTATATGCATGTGATTGTTATTTAAGTTATATGAAAGGTATATAAGCAAATGATAATATTTTAGATGATTCTTGAACGAACTGGGTATCCTTTGGATGTAACGACCGGGCAAAGAAAATATGGAGGACCTCCTCCAAATTGGGAAGGTCCGACACCAGGAACTGGTTGTGAGGTAAGGCATAATACATTGTTATTTATCTATTTATTGATGTGCCTGAAAGAGAGTCTGTGAAAAGGATTTTTTGTTATCTTTTGTTTTTGTTAACTACATTTCTGTTTTTATGAAAGGTGTTCTGTGGAAAAATTCCAAAAGATATGTATGAAGATGAATTGATTCCTTTATTCGAAAAATGTGGCAAAATTTGGGATTTGAGATTAATGATGGATCCAATGGCAGGTTGCAACAGGGGATATGCATTTATTACTTTTACTAATAGGGAAGCAGCACAACAAGCTGTTAAAGAGGTATGTAGACATTTTCCAATATTCTTATTATCATGTAGGTACATGTTTGTGAAGCGTATACATTCTGTTATCCTAGTTTCTGATATATTGTTATGAACATGTCAATTCCCTTTATTCTTTTTTTTTATACAATTTTTAGAAATGTTACAAAATTGTTATTGCTACCAAAATAAGTAGACTTTCGAAATGTTTAAATCTATTTTTAAGTACTTTATCCTTTTTTCTTTCACCTTTTATTGAAATAATTTATTTCTCTAAAATCTGATCGTTCATTCTAATAATAGTTAATTAATAATGAACAACAGTAAAATCTGCCTCTCAAATAATATCTTTTACCTTTAACATTTGTTATTTTATTCGGTAAATTTTATGAATCCAATTCCATAATATTATATGTCTCCTTTCTTTTATTTCTTTTTACATTAAACATTTCGAATAAATTTTTTCATACTTCCCATGTGGCTTGTTCTATGTTGTGACTTGCGTTTTATTTTTATTTTTCTTTAATAATAATAATAATAATATTATTATTTATTTATTATTTTATTTATTTTCTTTTTCGGTAGTTTAACGCAATCGTTTCAGTATTGTTTCACTAATGATAAAAGATAACTTAAGATTCAATATTTCTAGTCAGGAACAATCCACATAATTGTTTTATACATACACATATACATATACATACATATATACATTCGGTCACCCACCCACCCACACACGCATATACACACACACATACACGTGTGTGGGTGCGCGTGTGTGCGTGTGTGTGCGTGCACGCGTCCTTAACCATCAATTCACAATTAAGCATATGTTTCCAAAACATCCCAAATATGTGATACGAGCCAAAAAGGATAGTTACGCGCATACATACATACAACACAACCAATACATATATATACGTGCATGCATACATATACACTACAAACATTTACACGTACATACATATATAAACAATACGTAATCACACGCATTTATACTTACATAAGTATATCGCCGGATTTACACACATCGTGCATACATATGTATGCGCGCATACACAATTATATGCGTACACGTATATACATGCATACATTAATGATACCCTGGATAAGTTTCTTTTTCCAGCTCTCCTCTTTGCTCAGTGGGCAAAATTGGGAGTGGAGAACCTTTCAAAACATTGACGATGAAAAAAAAGTCTCGTGTGGTCTAATTGGTTAGGGGTATATTTACCTAATTGGTTGACTTTTATTGGACAGTGACAATTTTTGTAACAAAATTTTTGGAAAATTGGTAGGCTTAAAATTTGTTTACAGGAGCACATGATACGTGAACGCCGGTTTCCTATATTGTGAAGACTCGAGCGACAAAGCGCATGCCACTTTCTCGCTTTTATGGAACCAGGCCATGTTAATTGATTCGCTAAATTGCATATTTTGAAAAATTTTTCCTAAATTTATTCTGTTTATTGCAATTACATACAATGTGGAATATCTGATTGGAACAATATTAGGCATGTGTTTGTTTTCTTCATCCCACAGCTCGATAATCACGAAATAAAACCCGGCAAGAATCTGAAAGTAAACATTAGCGTTCCTAATCTACGACTTTTCGTGGGGAACATACCAAAGTCAAAAGGCAAAGAGGAGATCTTGGAGGAATTTGGTAAATTAACAGGTAAAGTGAATTCGAGGCGTGTGTACCTACCTATCTACCTATACCTACCTGTTTACCTGTATTTTGTAATTTAAGAGTGGTAGCTTTTAAGTAGTGGTTGTAGATGGTATGGAATTTATGGAGAAATATTGAAGGAAAAACAAAAGAAAAACGATCGCGCTCGCGACTGTGCGACCGTGCGACGCGCGATTACCTATAGCACCTTCAGTTCTGCTCAGTCTCCTTGCCTCTCGGTTTATTAGTGAACAGTAACACCTCTCTGGTCCAAATCTTCTTTTCCTCGCATATTTAGGTTGAGTTATGAGTTATTCGCTTTTCACTTTTATTCATCGTATTTCCAGATTTCTTTATTCCAATCCCGTTTCTCTGTTTTTTAACCTTCCTTATTACCCTTATTGTTATTTCCTTTTTTTCTTAGTTGTTACCATTATCACCATCACTGTCACTGTCACTGTCGCTGCCACTGCCACTGCCACTGCCACTGCCATTGTTACCTCGCTAATCATCATTACTTTCATCGTCGTTTCATGCATCCGTCGCGTCTTCGCGTAATACACATCACCTGTACCATCGCTACCACCACTACGACTCAACGTTATTCCTCGGTTTTCTTACATACACACGTACACGTTCACTCACTCGTATGCACGGATGCAAGTGGATTTATATAATCACACTATATTATAAGATATCATATCATATACCATACACATCATATCGCATTATACCATATCATATATCATATCATACCATATACCTCACCTTTCCGTACCATACCATGTCGTGCCATAACATGAATATACACATCATATACAGAGAGACACACATAAATGTGCGCGTGCACGTGCCAAATTTCATCCGAATTCTCCCGATCTTCTAACGGTCGATCGATGGATCGACCATACCGCAATTGCATACGATTACGTTTTCTTTTTCGCCGTAAACGATGCAGAAAGGAAACGTAATGACTGAAAGAGAAAATGTGGAAGCTACATATAGCACTAAAAGGGCAAAACGTGGTAAAACGTGATATGACGAAAAAAAAGAAACTCGTATTTTCTGGTTGCGATTATTGATGACACGCCATACGCGCGATTCATGACTGGGCCTCGAGCATGAGGGTATGGGAGATCTGCGTGGACCGCTGGGGCGTTTGGCTCGCTAACAAACGGACAGGCATTCCTACCCACGTACCTATCATTCAACCACCTATCCGATCAATCAGCCAACCAACCAACCAATCACTAACCTATCCATTCACCTCGTCATTTACTATGTACGATATTTACTCTCGTTTCACTCTCCATAATCCGTAATCAACTATAGCTTGTCCTGTTCCTTTGTACAATACAAACATCCCTGAAGGTCGCTTCACGAATCCCATGTTCAGACAGCCAATAAGCAGGTGAAATTATAAAAGGCAAGCTTAATTGGCACTCTCCTTCCACATTATTCTTACAGCTGAATGATTATGAGATTCGGAAAGGGAAAAAGATTGGTGTTACCGTATCTTATAACAATCATCGCTTGTTTGTGGGAAATATTCCAAAGAATCGAGACCGAGATGACTTGTTCGAAGAATTTACAAAGCACGCACGTAAGTTGACAATTGTCCTTAAATCAGCAACAAGCAGTAACCAAAGGAAGTTCAGTGGGAAAGATGGTGGGAACCAGAATCTTAATCTCTTAGCGATACGTATCGGCTGTTTTTCTGTTCTTTTTTTTTTCTTTTTGTTTATTTTTTTTTTCTTTTTTTAATTCCATATTAATCAGAGGTCCCAGACGAGTTTATTTTTAACCCTCTCGTGTCATTTGTCGGTTAAGAGAAATTATTTCCGAATTGGTACGTTCAACGCACGATTGTAAGACCTTTCTCGTTTCCACGAAACCATTTTGCGCGCATTCTCGTTATGAAATTTCCCAAAGATAGTTCGTTTCATTTCCAGTAAGAATGTTTCACTTTTTGATTCGATCGGTTCTTTATTGTTTCATCAGTGTTCAAGCAAATGGATTGGCAAAGAGACAAAAAATTGTTCGATTTATCGTAGCACAGATTTTTCTGCTTGTGCCTTTTCGTTTTTTAAAATTCAACATTTTCATTTTTCTATTTTTAATACATTCTTTTTTAATAATTTCCTTGACTAGACGCGTTCTCTTTCGATACGTTATTTCTCGTTTTGTTCGAATTCATTAAAATTTGGGATACAATTGAGTTCAATCGCGAGTAAGCGAAAGTTTCGAGTTAGAAGAATTTTTATCGTACGCGTATCGAGAAATACGTCGACGAGGTATTTACACAGTTATGTTTTCTGCTCGGTAGAAAATGAATTTCGAGCGTCAACTTGGTCAATTTATCATATATTTGTTATCGAAAGTGACAAGTATCGATCGGGCAGTGATTAAGCGAATGTATATTATTGGTATTTCTCACGTGTTTATGTGTGTTTGCATAGAATTCTTGCATGTAATAAATAAAGTCTGGACTCAGAGAGGAGATAACAAGCGAAACGAAAAGGAAATGTTACTGGCGGATTTGATTAACGAAAAGGAATAGAAATTTTTAGCGGCGAAGTATTAGCACGGCAATTTATAAAAATTATTGCTGTAGAATAAGCCGTTAATCTTTCTTTTATTTTTTTTTATTTCTTTTTTTTTATGTTTCTTTTGTTTATTTTTACCTGATCGTTTTAATGACATAAACTCGTTTGTATCGAACAGCTCGTGTTTCCGTACTGCGCACGAGTGTACGAGCGTACGTATACGTAAAAATACGCGTACATACTTTAACCATAGGCACATGAACCGGCTTCTAAACTGAGAGGAAGGAGAGGAGAACTATTTCTTATAGGAAAAGGGAGAAATGATGATGATTCAAGTTTATTATTATAAGAGAAAAGTAATAGTTTGAATGTTTGTGCTGATGGTTTTCCCTTTTTATTTATTTCTTTCTTAATTTATTTATTTATTGGTTTTGTTTTTTTGTTCTGTTGATCGTGAGAAAAGGTTGGTTATCGTATTATCGGTCGTACGTATAAAATAACAGTTGTTCGAACGAATTATGATTTCAAAGTATATTGGTTATTTTGCGTACTTGTAATTTAATCGTTTATCGATGCATGCCAATTCTAATAGCATGACGATTTCATGATAACGATAACCTTTCGTATTTGCGCGTCGGTAAAATAGGATAAACGATATCGTTGAAATAATTTGCATTTCAACGCACTTTGACGAATCAGAAATGTTACGGGATCGAGCAACGACTTTGCTGTTTTATTTCATGAAAAGAATTACTAATTTCTTTCTGATCTATTCTTTTATTATACTTTCTCCGAGTGCATTTTCTATTTTCTTTCCTTTTTCTTGTTTTCTTATATCGCATATGTACAAACGAATACTTCAAAAGATAGCATACTACGTGGACGCTTCAAGGCGTTCTTTTTTGTTCAACGAAAACAGTTGTATACCGCTTGTTTCAATTTGTACTTTCCGGAAGAACGAAAGAACGAAACCGATACGTGTACCATGTATACGTATGTACACATATCTTTTACTGCATGTTACGTACATACGTACATATGTTGCATGAGTCGAAGATTCATAAAAGTTTGCAACTGTCGATAGTTTCTGGTGCGAGCACATGTTTAGAGCAGTAAGGGAAGGGACGAGGAGATGGGGGGGGAGAAGGGAGAAAATTTGAAACATACGTGCTCAAAATTAACGGTGAAAAGATCCTAATACAATTTGTACATTTGCAAAAACCCAGAAGGTATATTCTTATGATAGAAACTTTTACTTTCGTTGTTTTTTCCTTTCTTATTTTTGGTTTTTTATTGTACTGTCATAACCGTGATCATAAATCGTGACGATTTTCATGCTTAATCCAGTCAGTAAGTTGGAGAATTTACTACGCGTTCAGTTCTTGTTTTCGCCCTCTCCCCGCCTCTCTTTCTCTCTATTTCACATCGTTTCAAGCATAATAGCATATCATGATCGACAACATTTTCTAAACACGTTAACACGTTGGAAGAAAGTGAAATTTAGCTAGTATAATGTACATCTTTTCTTGTCCCTTTAATTTATTATGTTTTATTATCACCTAATATAGTCGCTTCTACTTATTATGTATATATACACATATATGGATACGTATATATACATAAACATAACGAAACACATAATTTGGCAAATTTTGTTTTTCTCCTTCTTTTCGTTTTGCGTCTTTTTTTTCGTTGTTGTCGTTGTCGTTGTCATTTATCTCTTTTCTTTCTTGATCCGCATAGACGTATGTATTCGGTATTCGCTCGCCGTTACGATAAACATTACTGATCCGTATCGTCTAATTGTTCGTTGCATAGCTGGCCTGACGGAGGTGATCATCTACAGTTCGCCGGACGATAAGAAGAAAAACAGGGGCTTTTGCTTCTTAGAATATGAATCTCATAAAGCAGCTTCGTTGGCGAAACGAAGATTAAGTACTGGTCGAATTAAGGTGTGGGGCTGCGACATCATAGTGGACTGGGCCGATCCTCAGGAGGAACCCGATGAACAGACAATGTCTAAAGTAAATGACAGTCAAGCAACGTGGCGAAGAATCATTACGATCAAAGAACGTTTCTCATTAATCGTATCGTGCGTTTCAGGTACGCGTGCTGTACGTGAAGAATTTGACGCAAGACTGCTCGGAAGAGAAGCTGAAAGAAGTCTTTGAACAGTACGGTAATATCGAAAGAGTGAAAAAAATCAAAGACTATGCTTTTGTACATTTTGAAGAAAGGGACAATGCCGTTAAGGTAAGAGACGCGTTCTCTGGATCAACAAATTGCATAATCATGGCCTACGATCCAAACGTCTTTCAAACGCACTCAGTTACTGGTGAATCTGATTAATAAATGTTGCGCGTGGTTATTTTACAGGCGATGAACGAACTAAATGGAAAAGAAATCGGAGGTTCTCACATAGAAGTATCCCTGGCGAAACCACCATCCGATAAAAAGAAAAAAGAAGAGATGCTTCGTGCTAGGGAGCGAAGAATGTTTCAAATGTTCCAGGGTCGTAGCGGGTGAGTTGCGATAAACCCAATAGTCGCTAATTATGCGATCGGTAGCTGCTGCATTTTCTATGAAGCGTTCGACGACAATGTTATAACAAAGGTTTCTGTTTCAGAGGTTCTCCGTCACATCCAAGTATGATGGGAGGACCTATGCCAATTCGGGGACCCGGTCAAGGTCCTCGAGGTACTGGCGCAGGTATGCGTGGACAAATGGGACGAGGCGATTACGGTAAGTATTGGTCAGCTTTTCTTCGTTACTCGCGATTCGTTGGTTTTTCTTATGCCCATCCGTTTACGATGCACGCGTGCGCATATGCGCGTACACGCTTAACGCACCAAGTAAATGCATATGTATGCGTGTGTGTACTTATGTACGTATGCGCGCGCGTGCTCGGTTATTATGCAAATTTATATTTTCGACGTTCCATCGTTAACGGTTTTACACGTAACGCGTATCTTTTTCTTTTCCATTGAATTAACTCCTCGTTTTCGATTCGTATTTAGGCTTAGACCATAACTTTTGAACGCGTGTATATTTACTAATTTTTTTTTTTCCTTATTATATGATTCTTGTAAATTTCATTAACGCGCGATACGTATTTTTATTTTGATCGATCGAACGCGAAACGAGTATGTGAAAATGGAATACGAATTGACCGGTCGCGGAAATGGATGCGTCGACCCAAAGGATTTTAGCGTTTGCGCGCTCCTGTAAAATTTCTTCCAGATTTAAAACGTTAACGTTTCATTTTTCAGATTAAAGTAAACGTAAACCATTTTTAGATCGTTTATACGAATATCGTTACGGTAATGTTTACATCACACAGATATCCCGCATGCTTATGGGGATTTTTCACTATCTCACTACATACCTTGGCTTACGCGCATGACAAGTATACACGAGAAGTTTTATTCACGAATTAAAAAGGTATCCAAAAATAACGTGGTATCCTTAACGTCGTGGCGACGTTATCGTTATCCTTTTCTTCAACCTCGATTAAAACTACACGATTCCATTATTCGACTTCGTCGTTGCTTTTCAAACATAAATCATTCTCATAAATATTCACGAATCCGTCTATCTAAAGCAGAAGATCTAACAAAGTTAACGAAATATCAAATATATGAAATTGCAAAGTAGTTTGAACGATAGCATTTTTTTATTTGTTGAAAATGTTCGAGTTCTACACATTCGAGTACCAAATTCGTAAATCAAATTTCGCGTCACGTTGGAAGGTTGTAGTGAGAAAGTGCTCGGATAATGGAATACTTTGTCTTTTTCTTTTTCTTTTCTTTTTTTTCCTTTTTTTCATTTTTTTCTCTTCGTTAACGCGTCAATCGTCGCGATATCGGATTTTGCCAAGTTAAATTTGGTCTGAGCCTATCATCGTCGCGCGTTCGGTCATTGATCGCTCGTTACTTTTCCGTTTTTAATCGTACCTATTATTTTGACCGGAGTCGAACTTACGTTTGACTCTGAAGTATTTATGTAAACATTTAAAGTTTCATAACAATTCGGGCAAAGTACAAGCTTGTAAAGCGCTGAATTAAGAAAAAAATATCTTTGTATTCTCTATATTTTTATACGTATGCGGGATTAGGCGTACGCATGTACGTCGTGACCCGGCATCATTGCAGTAAGAGCACCTCGTTGCCTTACCACTACCACTTCCTGTGACACCTGTTTTCTTTTACATATATATATATATATATATAAACCTTTATTTTCATTTATCACAACGAATAATTGCATGCGTACTGTTTGTTTTGTATTTATGTACTATTGGTGCCAAAAATGAGATTTAGTTCGTGGCAGTGCGCGGTCGCGCGTGCGTTGCCCACGAAGAGGATGTTTTTTCTCCTTTTCTCTCTTGATTTTTTTTTACGTTGTTTGTTCTATTCCATTTTACGTAAGCGTGTGTACTTTGTTGATTTTGTATGCATCATAAATTCAAACGATTTGATTTCAGCTCTCATGGAAATAGGTAAGATGCGAATTGAATTACGAGTGGAACACGTAGTAAAGCGTATGATTTACCAGTAGACAATTTGTACTTCTTTTTTTTTCCTGTTTTGAAATTACAACGTGCCCGTTGTTATACGCCAACGGATCATCGAAAATTGCGGGTGCCTTAATATTAACATTGCATGTAATATATGGTGCAAAGACGAACATGAGTTATTTAATTCAGAAGGTTACTGACGTTGAAAGTGAAACGAATGTCTCGAGAAATGTATTAAAAGAATGAAGAAAAGTTTTCGATGATCCGGACGAGGTGCAAAGTTAAATAAAAAAAATAACCAGGATACGTGATGGTGGTAGGGTAATTTATATTTATACAGATTTTTCTTTGCGGTATCGCGTAATTACGCGTTGAGAAATTACTAATCTCTTTTTTTTCGTAATGATTTCGATTGAACTGTTTTTATAAGTAGCTTCGATTGTGAGGTAAAAATCACGGTATTATTGAAATACGTACGTTTTTTGCTCTTTATTTTCTTTTTCTTTTTTGTTGATTTCCTCTCATTGGATTTTCAAAACCATCTTTTCCCGGCATGCCTTTTCTTATTACAAAAATAAAAAAAAAAAAAAAATTATTTAAAAAAAACGAAAACACGAAAACGCAAGTATTAGTTTTGAATAAGTTGTCAATTGGATATATCGTGGCTAAATTTGGGTCTATTTGTAATGTGTGTTTTTATAGATTATGATTACGACTATTACGGTTATGGGGATTATCGAGGTGGCTACAGTGATCCATATTACGATGACTATTATCGATACGAAGATTACTATTTCGATTACGCGCCGCCTCCGCCACCTGCCAGAGGGAGAGGCAGGCAGCCTCAACCGGTGGGTCGCCTTTTTTAATGGTTCTAAAAAAGTCGTTTCCGTTCTTGAAACATTATTATTAATTTCTTCCCTTTTTTTTAAATTTTTTTTCTTAAAATAAATATTTGCGTACGCACGCGGTGTGCGCCTGTATACGCGTATACGCACGTGTACGCGTATATAAACGCATCGGCGGTAATTTGACTGTGGCACAGTGTTCACGGAACGTTCCCGAGTTTCATCGTACGATCCACTTCTTCCAAATAACCTGCCCATAATCTCATTCACTTTTATCTTTCTCTTTCTAATAAGAGTGCGCGTTAACTCCTCCGATTAACCGCTAATCGAAGCACAATTCGGAAGCGTGCTTCACTGCAAAAGTTTTTAGCATCTCACGATCGCCTTAACGTTTACGACGCGCCTGCTATTTCGTTACGCGTATCTTTGGACGAATACGCGTCTCAATCTTTTGCATAGATACGCGAGTAACTGCTTTTCCACGTTTTTTTTAATTTATCGTTTTATCCAGAGACTCCCACCTCTCCTCTACTAATTGTACGGTATCATTTGGATGTGAATTTACTTCTCCCCTCTTCCTTCCCCGTGAAATAGTAAAGGATTAAGAAACTGGGAAGTACTAGAACGGAACGAGTTTGCGCGACAGGGAAGAAAGTTGGGTGTTCCTATGCATGGCTGCTACCGTAAGCCGAGTACGTGGATAATTTTAGGGCAAATTGCGTTCGATTTGAGAAAATAAAGGAGGGGAGAGCAGGAGAATCATAAATGACACGTCGTCGAAAGCCCAATGCAATACCGCGCGTACGCGTTTCACTAATTCCATCGCTCGCGTTAACGGTATCCCAGAAACCGAACACGTTGCCACTTTCAAATTACTCGCTAATCATATCTGAGCCATGGTAGACCCATTCTAAATTTTTCAATGAAAAAAGAAGCCGGGAAAAGCTATTAGAACATTCGAAAATAAAAGAGAAATGGAAAAAACGAAAAAAATAAACAGCGAAGCGGTCGTAACCGAAGAGACGATAGAAGATTAAACGGGGTTTTCGACTCTCTCTCTCCCGTTTTCTCCCTTTTTCCGACAAGAAAAACAAAATAAGGCTACACGTTTACGGTTACGTAGGTCTTCCTACCGCTTACCCACAATGATCGTTGCTCGTTTCGAACGAAGTCGTAGGCTGAAAACATCGATGGGAAAATTGTCAGTGCATTTTTTACGACCAACCTGTTACGTGTATATACGTACATACGCACACGCGTACGCGTATATACCGGGTAGATGTTAGCGAAGTCGCCGAAGACGGTAAGCGGATACTCGAATAGGTGATATCGACGGGCCACGATCGATTCATCAATCATTTCATATCACAGATCCCGCGATTCTGAATCGTTATCTCTAATTTATTGCTCGAGAGCTGCTTTATCATTTTTATTTCGAGTGTATGCATCATGCACGCGTTACGAAAACATAAATAGCGATCGTGGCACGTTTAAGAAGCGTTCATTATCTTGCTCGGAGCGACGTACGTCTCGTGGCTCGGATATGATGTAGATATATATACATATATATACGAAACATATATATGTATATATTTCAAACTGCGGATCAAATATCGTAAGTGTATCGATAACCATTATCATTACGTTAGTTCGACGGACCAACTAACCGATCGTCTAGTTCATAATTCGATGCGTAGATAAATATGTAGATAGACGTGTAAATGGCACGCGTGTGCCTGTGAGTAGATAGGTAGGTAAGTAGATAGATAGATAAATAAATAGATAGGTAGGTAGATGAATAAATATACGGATGAATGAATTAATCGGTTTATCGATTAACCGATCTACCGCATAGTATGCGTACAAGTTCTTTTTATATTCCGCTGATGCTCGCATACGTTCGAAGGAAGCGTTATAGTTTTTCTGACGTGGTTTTTTCTGCTTGGACATGTCCGTCGTTGTTCGCGTTCATCCGTCAGAATTTCTTTGTAGAAGTCTTTAGAGACGTGGAATAGTAATTTTCGTTTCAATTAAATCATGGATCGTCGTGTTTGATGGTAATTTAATCATCGGCTGTTTAATCGAAAATGAGTTAGTGTTTTCTGAAATCATTCATCGTCATTCATTAAGCAAAATCTACACGCGATCGGTAGAAATCTGTTCGAGGCCCCGTGCAATTTTCTGCCAAGAAGACCATTAGCTGAACGGTTTAAACGATGTATGCGTACGAACTCGTAATTGTACATATTCCGAACTACGACAATTTGGGTTAAGTGGGTAGGTAGGTAGGCAGATAGGTAGCTAGGTAAATGTACAGATAAGTAGGTATCTTAGTTAAGTGGAAAAAAGGCGCGAGAATCCTGCTCGCATCTTTGTGCGACTCTGACGAGAAAACGTAGGAATATGGAGGCATCTAGGTGGTCGTTAAAAAGGGCAAACGGTTCTTCGCGAAAATTGTACATATTCCCCGTTCGCAATGTTCTCATAGCGTCTCGGTACATGACGCAGTGTACGACGCGGTAACGGAGAACCGATTTAAGGAAAAAATGCAAAGTTCCTGCTAGTAATTTCGTAGTGTAAATCGTAAATATTTTACGACTGTTGCTTGCTCAGGTGTGTAAAATACCGCTTACGCTTTAACGTATCCTGCTGTAATGTTACGCCGCTTATATTTGACGTTTTGACTCGTTGAATTTTGTTCTAGCTGACAGTGCAGTAGGTTGTGTCGCTTAAACGTTCCTTCGCCATCCCGATACAATTCGCTTTCCGCTTTAAATACATTGGGTAATTCTGCTAATACTTCTGCTACCTGTATAAAATCAAAGAAAAAAGAAACAAGATGTGGTTAGTAAGATTTGGTTTAGGTGATCCCTTCCGTTGCACTGTTCTTTCGTCTCGTACGTATCGTTGCATATATGTACGTACGCGTCGGCCTAAGTCGACGCGTGTACACGCACGCACGCACGCACGTACACGGAACGCTTTCTCTTCCATTTACCATTTCCTTCTATCTCGTCCTCGCGCCTAGCGTATCGTCCATTCGTCTGATCCTTTCTTCTATTCCATAACTATACGTGTACGATATACATGTGTAACGAGAAAGAGTATAAATATTTATATATGTACATATACACGATACAAACATACGAACATACATACACGGAACACACGTACGGAATCACGTACGTATGTACGTTTGTACATATTATGCCGAGCTAGAAAGAATGCAGACGCATTCTATTGCTTGTTTTGTCGTAGAGCGCGACTTGCGCATTTTGGCAAATCACTGAACTTTAAACTGTCGGAACTGTACTTCTATCAAAATTTCATACTAAATTTGCATTACAGAAATTCAGGTCAATCCTTGCCGTTCCGTTTCACAATTTAAAGTTCGGTGGTCTACTTTGCACTCGCCACAAGATTCTGTGAATTCAGAGAATCATCTTTTCTTGTTTTTCAGTCTGATGTATGCGACTGCTGTATGTGAATTATGTAATCAGTTTGCTCGTGTCAAAAGCGTATAATCGTCTTTTTCATTTAATCAAATGCAGTCACTTCTTTCAGCATCAGGAGTCTTGTGGCGGGTGAACGGTACTAGTGATCTTGTGTAACTCCAGAAAGTTGGGTAACGTGAATATCCCTTTGTTCTTGTGCTGTACAGCGTGCATTCTTTTCAGCTCTAAGCAACAATTGCACAAGTGCAATACAGTAAATATGTATATAATTTTTTACGTATGAGTTCATCGACGACGTATGGCTTCTCTCCTTGAAGAGTACCTTATTTTTATCGATATTGCCTCTTATATTAACACGTTCAGTCCAAGATAAAATTCAACGAATTCCTTTTGATGTCGAACGTCAGATTCCACGAATTTTGCATCCTATGATGTCACGCTGAACGTGTTAACTCGAAGCAAATCGATTAAGGAGCGAAAGTCTTTGGTACTCCTTTCATGGACAAGACACCCACGCTCGTCGGTGTTTGTACATACGACACGTTTCGTGTCTTCGAAGTATATACGTACATGCGTAAGAACGTAACGTACGTGTCTTCAACCATACGCAGCATTTACATGTATGAATATATATATATGTATATTGATTGACCAATTTATTTACTTATTTATTTATAATGGGTATAATATGTATATAATGTGTAAGCTAGAATCGTTTAACGTTAAGATCGAAAATTTACGAAGACTCGGGTTCCGTCAACCGTACATCTACGTACGGAACCGTCACGTCGGTTAATTAGGGTTTACTTTACAATAGGCGATGCGCAGGTAAAACGATATTAACGTATCGCGACGTAGAATGTAAGAGGAGGGCTATTAACGAGAGTACGATTAAAAAGCATGATCATAAAAAAATGACGCGAAAAATGTAGGAAAGTAATAAGTGTCGCACAGGGTAACGATTGGGTGTGTGTTATTTGGCCAGGCTGGACGTGGTCGTGGAGTAGTCCCGCGTGGCCGAGTCGG